CTGTAGTTATGCAAGATAGAGTGAGGGGAAGAAAAGAACTGCTCAAGGACATGCTGCATGATAGTGAACAGACAAGGAGAGCAGGCACTGAACATTCAGGGAGCTTTGTAGTGCCTTTTAGCTATGTCTGTACATAACTAGTGCATGTGTATAGGTGATAAAATCATTGTATATGTTAAACTGGAGCATTCCCACAGAGAGGTGGTTAGAAACTAAGTATTTTGGAAGAACTATCATGTTAGCTCAGTTGCTGGTCATTTTAGTTAGTGTGGATGTACAGCTGAGGGGTTTGCTTGAGCAGTTGGCCAGTTGGCTGGCAGACCATCGATCCAGTGTCTGTTGAGTAAACTGTGAATGAGAACGTTTGCTGCGGGTCAGTGGTCAGTGATGAGCCCATATGAGGGTGTGCGCAGCTAACATCCCTTTGCATATGTGCCTCTGTGGGTCAGCGATCACAGAGCATCTGCAAAGTTGGAGGTTTTTCTCTTCGCACTACTGTTCAGGGTTGAAAGAGATGCTGCTGACCAGCTGACACTGCTCCACACCTCCCTGCCTTGTCCCTCCCTCCCTCTCTCTCTCTCTTTTACACACACACATAGACAGAAATGCCACTCCAGAGCAGCTTTTGGCTGTATGTGTGTGTGTCTCCTCTCTGTGTTTGCATGTGTAGATGTGTAACATGATCAGCTACTGAAGGTTTGGCCCGGTGGAGGTTCAAAACTGCAACCTTTCTTGTTAGATTGACATGAAAGAAAGAGCAGTAGGGATGCTGGTTGTGTGTGTATGCATGTGTGTGTGTCTACAATTGGTATGTGGGCCTGGTCAGCAGAGAAAGAGCCAGGGGTTCTTATCTGACCTCTCCCACAATGACCTTTAACCCCTCAAGGCAAGCCCTTTGTGTCCACTGAGCCTGAGTCCATGGGAGAGCGTGTGTGCGGTGCGTATACGTTTTTGTGCATGCTTCCACCTAAGTTGGTGTGCATGTGTGTGAGAAATATAGGGCCACATCAAAGTCTTACTTAAACATTGTTATCTGGACTCACCTTTGACCTTTGAGTCATGAGACACCCCTGAAATGAATACATTCATGCCCTGAAAGCAGGGAGTGTTTATGTGGGCTTGCATACATTAGCAAGGAGCTGAGCAGGATGTTATTCACAGACCTGATTGACCATTCCAGCACAACATACCTGATTCTTTACTTTCCTAAATATTGTAATCGTTGTTTCTGATCAGACTATAAAATGCTAAAAAATTCTTTATCATAGCTTAATTATTTTGCAGATCATCCATGTTAATCAGACAGTAATCTCAAGTAAAACAATTCTTATAAACACCTCAGTAGAGCTTAAATACTACAGCTGTTAAAAGCTTTGGTGTAGTAAAATCTGGGGATTGTATGAAGACTCACAGTGAGGAGACTCCAGTGTAAGTTTGGTGTGTTTGAGGGCAGTGGTAAGAAGGGGGTCCAAGAGGTCATAAAACACCACAATAGTGTCTCTCTCCTCAGGGTGAAAAAGAGACAGAGACATAGAACAAGAGGAGGAGGAGGGGATGAAAGGATCTACCACTTCTACGTGAGGGGGAGAGGGAGGAGGGGGAGAAAAGATCAACAAAACTTCATTGCAGGTTTTAAATTCTGCTCATTTTTGTCATGTCTGCTGTTAGTTGTCTTGTCTATACCTTTGGCTGTTTGTAATCTGTCTCAGAGATAATCCACGCAGAGATGGCATGGACAGGATAAGGAAAAGCAAATGTGTAGCTGGAGATTACTTTGCAAAGTCTGACATGGGAACCATTTTTTTACTGCAGATTTAAGGTCACATTGGTGATATTGTTAATTTACACCACTGTTTCCTTTATGATTATCTTAAAAAAAAAAAGCTTCGAGATCGTAATAGAAATATTCAGAAAAAGGGCCTTTATCAAAGCTTTACTCTTATAATTGTAGCAGCAATAACCATTGCAGCAAAATGCACTCAAAGTAGTCTCAGTTTCCTCAGGTTTGCACCTACAGTACTTGCTCATTTGATTACCAGTTGGTCTAAAGTTTGGGGTTTTGGTCAGGATTCAATAAAAAGTGGAGTACACCTCTCCTGTCTTTCATCTCCTCTTTGCTTGTGTCCCTCCCTGTCTCCTCTGTCTCTGGTTGTAAAAAAAAAAAAAGATCAGTGTGCTCTTTGGTGGAAGGTGTGATTACTTCCTCTCTGTGCCGGCTGTGTTATGACAGGGCTCTTTGTCCTCCATCCCCTGTCATTCTACAAAGTGGTGCAAGGCTTTAAAAGTCTGCTCTGCTCCTTTGCATATGAAAGTGTTGAAGCAGAAGGTGGCCTGTAAGGTGTTTGAATATGTGTGTGGGTGAGAGGGAGAAAGTGTATTAGTGTGTGTGATGATTTTTAAAAAGAGATTGGGTTTTGCCTGCTTTTATCCTTATTTGATATTTTATCTTATGACCTGTAAATGTCCGGTGAATAATTGGCACTATGTGCAAAGTTGGAGCTTTGTTTTTGGCACATTCCCAAAAAAGGTAAACCCCTGAAAGATTTTTAATGTGAAAGAGTTCTCATTATTATCATATATTAAAGTCCATAAAATGCTAGGTCTACTTTGTTCTAGCTCTATGGGTATTGGGACAAAGATTGGTGCTTGTTTAGTTTTAATACTGCCTTTCATAACAGAAAATGGCTTTGCAGTGTTTTTACTGCAGTTACTGCTACACAGTATTGTTGAATCAAAATTAGCAGTACAGTTGGCTTTTTTACTGTTGAAACACACATTATTGTGGTTTACTTAATACCTGGACAACAGCTCTTTTGCTGTGTCTATGTCTGGTTCATCATCATCATCATCAACAGCAAACTTATCAAGCGGAGTTCCACAGGGTTCAGTTCTGGGTCCCCATCTCTTTTCATTTACATACCTCCCCTCAGTATTATCCTCAGTGAAAAAAGACATTGTTTTGACATTTGGTCAGGACTTAAGTTACGATATTTGGACTTACGTTTTGAGCAACAGGTAAATGCAGTTTTTTAGGCATGTTTTCATCAGCTCAGAAACTTAGCTAAGGCCAAGTGATTGTCAGTAAGGACTAGAGAAACTTATCCACTCTTTTATTTCCTCCCACATCAATTACTAATTCACCACACAAATGCCTCAACCAAAAATCACTTTGCTGGCTTCAAGCTGTTCAAAATTCAACCACCCAGCTTTTAACTGGAAGAAAAAATGTTCTTTAGTAACTCCAGTTTTAGCAGATCTACATTTTGACAGCCAGATGTTTTTAGAATTGATTTTAAGGTTCTTTCGATTTCAACATGGACTTGCCCCACCCCATTTTTCTGAGGTTTTATCCCCATATGATCCAGGACCAGATATGAGCTCTTCTGGTAGTGCTTTGCTTGCTTGTTGAAAACCAAAAGAGACAGAGCGTTTTCTGCCCCAGGGATCTGGAGCAGCCTACCAGAGGAGATCAGACTTGCAGAGTCAATCCCATCTTTTATTTTACTGCTGAAGATACATTATCAGAGAAAAGCTTTTATTCAGTTATTTTTTTGTTTATCAAATCTTATCATTGACTTTGATTTAAGTTAGGTGTGTATTTTGTATGTTTTACTTTTTTTTTCTTTGCTAAATACATGAAAAACAGAAGAATGCATTTCTTTAGAGACTCTTTACTACTTTTTCATCATGCTCCTTTATAATTGTAAACATCATTTAGTATGTGGAATGACCTGCATGGTTTTTGACCTGGCTGTACATCACGACTCTCACCTTCTTCTTTTTTAAATCCCCAGTCTTGCAGAAAGCTTTGGTCCTTTTAACCTGATTTGTTAAACAAAAACAGCTTGAAGCCTGTAATCTGACAGGTTTGTCTTTTCATGAATCTCTGCTGCTGGTTGCTGAGTGGTCAATAAAGTATGAGACAGTGAATCCAGGTTTGTCAACCTGTCACATGTGCGTGTGTGCATAGCAGCCAGCATATGGAGAGATTTAAAGGAGGGGGATTAAGTTGGTGTTTACAGTTCAGCCTTGTTATTCACCTCCCAAGTGACCCAGTTTGGTCACTGTGCAATTTCTTATTGGTTTGATGGAAAAAATCATCTGCTCTAAAACTTTATGCAACATTTAGAATTAACCTTTAAGTGATGATTCTAATTTTAAAAATCTGGCGTCTTCGATTTTTCTCCATCACATTAATTGCATAGCATAAAAACGGTCATGTTTCGGTAAATTTCAATGTGAAAGCATTCAAAAAGATTCAGAAGAGGGTTGTTTTTTTAGTTCATATTTTGTTCATGCAGGCATTACTGCCTTCTTGGAGCGTTTTCATCTGTTGGAGAGCAGATGAAGGAGACAAGCCAGATAGCAAAAGCAAAAGAGATTGGGAAGAGAGAGAGATGCACAGAGAGGGAAAGTAGAAAAACAGAGAGGAGAAGGAGGAGGAGGAGGAGGAGGAGGGAGTAGAGTCTAGGTCAGGGTGCCCTGACTCTGTCAGAGTAGCTGATTTAATGGCATGCTGTCTGGACAGATGCCATCCAACTGTAACTACTGTGTATGTGTGTAGATCTGTGTGTGTTTCTGTTTGAAAAGTTGTGTTTTTGAATTTCAGAATTTGTGTCTTTTCTTAATGGCATAAATATGGAGTTATTTAACGGTGTGTATGTGCTTGTGTGTGTATGTGTGTGTGTGTTTGGCTAAGGCTTGGCAGAATTAAGCAGCACATTTTTCCTCATATGTCAGAGGCTTTCAGCAAATGTAAACAGGATGGTTTCAAAGGACCTTGATACTCATATGTTATTTAGATAAATGCAGCTTTCTTGAAACTCACACTACTTTGATGATACATCTTAACTTTATAATTAAAGGGCTGATGAAAAGCATGACGAGCAGCGCAGTAAAAGTCAAACAAGTCTGGTTAACGTTAACGTATGAAAAAAACATCACCGTCAGCTGGTAAATATCTGTCTGACTCAAAGTTACTGGGATTTTACAGGACACCAATGGGGAATTCCTATGCTGGCCAGCTGCGGACCACACGCTTTGAAGAGGTTCTGCATAACTCCATCGAGGCGTCACTGAGGTCCAATACTGTAGTGCCTCGACCTGTCTTCTCACAGCTGTATCTGGAGACAGAGCAGTCGTTGGCTCATGACGGTGGGTTTAATGGACGCAAAGGAGAAGGAATCATTGATCAGGAATTCAAAACTTTTCTGTTGCGTTTGCCTGTGACTCTTGTTCTCCTTTAAAATCATATTTTTTTATGTGTTTGTCTCCAACAGGCCGCACAGAGAATGATGACGAAGACGATGAAGATGGCTCAGAGTCCAACAGCCCTCCAATACCCTATCAGATGAAGCCACCACCTGAAGGGTGCTGCACCACAGATGGTGGGTACACAATCACAGACAAACATAAGCTCATAAATACATTAAAACACACTATAGACATCTTTTCATGCATGTAGTGATCAGGAGAAAGGATCTATTTGACAAAAAAAGTCTTTCTTCTGTCTCTTTGTCTCCACAGGCTTCTGTCAGGCTGGCAGGGACCTGCGTTTGTCCTCACTGGCATCAGATCCCTTTGAGGTTCCCTCTGGGTTCATCTTAGTTGGGGTGAAGTCCCCTTCTCTCCCTGAGACCCTGCTGGTCTGTGCCGTGGACCGCCGCTTCCTTCCAGATGAACGAGGCCACAATGCACTGCTGGGTGAGGCTGACTGCTCATATGAGCACATCTCTATAGTAATTAGCGCACATAATCCCTCTCTTACTTGTTACTTATTTTGGAATTTTCCTTTGAAGTTCTGTTCATACTGGTCATTCATATAAAAAGTCTGAGTCCTCATCTCAGCAGCTCTAGGTTCAATTCCATCTCTCTTTGCTTTACATCACCCTAATTCTTCATGACTCACATTCATCGTCTCCCTTCAGTTCTCCATCTCTAAAAAAAGACTAAATGACAATAATCTAAAAAAGGGAAGTGCGCCACTCATGACAACACATAACCTTTCATACATTTTCTGAACATGTTTATCCTCTAGGTTTTTCAGGGAACTGTATGGGCTGTGGAGAGAAGGGCTTTCGGTATTTCACAGAGTTCTCCAACCACATAAACCTGAAGCTCAGTACGCAGCCAAAGAAACAGAAGCACTTGAAGTACCATCTGTACAGAAACAACCAGGGTCTGCTGGTCAAAGGAGCGCCCATCTTCTGGAGAGGACATGGTAAGAGATATATGTTGTGTTAAAGCTCCTGTGAGGGACTTTTTGTCTTGGTTGATTCTGGTGCCCCCTGTGGACCAAGTTTGAACCCTTATATTGTCGCTGATTTTGTCTCTTCCTTCAGAAAGTGGTGTTAATTGAAAAATAATTACTTCCTGTTGTGTTTTTACGGTGACATTTATCACTTTCTCATGAAATTTGCAGCAGGAAGTAAAACAGAAGTAAAACAGGCTGTTTCTCATGTGTACCTACCCCTTCACATCAGTTACAGGCTTTAAAAAGTACAATATAAAAACTGCAGATGTTTTCATTGATGGTTTTATTTTCTTTTGAACTTCATAGAGATACATCACTCATGATTTCAGCCTGTTTGGTAACCTATGAAAAACTCCCTACAGGAGCTTTAAGTTTGGAATATTCCAAAAAAAACTTTAATATGAAATTTGGCACTTTTTTTTTCTTCTTTTTTTACTTTTCCTGGAAAGAATCAGGTATAATCAGAAAGAAGGTGGTCATAAGTTGAAGTGCATTGTTACCAATCTAAAGCAGCCAGGCGATAGTTCATTAAATGAAGCCCACCCCTGTGGACCTGGTTTTAGTGCCCTTCGGCGTAGCATTTCACTCAGCTAGTAGAAACACTAATATTTCAGGGCTGTTGGATGGGTTGATGATGTTTGGTGTCAAATATTGGGACCTGATCAGGAGTTTTGCAGTCTGTGATGTACACACTGCGTGCTGTTGGGAAAGCTATGGGTCAGTTCAGGTGTGACCTGATGGACAGGTAGTGAAGCCTCAAGGACAGGTGAAAGGTGACAGTACAGAGTGTACACAGAGGCCACAGGGAGGAGATAACTCATCTATTGAAATAGTGCTGAGGTGAAAAATCCTGTTTGACAGGACAGTGACCCTGTAGATGTTTGTTTCCTCAGTGTCCAATGTAGTCTCTTTTTGTCTGCTTGATTCTCCATTCTTAAGTCCTAAGATTTGATCACATCTGTAACATCTGTAACTATCTGAAACACATCTTTAAGATTATACCTCTCAGATCATTTAGTTTTGAAACAAAGAAAAATTAGTCTCAGACTCAATCCTTATCCTGTTTTAACCATGCAGTAATGGCAAATTCTGTAGTGTTGCCGCTTTGTGTCTACATGTAGAGCAGCTGTGGCTTTGTGGTAGAGTCTGTCATCTCTTGACATAAAGGTCTGGATACCAGTCTAATACCAGTACCTGCTGTCCACATGCTGAACTGTCCTTAAGAAAGACTCTTGACTAGGGAAAGGTGATAAATTGTTGTTCACAGTATATTTTCAGAAAAATCCTTCATGATAAATATTTGCCGTCTCATGATAAATATGATGAATGCAAGTTGGTGACATAAGCGTGAGTGACCGACTCACAGCCATAGCCCACACAGAGCAGAGTAACAAACAAACATGGCCGAAGGTAATAAAGAAGACGTTTTTGAGCAGCTCGTTACTGAACGAGGCTCCACATGAGGGATTTCCCTCAAGACTGGGGCTTAAATGAGCACAATCAGGTATGCCTGACATCGGACAGTGGATCTGCTGCTGTTCACTCAAGTTTTCAACACATGTTGAAAATGTTTTCACATTTGAGACTTGTTTGATGTCGTTAGTTTTCTCCATAACCTACCACTAAAGTATCTCATTGGACTTCTCCAACTGGTGTTCAAAAGACAAAATGTGTCAAAGATATAGATTGGAATTATAATATTTTTTATTGGGACTTTTACCGTTGTCACCAAAATGGCAAATCTTATTGTGATCATTTTTTAGCCCATATCGCCCATCCCTACTCTTGACCCCAAATGGTCTTCACTGGCTGTGCCCAGCAGTGTGTAGATGGGATAAACTAATACTTGTGTTTTACCCAGTGGCCTCTGTCGTTAGTGTGTGTGTGTAACATGCAATGTAAAAGTGGTCACCAAGACCAGACAGAGCACTACATAAACAGCCCATTTACCGTTTTCCCTGAAAGCTTTCCATTGTTAGGGATGCACTATTTTTACATTTTGGTACAAGACTGACCACAATAGTAAGAACAGGAATCACGACAGTGGGGTCTATCTGGGGCCAGGATTTTCTATTAAATGCTTTCTTTGCATTGCTCTGTGTTTTCTATCTCGTCTGCACAAAGAACTATAGATGATGTAACTTAACTGTTGTTTTTAATGCAGCTGCAGGGTTTTGTACTACCTTGCTAATATGTTGCTGCAATGAAAGGGTTAAACATTCCTGATAATAATACTCAAGGATTTTTAACTTAGGCTATGTTCACACTGCAGGTCAGTTCGGATTTTTTTAACCACATATAATACACATATCTGATTTTTTCATGTAAGTATGAACAGTGCAATTCTGATTTTTTCAAATCCGACCCAGGCCTCTTTTGTATGTGGATATAAATCAGATATGTATCCAATGTGACTGCAGTGTGGATGTTTAGGTCACATTCATCCGACCTATACGTCATCAATATGCGACAAACGTCACTATTGTTCGACAACACAAACAGGGTCACTTCACGGACGCATTCTGTTCACATTAGATGCCGCATTCGTTGTTGTAACGTGAACGACTGCACAAAAAGATCAGATTTAACAAAAAATCCGAATTGTGTATCATAACCTGCTGCATGAACGCAGCCTTAGTTGCCAGAGAAGGACTGTCTTCTGTTTTCTGTCAAATTTTTATGAATTTTATTTATTAGTGAGATTTTATGTGCCTGTCATCCTGTACGTTAAGCAGTTCAGCTTCTTTTCCAAGAAGCATCTGTCATGAGTTATAGGGAGGATTTGACTAAACTGCTTCAGTTACAGGAGCAGCTTTTCTTATTCCACACATATGAATGTTCATACACACTGACACACAAAAACACATGCACAACAAACATCAATGCAAAAGTCAACCCGCTGTGAGGCCTATCAGATAACGTACTTCATGTGACTCTGTGTTTCAGATGGCAGGATGAGACGCATAGTTTCCAACCTTGCAGAAGGTCATGTGACAACAGATGAAAAGCCACCAAATATTACCCTGACCCTCCAAACACACACACCAGGAAGCTACATAGGTAACACACTGAAACACACAAACATATGGACACAGGTGAAGATGAAGTACTGTTGGTGAGGCTGAGGCCTTGTGTCTCATTAAAGATGTTCTGGTGCTGTTACGTGTTTGTTTGTTGTCAGGGCTGAGAAATTATTTTTGCAAACTGAACATAAAAAATGTCCCAAAAATACCACACACTCTCCACAGTGCATAATTGAAGTATTGAATCCTGCACCAACAAAGAGAGAAGACAATGCATTTAAATGATTGAAAACAAAAACAGAGAAAAGACAGTTATTAATGTTTTTATTCACTGTTTTCCGTCTTTCTAAAAACAGCAAGACCGCAAGTGGATCCAACTGCTCTGCCACCAATACCAGATGTCCCCCCTCCACTAACAAATGGCAACCATGCTGTTCCCTCCTCCATCACACAGCCACTTTTGAATCAGTCAGGTCCTGGGAGACCTTCAGCTACAGGTACAGAAAGGACACACTGGGGACTTTGGCTCCGTTATTGTCTTATCATAAAGAAGATTTAGGAAATGTAATATATGTAGGCTTGAATTGTGCGGTTTCTCAGTCATACCTAATCGAAGTGATCAGTATCAGTGTGTGCAAGAAAACCTTAATGAGAGGACAGCTTCACTATTTTCGAAGAGTAATTATCAAGTAGTCAAGTGTTGAAAGACTTATTCAATTTTAATTTTGGAGAAATTAGAAAGCTAAGCCTTTTATTGACATTCACTTCACTCATCATGTGATCTCACATCATGAAATTTCCCTAAAAACTCACTAAAGGTGTCCACTGGAGTTCGAGATTGTTCGTCTCACAGCCATGGATAAAGACCTGTTGTCTCTCCATGCTTGTATCTCACGTGGTGTATTTTTATTAGCTCTTTGTATGCGTACGTCATGTGTTCTGCTGTTTGAACCTCATTTCCCACAATAATATGACCTCTCATGTGCATGTAAATGTGGTTAGTTTGTGGTTGTTGTTAATGAGCCCCTCCCCTGGGTTACTTCACACCTCTGAGAGGAAGAGCTCCTACCACCAGCAGCCCAAACAGTCTGTGTGTCTGTGTGTGTGTGTCTGTGTGGAATAACACCCAACCAGCTGCATTGTGGGTTGGGGGTTGTCCTTTGTCTTTCTGTCCCTCTCCCTCCCTCTTCCTCTGTCTGTCACCTTTATAAACCAGGGCAGTAAAATTCCCCCTCTGTCTCGTCTTTTTTTCTGCCTCTCTGGTTGAATGAAAAGCTTCCTTCCTGTTGATGATGTTTTTTTCACGGCCCTCTTAACAAGCGGACCTTTTATATGTCTCCGTTTGACCGCATTTCAACAGAACATTAAGGGGAAGAGGAAGAGACGAGTTAATGTATGACTAAAATCATCTGTTTTCATTGCTGCATTACCAGAGGTCTCTCCTGAAATCGAATTAAACACCTTTCCCGTCTATTTAAAGGTTATTAAAATGGAAAAAATGATCCATCTCTTTTCAAGTCAGGGCTGTCAGAGTCAAAATGTCATCAAAGTTAATTCAGAGCAGTGTTGAAATTAAAGCTGGAGTAGGTAGAGTATCTTCAAGCTAGAGAAAAGCTGAAAAATCATTTATAAGTTGGTGAAGCTGAAAAATGCAAAAAATTCAACTGCTTCTAGATTTCCGTTGTAGTATCAACAGGTTAAGTTTCTCAGGCAGGTGTGAAAAAGCAAAAATTGTCCGTGTAAACTATGCTAATAAGTCGTGTGTTCTTGTTTGTCAACCAACAGGACCCCCTGCAAACGCCGGACCTCCGAAAAAGAGGCACAAGGGCTGGTCCCCTGAGTCATCCGCCAACACTGTGCCAGAGAGCTCAGTGAAGACACCGCCGTCTTCATCCACCGCATCAACATTACCCGCGCCTTCTGCCATCGCTAATGGAGCCCGATCAGGTACAGAGTGAAGACTCATGGGAAATAATGTGCCAAAAATAGCGAAACCTTTTATCTGTGTTGCTCAAAGTGTTCCTTCTAGTCTAAATGTGCATGTGTCTGTGCTTTCTCCAGAGACTGCCATCCCACTGAGTTCAACACAGGGGTCCTTAACCCCGATTTCTCCTCCAGGACTGTCTGTTACAATCCCCGATCAGCTTCTACACACCTGCAGACTGCAACCTGTCATCTTCAAAGGTCCGATTAACGCATATAACTACATATGACTCATTTGTTATGATAGAAAACATCTACACATGCATTCACATACTGAACATACAGACATTATGAGAGTCTGCTGCTGTTAAGTGGACCAAGATGTTCTATACGAGACCAGCTGCAGTAACATGTTTCACTCTTTCCAAAGCAGGTGAAAAGGTAAAGTTTTCAGTAACCACACAACAGATGGTCACTTAGCTCAGTCTTCCTGTCAGGTTAGAGGTCAGTCAACACCCGAGGCTCTTTCTCAGCCCGCGTGTTTCCCCCTCCATCCACTCCTCTCCACCCTTTTGCCACTTTGTATTACCTGTCAACTCATCCACCTCCCTTGTCCTACCTCACTGCCCTCAAACCACTTCCTGTTTCCATTGTTTACTTTCAGTCTCTTTTTTTCTGCCAAGCGTTTTCCTCTTTTTCACTCCTGTGGCTTTAATGTTTTTTTTTTCATCTCAGCCTAGAGTTGGCTGTATCAAGTCTTTTACAACAAAAAAGCTTCTTAACAGTAAATAGAAAAATTAAGGCAAGAACGGCAACAATTTAAAGAAAAGAGTTCATAATCTATTTAAAATGTGTTTTAATTCGTTTTAGGAGCAGAGATATTAAACATTAGCTGTTTCACATCCTTAATTTAGAAGACAAGAAAATTTAATCAATTAACTATAAAAACTAAAGATACAAGAGGTGTCAAGACTAAAAATGTCCTCATGGTAATTTTAGCACAAAGGCTTAACATGTTATATTATATTGTTTTAAAGCTTGATTTTATGTGTCCTTTGTCTTTAGGAGCTTCTCTGTTTACTGTATTCACCACAGAAATCTCAGTATATGGAAAGAAAGAGGGAAGATCAGCTGGATAATTATAATGAGAATGACCAAAAGTAATCTCAGCCACCTGAAAATGGTCTCACCTCTCTCTCTCTCTCTTTGTCTACCTCTTGTTGACGCAGGTCATGGCCCTCTCCCTCAGCTGACTGGAAATGTCAGTGAAGTACTCATCAGCTCTCTGCTCCAGAGTTGTTACCTGAGCTCCCAGACGCTCCCCAGAGTCTACCAGCACTATGGACCATCACCCATTCAGCCATTGTCAACTGAGATGCAGATTTTACTGACAGTCTACTACCTTGTTCAGCTAGGTCAGTGCAAATACTGTGCCAAAATAAAAACTGTAATTGCATTCAATGTAGACGCACCACTGAGAGGATGGTTGTCAGTGCTGTGCCTCATTGTTGCCACTAGGAGGCAGACAGGATCAGAAATTAAATCCATCTGATCTCAGCCTTGCTGTCTTTACATTTATAAGTAACCGCAGTTAAACAACTTTTCATAAAAATAGTTTAATATTTTTAATTCTTCTTCATCATAGTCACTCTTGTCTTTTTCTTTCTCATACTCTCATCTAAGGTCCAGAGCAGGTGCCTCTCATTGAGGACTTGGAGCAGATATTCATGAGGTCATGGAGGGAGTCACACCTCAGCGAGATCAGACAGTATCAGCAGCCACAAACCGCTGCCACCCAAGGGAGACACTATGCTATAGAGGTGAGACGGGGCCTCTTAGAAGTGTCCCAAAATGTGTTTTAAGTTTAAGAAGTTAGTTAAGAGGCTGTGTTTTACATGAAAATTGTAATTTTTGTAATCGCTCATTTACTCTCAAACTCTTCTCTAGGCCCCATCCACCCTGCCTGGCCTCCCTCAGCATCTCACCTTACCTCCTCAGAGCCAACAACCTCTGACCCCCAGTCAGCTTCCTTGGCTTGCCCAGCTGGCTGCGTCATCCTGTGGAGAGGGTGTGGTGGTTTTAGGGGAGCAGATTAGATCTTTGGCTCAGGGCATCCAGCAAACGTTCAGCAGGTTAATGGAAAGACGACTTGAAAACACCAACTACGTCGTCATTATTGTCACTGCACCGGGACAGGAAACACAGTCCTGTGTGATAGTTACAGGTAAGGGTTGTGTTAGTATTTGTATATGAATGTTATGAAGCTCTGCTGGGAATTAAAGAAAGGGTAATTTGCCTACCTTAATCCTGTGTTTTTTGTGTGCATTTTTCAGGTAAACACCAGTGTCGTGCCTTGGCAGAGAGCATGTACTCTCCCAGTGAGGGACTGAAAGAAGTCAATCACCAGCTCTCCACTGGTGTTGCCCAGGAACTCATTCACTACTGCAACTCTCTCGGACAGGGTTGGTCTGGCAGTCTGCCTTCTTAAACATTCATGTCATTGTATCCTGGAAAGACATTTTAATATGTACTCTCAACATAAAGTCAAAGACGTGAATTTTGCCGTTCATTTGTAGATGGTGATTTGGATTCCCTGCTGGACAATGCCACCGTGGACAGCAGTGAGCCGTCTCCAATGTCCAGCAGTCAAGAGTCCACTGAAGAGAGGAATATGAAGTCAACAAACAGTCCCAAAAACACACAAAGTTCAAAAGACACGCACACACATGGTTCCAAGGACTCACCTAACACCAAAGTGGGAACTTCAAGTCCCAAAGACACCTGTACAGGTGAGAAAATGTGAAGGGTAGAGAGTGGGGTAAGACATGCAGGAAAGAGTCAGAAGAAGGACTGTAGCCCCTTTACATGCAGCACACCCCTAAAACTGCCAGACCATCCAGCACTACTAATTTACTCACTTTTGTTTCTTTACTTTTATTTCACTTATCCTTTTCTTTATTCTCAGTAAATGAAGAAAATATTAGGAGAAAATATTTGCATGTATTTTTTTTAAGTCTTCTCTTTTTTTGCATGCAGACACACAGAGCTGACATAAAAATCTACATCTTTAAAAAATAAAAGCATGTCTGATGTATAAATTTGTGTTTGTGTGCAGAATACTCGGTCGATTGGCGTGAGGTGCGACCCATCCAGCTGGCTGTGGCCAGAAAGCTGCTGTCCCATGTTTGTGCAATAGCAGATTCCAGCACACAGAATCTGGACCTCGGCTCTTTTGACAGGGTCAGCTTCCTGATCTTGGTCCCACCCTCTGAAGTCACATTTCAGCAGACTGTTCTCCACCTCTGGAGCTCTGGTTAGAAACATGACTTTTATACTTGTTTCTTTATTGTTGTTTTAAACCGTTTAAATTGAAGTTTAATTATGTGTTTATGTGTTTTCACGTTGAACTGTTCTCCCCCCACCTTTTGTCTGTGTTACTCAGGTGTCCTTCAGGAGCTTGGGGGTTTGGATCATGAATCTGTGTCTCATCAGGAGGCTGAGCGGTATGTGGTCAAGATGGATCAGAGTGCTCAGGCACGAATTGACAACCTAATCCAAGAAGCACACAGCAACTCCTATACCCTTTACATCCTAGTCCATGACCACGCTCACCGGGACATTAACAGGTGTGTGTTGGAAAGAGAAAACCAGAGAGAGATCACAGATTCATCACTGCTCTCACTTTTTATTGTTACATCAACATATTTTGTTCTTTAATTCCCTTTCTTTGTGTCTCTTTTTCCCATTTAGTGCATCCTGCAGCAGCCCAGACAGTAGTTTGGGTCTGGTGGATCAGCTGTTAAACTCCCGACAGGTCAGGGATACCCCAAACATCTTAATCCTCCACGTCACCTCCTTCCCATTCAGTCTACAGACACAGTATACTCGCATCAGTCCCTACAATGAGATCCACTGGCCGTCTGCGTTCAGTAATGTAAGACAGAACTTTGTATGAAAAATACTGCAAAATTAGTCCCATCCATTTGGAGGTTCGAACAGCTAATTTCTAAGATATTGTTTTGATGTTTGTATGTGTGTGTTTAGGATGTGGACCTGTACCATGAAAGGACCCGGTACTTTGGTGTGTCAGAGCTTTTAGAGACGACTCGCTCAGGCAGCAGTCTGCCTCTCATGCGTTGTGATTCCTCCTTTGAAAGCATGGCATCTGCTCTGGAGGAGAGGTAATTTAAAAGCATACCATGCTTTGAAAACAAGTTTGACATTTTTAAAAGCCAACCAAAAATTTAGAGTCAACTCTCTCTCTCCAGGTTCCCAAAGCTGCACAGTGCCGTGATCCGGACTACAGTTTTGATCCAACACTACTGTGTGGCTCTGATGGCCGCGTCTGGCAGAATCAGCGGCTCTGAAAATCTTCATAAACACACTTCTGTGGAAACTCTGGAGATCGTGCAATCGCTTCTCACTGCTGCCCAACAATGTCCCGCTCACCACGGTCACATGGTTCTGCTGCGGATCCCTTCTCTGGCCCTGGCAGCGTGGGCCCACCGACGGCTGTCCAGAGTCAGGAGGCAGCTGGGTCTGGAGGAGAGTTTTGAAATCATAATGGGGAATCCAAACCAAGGTCTGATTATTGGACAGAGCTTCACCGATCAGATAAAGGTGGGTAAACAGTGAATGCTAACATGATGTAAGGGATAAAGATCGACTCTGCTAATATGATATCAGCCATCATCCTTTTCGTAGATGGGTGAAGACCAAGGGCTCTATTTTCGTTCGCGCCGGTGAGGCGGCGGAGGGCGGCGAGCCCCGCGCAGTTGTATTTTCGTCTGGCGGAGCCCGGCGTAAGGCGAGTTTGGTATTTTCGTGGACTGAGTCGCACGGAGGCGAGCCGAGATCCGCCAAGCTGGGCGTGGCAGGGGGAGGTGTTGACAGAATCGGCTGGCGCAGTGACATTTTCGTGCTCGCCACCGGCGTGTAACGTGCGCTGAAAGCTCGCCGATTCAAACCTGGTCAGCTTTCAGCGCAGGCGGAACGCAGCTGGTCTAGTAGTATTTTGGTAGACCGGCGGCGTATCGACATACGTCACTGATGCCTCACCGGCAGGTTTCCACAGTGTCAGGCACATTTCAGTGCAATAAATAATCATCAACAACTATTAATCTGAGTCAGCACATACATTTAGATCTATATCGATATATTCTGATCTATATCTGATCTGATGAGCGCGTTTGGCACGCGTTTGGCACGCATTTGGGCACACAACCTGACCGAATCAACACAGCTGAAACTGCATCAAATTAAATTAAATATCTAGTAAATAAACACACATGATGAAGTTAACTCGATATGTAATTCGTCTCCCTCCTTTTCTTTCTTCCTCTTATTTCTCGCACAGCTCGACCTGGACACGTCTCCGTGTCCTCTGTCCGTCTTGCTGCTGCTGCAGCTGAACAGATGATTTGTTTCAGTGCTCAGATGCGTGATCTACTTTAAGCCGACATACGGATATTATAATATTCAGTTTTGTGGGCCGAATTTATTTTATATGCCAACATCTATGAAAGAAAGAGCCAGGCCACGGAGCGCGATGCGTCATTTACGCACAGATGGTTCCGATTTTAATGCCATTTTTGGAGTTTATGTTGTGATTTGTGCGCTAAACCCACCTTTGTCACGTGAGGTTTGAATATGAGCAACTTTATGTGAGTGTCTTTATTTGTGGAAAAGAGTGTTTGTCTTACCAGTGGGTCCAACATTACGCACACCAAATCCATCTGTGCTCAGATGAGAGAGTGTGGAGGACACTTGTTGAGCAGCTGCCCTCTGTCGCCATCGTGTGGCATAACTGTCTTTAGACATCTCTCGATCTCTTTGACTACTTCATGAAAATAGTAATACGCCTCGCCTGTGGCGGATTTAAAGGCAAGGAGAGGAGCTAATGTGATTGGTGAAAACAGGTCCCGGCTGTGTTTAATCTACTACACGCCCTCTCTCCTCCCCGTCTACGACTTATGCTGCTGGGAGGAGCTGAGTTAGGGAGGGGGGATACTTACGCCGGGCTGCGCGGCTCACCAAAATACCAAAATGTGCTTGGGAACGCCTTGTCAGCGCGGCGGATCTGATTGACGCTGCGCTTGCAGCAGATCTCCGGCGAGACACCAAAAGTCTATAACTATTGCACCCCTAACACCAAAAACTGTGTGTTTTCTGAACTTGTGTGTGTGATCACTCTGCAGACATGGCTGAAGATTCAGGATGCTAACTGGGTTCCTCGGACCTACCTAGAGCTGGAGGCACTTCCCTGCATATTGATCTTGTCTGGAGCTGAACCACTGGGAGAATCCTTGCCTAGGTATACACACTGAGTTCAAATCATAACATCCGTATCCTTTTCCTCTGAAAATCCCTCGCCCAATAGATCCACAACCCAGTATTCACTTCCTTCGATGTGTAGCAACAGCAAAGTGAAAAGCAATAAGGGAGCTGAGGCTTGAACACTTGTAATCTTAAATGTTAACAGTGATTTCATTGTGTTTCCAGGTCACTGAAGTACTGTGATCTGAGAGTGATAAGCTGCTCCTACCTTCAGAGAACTACACTCGAACAAGAGCTAGGACTAGCTGCTTATCTGGTGAAGGCAGAGTCCCGACCTCCACACAACCCCGGACCAGGAAGTGACCAGCTGGAGAGTGATGCAGAGAAACTCAGCAGTACTGATAATGAGGAGGAGGAGGGGCAGGAAAATGGTGAGAAGAGAGGAACCATGCGTTCAGGTTTTAGAACATATCAAACGTGTTGACTGGCTCTTTAAATTAGTTCTGTGTTGAACTGTTTCTGCTTTTTCTCCCTTCTGTTTTAGGGGACTCTCCTCTGTCATCCAGTCAGCAGCTTCGATCAGGCCCAGACAGCGGGGCTTCAGATCCCTTTCCTGCACAAAGCACCACCTCTCCAAATGTTCAGAAGGGGACCAATGATGCCATTAAATCTCCCTCACCGTCACAGACTCAATTTCAGCCCCAGCCCTCATCTCAGTCTTTTCTGTATCCTCCACCTGCACAGCACCACCAAACCCATCCTCAAGTGCAGAGTTACCCCCAGCCCCCACCTATGTCCCAGCCAAACCCTGTAACCCAATTCCAGAGTCAAAATCAGCAAAACCAGAGCACTCAAACCACTCCTCAAAGTTACACTCAAACAGCGACACAGCAGCTTTCCTTCTCCCACATGCAGCAACCACATCCTCATCCACAACTGCTCCCCCCTACCCAGTCTCGCCGCCAACACTCCAAGTCCACCTCCTCTGGCTCTTTGTCCCCTCGAGCCTCCTCTCCCCATCTGAGCTGCTCCTGGGCGCGAGGAGTGAGTCGTCCGCCTTCAGTGCTTCTTCCTCGTGCTCTTTATGACATTATCACAGCCAATGACAGCAGCGGGCTTCCACGGTGTACGTCATTCCTGCCTCACATGTCTGTTGCATGGGCCAGCAGCTTCAGGTAGGCGACTCTCTTTTACATAACACTGCATATGTTTGAAGTTTGAAGTTTATTTCGATCTGGTCATATCCATTCAATATATACAGTAAATTACAAGAAAAGAAAACCGGACCGAAAAGGCATAGGCTGAAGCAAAAGCTTATTATCGCCTATCCTTCTTACTAAATCAAAATATTCAAAACATCTTACTCCACACGTTAGATAGAAAACAAAAACAAAACACATCAACAAAACAAAGAATAAAAGATGACTCAGAAGAAAGAAAAATAAAAATAATAATATATAATATAGAAGGGGTGGGAGAAAAAATCAATGCAGCATAGTATTAAGATATTTTGTATATAGATATAGATGTTTTTCCAGATATGAATTTTTCAAATTAATTGTCAATATGAAGTGAAATCTATGATAATGGAAAAATAAAATCAACTCTTTGTCCAGTGAGGTTGGCAAAGGTGACATAATGGAGCAGGAACAAGTTAGTGCAACAAATTTATATGTATATAAAATAAAATACAGAATAAATAAGATAAACATAAAGGAAGGCCAAATGCTAAGTTGGCTAAACAGTTGAAAAAATGCTAAAAATCGCAATAATATAAAATAATACTCTTTGCACATAGACTGACATTGGGGATGTAAAAGTTGACTCTTCTTTACCAACCAATCATCTGCATGTGGGAAACTAAATATTTATTAACTTAATTGACTGCTGGTGCCATTCCAAGTTAAGGTCATTTTAGAAGCTTATGTAAAATATAACCATCGTTATTAGATCTAAATCCTTTTTTTTTTTTTCGTTTTACAGAAAAAAAAAAAATTAAATATATACAGGAATTCATCAAAAAAATGTTGCTCTGATGATGTTTTTACTTCACAGTCTAACATTGTTTAAAGCTTTCATCCTACTTAGTTCGTATGTTTGAAATTGGCTGAACCAATTGACAGTTTAGTGAGATTTCAATTAGGAAACTATAACAACAAAACTAGAATTTTTAGAAGGCACTAGATTAAAGGATGTTTTCAAATCTTAAGTAGTTGGATAAATTCTGTTGTACCAGGAAAAGATGAGCTTTATAGGTGTTTTCTCTAAATATCACAAATCCACACGAAACTGGATTTTAAAACAACGTGGCATCGCTGAGACAACACTGCAGGTTGCTCCATCTTCCTTGTCAAGAGAACATATGAAATAGTATTTCTAAAGTTTAAAAGATATGACAGTACTGTGATCAAAACATATGAGACTTTTAACTTCATGTAACCCAAAAATGTTGAGACACATCAAATGTCTCCATGGTGAATTAATATAAACCCTGTTTTTTTAGGCCCCTGCTCAGTAAGATGATGACGTGCACGGAACAGTCTCTGTACTATCGTCAGTGGACAGTTCCTCGCTCCTACCACATGGACTGCAGCAATCGCACTGAAGGACGGAGTGACAACTTTCACCCTCGCAGGCTGCTGCTCAGTGGACCTCCGCAGGTAGTGTCTGCCCTGTTTTCCTCTCTTTTACTCAAACTCACTCATTACTGAATATTTACAGCAGTTTTTTTTTTTACGGTTAGGTGGGAAAGACAGGGGCATACCTACACTTCTTGGGTATTCTGTCAAGGATGTTGATCCGACTGATGGAGGTGGATATCTATGATGAGGAAGACATCAACTACTGTGAGTGCTGTCTGCAGCAGCAGCTTCTGTGTCTCACTTACATTAAATAATATTGATTAGGAGGCTGTTCCAGGTGTAATAGATTACTTCTATCAATTTTCTCTTTTCAGTGTTTTGTTTTGACTGTCCATATGTTTGGTGTTGTAATCTTTTAAATGTGTATTGTGTTTAGGCGCCCAGGCAGAGGGGGTGCAGTACCATCCACCAAATACTCGCTGGCCCAACCCGGACATCATGAAGACAATACCCTTTGACTACGCCATCCATGACCCCAAATATGATGATATCAGTTCAGTCTTTTGCCCTGAATACAAACCCAGTGCTGAGGGTAAATGATATGATATGATATAAGTAACAAAGACAATCATGTTCACAACATTTTTCATCATGTTTACTGCTATCAAAACCATTCTCGACCCTCTTCTGAGGTTAACCTGTACACTGTGCTGTTTTCCTGAGTCATTTTTGCTCCTGTTGTCTTTTGAAGGAAACCCTTCGCGTCAGGAGGACATGTACCACCGGAGGCGAACATCTAGGATTAAACTGTCTAAGTACGCAGCCTACAACACCTATCACCACTGTGAACAGTGTCATCAGTACCTGGGCTTCAACCCCAGATACCAGGTCAGCAGAACACATCATTTTTTTCTTAGCATAAGTGACACTCGCAGGCTAATTTTGGCATTTTAATCTCAAAAGTTTTATATCCTCTTCAATCTTATGTTCAGATGTATGAGTCAACTCTGCACGCCTTCACATTCACCCATCTGCTGCTCGGGGAAGAGATCCAGCTTTACTTCATCATCCCCAAGTCCAAAGAGCACTACTTCAGCTTCAGCCAACCAGGAGGCCAGCTGGAGAGCATGAGACTGCCTCTCACCTCTGACTGGGTAAGAGCCCCGCTGAGCCCTAAACTCTTGGATCGAAAGTTTAAACTGTTTTCCCTCACGAGATGATTGTACAGGCTAAATAATAATGCAGCAGGGATAAATGTGCTTGTGCAGTGCAAGGGTACATCATCATAGTTGTTAAAAACTCCTGCAGGGTTGGTGAAAAAGGTCTTATAGTTTTGCACTTGTTTGTACATGTGGAGGTCACAAAAACCGTGGCGTAGCATGAAAAAGAGCTTAAAGGAGGACCTTAAGAGCAGCGTGAAGTGGCATGAAAATCTGATCACTGGTTTTAGTGAAGAATTGGCAGAAGCCCCCCAAATTTTCCACTCTAAGCAGTATGGGGAAGCTTTGTGATGATTCAACAATGAAGTTAAACTGTAGCTAAGACTGCAGATGGGGATTAAACTTGTCTTATTAGGGTCACAGACTCGATAAGATGATACAGTAAATCCTTTTTAAGTACATGCAGACACACAAATATTTCAACACATTACTGTGGCCTTAAGATGATCACATGCAGAGTTATTAACTTTCAGAATGTCAATATATTTAATCTCCACTAGGTGGTACTACAAATCCAACTGTGGCTTGAAACTTGCCAGCCAGCCAGAAAACAAACATGTTCCCATTTATTTCCTGGTGTGTATAATGTATAATAATCATTCTCAGATTATTATACATTAGATTAATCAGATTAAGGCACAGATGTTGTCTGCGGGAATTGATGGATCCTGAAACATTTTGATTATGAGAGCAAAAGTCAGTTACTTATAATGAGAGACTTACAATGACAGTGCAGTAGTTTCCTTTCAGCCGATTTCAAATTATGTTTTATGGTCTTATTGTAGTATATATTGCATTTGAAACTGTGGTGTTTTTAATACGTTTTCTTTTAACTTTCTCAGAGCCCAGACTGCATCAAAAGTCCAATCTTCACCCCGACCACTGGTCGTCATGAGCACGGTCTCTTTAACCTGTACCACGCCATGGATGGAGCTTCACATCTACACATCCTTGTGGTCAAAGAGTATGAGATGGCTGTGTACAAGAAATACTGGCCCAACCACATTATGCTGGTTCTGCCCACCGTCTTCAATGGAGCTGGAATAGGTACGGCACCACATCTACTATTTAGGGCTGCCAAAGAATATTATTATTATTAGTATTATTATTCCAATATATATGTGCTCGGCAAGAAGGACAGTCACAGGGGTCACAACTTCACTAATAAAGGCAAAGACTTCACAGCATCATGGGGCTGCAGATAAAGTCATTTAAACATAGAGTCAGGTGTACATTACAGGGCTCGACAGTGCGACCGTTGTACTCACATTTGTGACTAAAAATAGATGTATGCAAAGTGTAAAATGCATTTAGGGCCACGTGTGCGCATAAAAAAATCAGCTGAGGCAACAAATGTTTTTTCATGTAAATACCGCAGTGAAGTTAGTTTTAGGTTGGATATCCGATGGACATTCACTACGGATCTACCGGTGTCTTCTCATTCTCCATAACCGGGAATTGCAACAGCAGCGCGGTTAAATCTACTCTGCATCCTCGCTGTTAACATCGGGTGTTGAATAAGGGACCATCAATAAATTACTGGTTGATGTTCTCAAAAAGGCTGTTTTCCCTCAATAGCTTCCATGTCATGTGACCAAAAGACCTAAAATTGATTTCAAATAATAGTACTAAGGTCTGACAATAAGACACACCTCTTTTTTTCCCTAATTTGTCATCTAAAAATTTTTGTGTTAAATTTAAAGGCAAATTTAGAACATTTTCTTCAATAGCTTCCATGTCATGTGACCAAAAAAACTAAAATTGATGTCACATAGTAGTACTTATGTCAACCATGTGCTTCTTGTGGAAAAAAGTCTGTGTCAAGCCCTGCATTAGGTGGTGTTTCTCAGTTTTTGGTGTCTGGCAGGTAAATATATCAGTGGCCAAAAATCTTCAGAAAACACCAAAATGTAGATGTTTTTTCTACTAAAATGCATGTGAAAAAACAAGGATTATCTTTCATGTGTGCTGTATGTTGATGACAGAGCAGTGAAGTAGGCTCCTGATCTTTCTTGCAACCCATCACCACACATCACGTGCTGCTCAGTAAAGCAGAAAAGAGAAAACAGTGGGACCAGTATGTTGTCAGGCTGTTCAGTTTGCTCAACAAAACAACAGGACAGGACAGCATGTCTCTGTCTACTTCAGAAGGATGAGAAGGACCATAACAGACTTCCACTTCTGCACAAAGTTAGAGTGAGGTGACTCTCATCCTGGCTGAAGGAGGAGGGGGAACGATCCACTGGGGTGTAATATGCATTTGTGAACAACAGCAAACGGCACCAACTGACATTACGGCCTCCCACACGCTGATCAGGATGAAGTTCAGACAAATTTACCCCAGAGGGAGGTACAAATCAGCTGTGTTAACTGCTTGGGCTGGCTTATGAGATAAATGTTGAAATGATAGGATTTAAGTTACACTGTATTTGTTTACAGTGAAATGATGACACAGCTCCAAGCTTAATGCAAGCATGTTAATCAGTTATTAAATAGTCAGTCAACTTTTGTCTTCATCCAACAGCTCATGACTTTTTCTCCTTTCTGCTGCAGGCGCTGCTCACTTCCTGATCAAAGAGCTCTCGTATCACAACCTAGAGCTGGAGCGCAGTCGGCGTTTGGAGGGAGGAGGCCCGGCAGGTGATGTCTGGCCCTTCATCATCCTCGCTGATGACTCCTGTGTTATGTGGAATGCAGTGGATCTGGATTCACGCAGGTAGATATCAACATAAAACTTTAAAGTGTCGGAGTGTCGGACACTATAATTTTTTGTTTCTATGAGACATACTAATGTATTTTTTTTTTGCTGTTGCTAGTGGTGCAGTGGAGCATGCTGTGTCACTGAAGCAGGTCTTACAGCACATGGAGGCTTGTCCGGACCTGGCGCACTATGGACTCTGTGGGATCAGGAAGTGGAGCAGCCGTGGACTAGCAGGTCAGAGTCATGACGTCAGAAGTGAGATGCAGAGTGAAATGTCTTTAGTTTATGGTTTCAGTAAATTTGAATCAGAAATATTTGTATCTTTTTGTCCAGGTAACTTAAAGAGAGAACCTTTCTCCAGAGGTCACCTTCACGATTTTCTCCTCCTCAGTGTTGACCGGAGTCAGAACGTCCAGTATGACCAGAACCGCTTCACCTGTCATGACGTGGACTTCACTCTGAGGCTGCACAGTGCAGGACTGCTCGTCTGCAGGTTTAACAGTTTCAGTGTCATGAAGAAGCAGATTGCCATCGGAGGATACAGAACATTCATCATCAAGACCAAGGTACCAGATCAACAACTACAAAGATAAAGCCCATCATTACCCACAGAGCAGAGATACATGATTATATCATAATTAGTGTAAAAAGTAGCATGTGGAAATTTCCCACAGGAAAATTCAAAATTCAAAAATTAATGTAGTTGTCATTGTTCAATTCAATTGAATTGTGTCACACCAATAAAAGTGTGAGTGATAGGCTGTAAAATATTGATCATTGAACTTAAGTTTGAAATCCTTCCAGACGACGGATGTTCCCACCTCAGTGGGGCCGTCTCAGTACGTCTGTGCTCCAGACAGCAAGCATCTGTTCTTGGCTACACCAGCTCAGCTGCTCCTGGAAAAATACCTCCAACACACCAGCCAGAAGCTGTTTCCTCTCAGCACCAAGAACTACACGCACCCTGTACTCTCTGTGGACTGTTACCTGAACCTTGGACCTGAGGTAAACAGCACACTCACAGACACTCAATAAATATGAATCCCAGTGAGTCTTAGTTTTTGATATGGACATTAGTAGAGATGGACAGACAGAAGACAGCTTCTGTGTTGAGCATAAGTTCCTATATTCATACTAAAAGTCACACTTTTCTCTCTTTTTGCAGGTGACGGTGTGTTTTGTGAGTTCCAGACCTCACTCTGTCAACATCGGCACCACAGGGCTCCTTTTCAGCGGCCTGCTCCTCTGTTTCGCTGACTCTTTTGTGACAGCGGGGTTCCTCAAAAAGTTCACCTTCCTCAAAGGTACTCGGAGCAGACTTAGGGTAACAGTTGTCCAGATGCAATGATACATTTTTAAATAACACACCTGATCAAAGTTAATGCACGTTGTACATGAGATTTAAGTTCTCATTTATAATGCTTGAATGTGCGACAAGACATACATTATTGTTGATTAAAAAACAACCACAGGTTACGAATGCAGAGCTGCATGGCTGCTGTTTCCTCTTTAAGTTACTAAGTAGGTCAAAAGTGGTTGGTTTCCACTTGGTATTCAAAGTCTCTGTCCCTCTCCCTCCTGTCTGCCTCCCTGTAGGTGCGACTCTGTGTGTCATCGGTGCAGATCGTAGCTCCTTGAGGCAGACGGTGGGCAGGTTGGAGCTGGAGGAGGAGTGGAGGTTTAGACTCAGCGACGAATTCCAGACCGCCAACGCCAAGGAGGACCGACCGCTCTTCTTTCTGACCGGGAAACACATATGACTGAAACACATGAATGCAGTGGTGCTGAATGATGTCACTTTAACGATCAAAGAAGAAATGCATTGGAGTTTTTTTATTTTTACAGCGTAACAGTGGGCTCCGTCACCACGCATCCATTGCCCTGACAGGGAACAAACTCGACAAGGTCATCCGAAGAGAATAAAAGACATTATTAATCTGGATCATAAACTCAGTTAAGAGATTATTTTTCCTATGCCACCTGTGATCACATTGAGATTGGAGCAGAAGAACATGTCATGATGATTATAATACCCAACCCAGAGAAGGAAAGGACCCGTGAGACCAGCTGAAAAAGTTGTGGTTGGAAAAACAAAACTTGATGATCATGAATACACACACTAATAGGATTTTGAAGCGAGGTCTGATTCTTTGCTCCTAAATTAAAGCTGGACAGCTGTGTCATGAGAGGTTGGGATCTTTAAAAGTATGTGTGTTTTTTTTTACCAAGGGATCAAGAGGAAATCATTTTGTATCATATGTTTAATTTTATTTTAAATCTTTCGTAATTTTTGGCCTTCGTGTGTCATGGTCATCCTGTGACCAAGGGAAGATGTTCAGATATTAGGAGGGAGATTTTTTTATCTTTTTAGGTGTTATTCATGAAACAGTCAATTTCACATGTAGACAACACATCTGTAAAAATATATACTGGATACTCCTCTCTTCTTAAAGCAGAAATACCAATGTAGTAGGGATTCAAACGCCTTTTTAGATACAAACACTATTTTGATATACTGAACACGACAAAGGGGAGAAACTTCCCTGTTTGAAAACATTTACCTGACTTTGTAATTTTAGATTCTACTTCTGTATTTTTTGGTATGTCTTTGCATGCTCAGCTATGTTCAAGTATGAATTGCAGTCTAACAGGGTTTTGCACACGATGTGATAATCTGAAACAATCATTTGTGTGCGATTGTAGCCGATACTTGGCAGTTTAGATTTGTTTTGCTTGTCAGTATTTTTAAATATAAGTCATTTGAGTTTATCTTGTCTGATTTGCGTAATGTAAAAAGTACTTATTAACTGTGTGAACAAGAAAACTTTTTTTTGCTTGTTGAGTTTCTAAATTTTGAATTTGCATTGTTTGTATTTTGGGTTGTATTTGTGACCACAACCATTGTATTGGCAGCTCACTGTTTACACTTTTGTACGCCTTAACCTGTATAAATGTACAGACCTTTTAAATGCCTCTATTTTGTGTGTGTTTGTGACTTTGAAATACTCCTTAATACTCAGATTATGCGAGCTTGAGATGCTTTAGGTTATAGCCTGCCGTTAATGTGACACACTGGTCAGCTGCTGTTACTGTTTGTCACTGAAACTGAAAACAAGACATGGACACACATATATTTTCCAATCTTGCTTTAATAGCTCAAACTTTCTTTACTAAGACTCAAAAGAAGTTTGTTTCTTTCACTTTTTGAGACAAACAACATAAACATAAAACAGAGTTTCCTGGAAGAGTGCTCTGAAACGTTGGTCCTCGTGTGTCCTGCAGAACGTGTGCCAGTTTGCACAAGACATTAGACACTGCAAGCCCAGCTTCCAAAGTTTAGCTGGCTGTTAGCACGTATCACAAGAGGAGAGGGTCAAGTGGCAAACATTACGCTACGATGACAGAACATGCTGCTGCCCTCAGATGCACCCCGTGTCCTCGTGTTGAGGGGATCAGTGTCTCTGTGTATCTGTGAGACGCAAGGTGATAAACAACTATACATTTGAACTTTTCTCCACATTGTGCTTTTAGATTCTAAGTGATGAGTATGAGTATTGAATAACGTGACTGTTGCGTCATGGTTTTGGATAATGACACAAAAAATGTACCTCACATGGACTGTATGTTTTTGTGTGTGTGTGTGTGTGTGTGTGTGTGTGTGTGTGTGTGTGTGTGTTTGTTTATGCATGTGCTGTGTGTACAGTGCAGTGTCCAGCTAACCCTCTCAGATTTCCTCCAAGTAGTCCGTTCCTAGAACATGATAAATTTAGTCTAAAATGCTCTCTTCATGTTGCACGGGTTACCCACTCACCGATTTAAGAGTCGAAGGACTAAACTGGATTCATGTAGACGAGCTTTTGCACCATGATGAAGAGATGCAGTTAAATTTGTAGAGTTGAGTAAGCTGCATCTACTACAAAGTATTCTCGAACTGAAATCTAAGATAGCATAGATCTATGAGACATCTGACCAAGGGACGGGAAAAAAACAAAACAAACGGTTTTTATTTTTTTTACACGGCTTGAATTCTGCAACTTTTTCCAGAAGATTTCTGCTCAGACCACTTAGAGGGACCCCTCAGATTACTCTGCTATGTTCTGACAGTCTTCACAACAAGAGTCTGCACAGCAGCTCAGGATCGTGAACCATGCGACTCACAGCCATGACCCATGTGGTGGATAGAGAGCAGTACTTCAGCAGCCACAGTGAAGACGACAGCCCACGTTACAGCTGGTCCTGGGTAACATATTTTTATTTTATTTACTTTTGTATTATTTACTCATTTAGAAAATGTTGACAATCTCCAAAGAAGTTTCATCCCAATTTCCAAAAGATCAGGAGGCTAAACTGTCTCATTTTGTCCAAGCAACTGTCAGAAACCCAATGAAAGCCAGGATGTTGTAATCAAAAAGGGAAATCCTTGTGTTGGAAGGGCTAAAATTAGCTTTTTGGCTTATTTAATTTCAAATTCTCAATATTAGATTCTTATCACATTTTTACATTCAAATTAGTTCTTGACTTTCAACATAAAATCCCCAGCAGGTTCAACCGTGAATGAGCATGTAGCTCACATAAAATTTATAGAATTAAGAGCAGAAATTACAGGGAAAGAAGGAATTTTAGAGCAAAAGGATTTATCTGAATCAAAAAATGCTAACCATCCTTATCAACAAACACAATCACAGAGGATGGATGGAGGCATAAGTAGGAAAAAAAACAGAGACCACCTGAGCAGTCAGAGAAGAACCTGTGTCCTTAAAGACCCTGTGATCAGATATCACACTCACCCCGTACCCTTTTGTTGTACAGCAGTGCAACATATGTACACAGGGCATGTGAGCTTTTGTCTGTTTGTGTGCAGTGTAACCATGTGCTCGATCAACACACAGCTCTATGCATGACCTCAAGCCTACACACGTACTTATAAAGGCATATTACACCACAGTTAGTGGACCCATTACATAACAGTCCCACCATGTAGAGGCCTGTGAGCGGCTCTGTGGGCTCAGGCAGCACCTCCACATTCCCTTTTCCACCTTCAGATCATATCGTACTGAAGTTTATCTTAAGCTGCTCAGTTGTTTTGTCTACCTGCTCACTCTCAGTGAAGCTGTGTTGGTGTGTGTTCTAACATTTCCTGGGGCTGTATGAGTTGTATAATAGTGTCATGGTGTTTCTATCATCTTTTCACGTATTTATGTTTCATGAGTTTCATGTGGTTTACATACAATATGAGTAATATGCAGAACGTAGATGTTTGAAGTTTTTTTGGCTTGTGTTCCTCTGTTTTCACATGCTGTGTTGTGATATTGTGCAGATAAATACTACAGTGGAGGCGGCTAAATGTGTGCAGCACAAGAGTCTGAGACAAATTTCCATCTTTATAAAATGTCTCATATCATATTGTTTCATATTGTTTTTGAATCCAGATAACTACTGTGTTGTATCTTATATCATATTATACCCAATTGAAAAGTGTCATATCATGTGGCATTATATATGAATTAAATTCAGTGTAAAATAAACACAAGATAAATTCTACAGTGCTATCAGCTAAGTGTGCGAGACTTAGGTCCCAGACAAATTTCCCTCTAGGAACCATCAAAAATATGGCTTTGTATTGTATTGTGTCATGTATCACTGTATCATATCATAATGTAGTGAATGGTATCACATTGTGTTGTATCATGTCATAGAGAACAGTGTCATATCATTATGAGATCAAATCACATTGGATTGGATCACGTGAAATCAGCTTGATTAATATCTTATCCAGCCTTATCAATCAAATTGTATCAGGGCAAATTGAATCGAATTCTATCATATCACATTGTACCGTATTGGTATTGTTTCATTTTGTTTCATATCATACCGTGTTGTGTTAAATCAACAATGTCGTATTGCAGTGTAATCCATCGCAATGTACCGTGGTCTAGCGTGTCATGTCAAAATGTATTGGGTCACTAAGTACTGTATCATGCCATATTGGATAGCACTGTACGGTGTGATATTGTATCCTGTTCAATCATATCCAATAGTATTTTCTTGCATGGTACTGTATCATTTTGTACAGCATTGTGTTTCATTGTAATATTTCCTGCCTCAGTCAGAAGTTTAAGTGATGTTTATTCCCAGATTCATAGTATTATTCTGAATTACTTTAGATCCCCTGTGTTCAGGTGGTCATATTCACTAGTCAATAAAAATCAGCACGAGCATATGAAATCATACATCATTTGGGAGCTTTTTCTATTTCACAACCGTTGACTGAAGACTATCCTGCAAAAAGCTTTGCAAACACTCTGCTGCATCTCCCAAAAATCACATCGAAATGTTTGATGTTGCGTGCTCAACAAGATCTCTCATTTATGATGGTAATAAAACTTGGAATCTAGCGGCTACTGCTTTATGTAAGAGGATTGGTTATTTCTGTCCTTTGCTCTATTAGGTCACCTGGTGGTCACACGGACATGTGCTCTGTCTCTGTAGGTGAAATTTTGTATAATAACACTCAATAAAAGACAGTCTTGCCTCTTACAAATGCAAAAACTTGATCCACCTTGAGTCAGATTTAGTTGTTGAGGCCAAAAGAGGATTGAAGGCTGCAGTTTGAAAAGCTGCAATCGGTCATGTCTGGGCTGGGATACCAAACTAATCTGATTTTTCTAAAGCTGCGCAGAATATCTGCCAGGACACAGGGGCGGCTTGAATAACTCAGCTGAAAATGCAGCTCAGGCAGCCCTCTGATTGGCTCATGGAGCCCATCCCCCAAAAACACCCCTGTTGCTGTGGTGATGAAATGAATGTATTCTTGACCTCGGAGAGAGTTCCTGGGAGCGATGAGGCTTCCCCTGTCTCAGCAAACCACCATCTTCCTCCCTCCTTCTCCCTCTCTCTCTTCTTCTCTCCCTCACGTGTCTGGCGTGAAGCAACACTGTAGGGTGATATATGGAGAGATAGAGACAGTTAACAGCCAGCATACACACAAACACATAAGCCATAAACACACACACATTAACACATACTTCTCATACATGCAGAGAGCAAACACTGACCCACCCACATAAACAAACAACGCACATGGCTGTCCATGTGACGTAATGAATGAATGAAATTCCTGAAATTACACACAAAACCAATCCTGTGGTTACAGATACATTTTCTTCACACTCAAATAAGCTTCAATTACTCTCAGATTTTGACGACCTAAATCTGTGACCTTTAAGGCATGATTTTGGCTTTCTCGCACAAAAACGAACAAAATAAAATTGACATTACTCTCATTTCTGTTGGTTACCCAGCTGCAGATAGTTAGCACAGCTTAGCCCTAATACTGGAAATGTGGAAACAGCTTGCCTTACTCTTGGTCTGATAGAACATGCATGTATGAAGTATAAAGAGGTGAGCTTTGGAGGTGTGCATATTTTATCCACCAGTGTTGCTGTTGGGTACAGTGGATCAGTCCTTCCCTGGTCCCACAGCTTCTAACAGACATCTTTTTGTGGTTTTGATTTTCTGGTTGTTGGTGGTCTGCTCACAGGAAAAACTGTATTTTGAGGCCTTACAAAAGGTGTTAGATACATTGGGACTCCTGACAAAAATCGGCACAGACTTAACAGTTGAATCAGGACAACTACTACGCACCCACTATGTTAAGGGTCGGTTTTGACCTGTGTCTTAAATCAGCTGTAAATTACACTAAAAACATTTCTCTATCATCCAGTTTGGTTCTTATCTCTAGGTTACCTTGTTTGGCTTCATTATCCATGAAAATATTGATTATAATATTTTTTGTAGTGGGCCTCTGTGCCTTTCTTTGTCTCATACTCCTCATACAGACATCTATACTGAATTGATCTTACATGTCTGTGCCTGTTTTTGTGTGGGTAAAACATGACAAAATTAGAATTTCCTGAATGTCACATGATTGGAAGAGGATCTGACTGACGGTGCACTTATGATTTCAGTTTTTGCTCTAATTATTAGATTATGATCTAGCCGAGTAAACAGCGACCCCAACACGACAAGTGCCATAATTTTAAGAAGAGCATTTTATAATTTAGTCAATTCAACTTTTTTAATTTTTATTTATTTTTGAAATAGAGGTTCCTGACAAAGTCAAAAAGTCTTGATGCAGAAAAGCTCATTTAAGTGGTTCTTTTAAGCATTTAAAACCCAAAACGGGTCGGAACAGACCCTAACACAAGAGAAGTGTTAAAAAAATAAAGGGCAACAGCATTTAAGGAGGGACATAAAAACTATAATCATGGTATATGAAGCCATTTACTTTGTACTTTAAAATAGACATTTACATCACCTATAAATGTAATTTGTGAGCCTGAGTCTGATTGAATCCACCTGACCCTGCAGTCAGTCTGCACAGCGGACTACATAAACCAGTTCTTCTCCTCTGTTGCCCTTTCAGACTGACACAAACGTTGACATTCTGCAAACTCACTCCCTCCTCTGCTCTCCAATCCTTACTCTCTCTCTGCCTGTCACTCCTCTTTCCCCTCCCTCTCTCCCTCTCCCTCTCCTTGGTTACTTGTTGCTCTCTGATGAATGGCTCAGTTCTTGGAAGTCACAACACGTGTTTCCTTGTTCACTCTCCTGCTGCCTTGTGCTGAGAGTGTGCATGAAAATGTGTATGTATGTGCATCAACAATGAGGAAGTGAGTTAAACAGTTACACAGCACAAATGTGTGGACGCACTGATTGAGTGATTGACATGTTTTGATGAGGTTTATTTAACGCATGAAAAACCCATCCTCTTATTCTCTTTCTTCCTTTGTAGGCTTTCATTCCTCGACAGACGCTCAATTTCTCTGCCAGTGCTCACATGTTGAGACAACTTAATATGCATGCCATGGGTGAACTATTGTATCACCACTTTCTAATAAACAGCAACAGTTGGATAGGAGAGGGACTCGGTGGTCGGGTTCTCAGAAACATTGAGCAACACCAAAAATCATGAGACTCTGTCAAAGGAAACTCTGTGGGGAGGCAAACCTTTGTGTTTGTTTCTCTAAAGCTGGAACTTAGAGTCCGGACTTGACTTGGTCAGCCCGTATCACCTTACATAACCTTACTATAATCTGATTACAGAGGTAAGAGACATACAAGCAAGTATGTAAAACAGTTAAACTGGAGTAATCATTTTCTGGTCTGCTGGAAATAAACACAATTTTTCCAGTTTAATCTTATTCCTTTCCTTAAAATACTTGATGGACATGCGATAAATCTATAAATAAAAGGATCACGTCGATAATAATCATAAATATGGATATTTGTTTTGCATATTGAGAAGATCTTATCAATGCTCTAAGTATTTGTAGACAAAATGCCATTAGTGAATTTAGTTGAATTTTTAATTAATCAATTTTGTATTAAAACTGACACTTCGAGCTAGCAAGCAGCTAGCTTAGGTAGTTGCCTGGCTACCTTAAAATAAAAAACAGCTCCCATTGAAGAAAAAACATTCCTCTAATGCACATTCTGATACTAATAAAACATAATCATTATTTTTTTTTATTTAATAAGCTTTATAGGGAGTGCAAGGCAGATTTCTTGGTGTTTTTAGACAATACCAAGCTAGCTACTCACTGGGGGGGACATCCCGCCATTCTGACATTGGTCTCTAATTGTCCGAGTGGCGGTATGTTACCATGCTATCAAACGTCCCGTCATTCTGACAACTCTCGTCTGCTATGGTCGGCCACAAAGCCCAGCTACGCTCGAGATTGAATGACGGACTCCAGATGTGAATGCACCCCCCCCCCCCCCCTTATATCGGAATGGTTAGACGTCGGAGTGGCGGGATGTCGGAGTGCTGCGATGTCAAAGTGGCAGCATGTAACCACTCACTGGTATAAGCAGCCTCACTGCTAAACTGAACAAACCAGCTGCTACCTTTATTCATAGTGTGTCTAATAGTCCAAAAACACATTACTGGCTCAGTTTTCAAATATTAACAGTTTGTTTTCAGAAATTGTGTTCAAAATATTTGTGCTTTGTCATCTTTTAACTCCCAACAGTTTTGTAGATAACCTTAGACTTCCTCAAAAACCTGATTTTTCAATTAGCCAACAGTATTGTTTTTACAGTTAATCAGATTCTTACACTAGAACAGTACAGGCCATGTGTCTGGTTGAATAAAAACAAAAATGTTTTATATCCTTCATGTGCCAAAATGTAGTAACCAAAGACACAGAAGAAAATGATCTCCCTCATCTGACAATGTCTTGGTCTGGCTTCAAGTGTCGGCACAGGCTGGTTGACTTACATTTTGAAAACTGAGACACAGTCTGTGCAAGGCAGAAAAACAGATGCCTTCAAGCCTCTTGAATGTCAGCGCTATTCTTGTCTGCGCAGCGCCACATATTATACATCAATTTCTCAGAAATATGAAGAGGTTTCTTATTACCTACCCTCTTTATTCACACAGAAAGAAATGGACGCCTTAACATCTACTGTTCTGTATGTGTTATCTATGAACTAACAAATTATATGTGTCGACTGGTATAAGGCTGGCTCTTAATATTCAGTTTGTGAAGATTCCACATCTTAATCCTTTTTGTTAATGGTTAAATGAGGGGAGAAAACTTAAAACCACTTACATTTATTGGAATATTATGCTTTAGTAAACCTCGCCCATAAATACTTACTGATGAGAACTGACAGAAAAAGTTTTTAAGATTGATATATAATATATAAAATAACACCAGGACAGGGACACCAGATTAAAAAAAAAAATTAAAAAGTTGCTTTAACCTACTGCTAACCAGCTTTCCAGTCGCCTTCAGGCAATTTAAAACAAGGCAAGCATTCTTACGTGCTTCGTAAAGCATATTACGTCAAGAGTTAAAAAACAAATAAAACTGTTTGGCTTAATATACTTAAACTTTCTTTATTGTCATTGCGCAGAATAAAACACAGCAGTGATTTCTCTCAGCAACGAAATGTCGTTGCTTGGCTTCCATATCACAGCATGATGGTGTTTTAATTTAATATACAGAAAAAAATAAAAAACAATAAAACTAAAAAATGATCAAGAAAATAATGATTTTTCTTTATTATACTAAATCAGTTGTAGAGGTCATGCTAATATGAAATAAGATAAATCATTTAGTTACCTTCTCAACATTTTGTTATTCATATAAAAATAATAGGTTTTGCTTAGAACACAGCTGGGGACATCAATGTGATACTGATAACCAATTTCGGCCTTATGCCCTAAGGCTGTGGTCCAAGCAGGTCAGAGGTCACGGTCAAAAAGTCAGTCAGAGGGGGTCTTCCCAATTTGTTAAAGCAAAACCCAAACAACTGTCACTCTAGATGAGAGCAAATGCAGCAACCATGATACTGCAAACCATAAAGGCTTTTAGAAAGGAACTGAAGATCTCATAAGAGCTCCAGCAACACTTGTAGTTCAGGAAACAACTTTATTTGACCTTCATCAGGATTAGGTCTTCATCAGGGTCATCAGGATGAAGGCCACAAGCTGAAACACGTCGGTCTAATAAAGTTGTTTCCTGAACTACAAGTGTTGGTGGAGCTCTTTTGATATCTTCAAGACCTTTTCTCTCCAAGCACTTTGGAAGTCAGTGAAGTTTTGCCAGAACTTTTGACTGCTAATTTTTAGAAAGGAACCAAACTACATGAAGCTAATGTTAATCCTGTTCTGTGACTATTTTATATGATTTATAAATACAAAAATCCTCTTAAAAGGCCAGCAGTCAGTCAACACGTTGTACAAAGGGATATTGGATAAATAACTCCTCATAAAGGCTAAATAAATGAATGTAAACACTTGAAACCACCATGATACACTAAACTCATTTTTAGAGGGAAATTTTCAGTCAACATTGTGTGTCGTCATCTCCGGCTCAGCCAATCAGGCGCCTCTGTGTCTGCAGTCCGGTGGTAGTGGGAGGAATAATTTCACCGAGGTTTAAATAGCGAAGCACCCTTGAGCAGAAGATCTCAAGATCAGATATGAAGAAGGATTTACCGACAATGTGTGAGCTGAGGACTGACACGTAGCGGACTAAAACCGTGTAAAAAGGACGAGGGGTGTAAACATTTGGATGGCGGAAACATCCCAGAGCGAAAAGCGAAATTCATAAATAATGTAAGTAGCACTGCTGGACTGTGGGCTACAGTAATTCTCCGTCAGGATAATAATACACATCTTTTTTGAACCTATATTCAGTAATTACCCCATATTGAGCTGCAAAAGTCTTGTTGCACGGTGGATCTGCTTGTTTTAATGCGCGGTTGTTTGAATGAAGGCAGAGCTGAGGACTGCAGAGCCTCACCCCGTGTGCAGATGTTTACATGTCGACTCACAGGCCACACAACATACTACCATTACACTCTCAACCTCATATCACTCTTATTTCATATTCTACCTTTCTGTTCTCTTCCATATTATTTGTTATCCAGCTTCAGCATTTAATCTCACCTCAACATTTTTTTTTTTCTTATCATGCTGTTTATTTCCAAAGAAGTCGGTTTTTATTAATAATTAAAAATATCTTATATCTTTTTATCATCTACCAGGATGAGACATTCAGAATGAACCCTGTCTGCCCTCTCTCTACATAGTTGTAGTCAGTAATCCCAGAGTGTCAGACTGCTGGTCGTGTCACATTAAATTTAATTGGATAATCCATCACATCATCATGATCTTCATCATCTGTCTGATAATCCCTCAGCCTCTCTGTCACCCCTGTCTGACTCTCGGTTTGCATGAGCTCATTTGACTTCTTGGTGTGCTGCTCTGACTCTGAAACTAAAGGTTCATTTGTACTTTATTGTACCAGTAAATCTCTTTGCTGTTTGGTGGTGTAAATAACTGGTCTGGCTGAGTGCTGTTGGTATAGAAATGAGTTTTTAGACTACGTGCTTAGATATTAGGTTATTTCTTCAGCAAAATAGATAAATAAATAAATGTTGCATGGCACTGAATGACCCACAGAGCTGACTCATGATTGGTTGTATTACATAATGGAGAAGCATTGTGATTGGCCGTGAAACAGAGATTTCTTAGAAGAGAAGGCAAGGCTTTGGCTGTGTGTGTGTGTGTGTGTGTGTGTGTGTGTGTGTGTGTGTGTGTGTGTGTGTGTGTGTGTGTGAGAGAGAGAGTGTGTCTGAGTGTGTGTGTGATTGTTTAGCACGTGGTCAGTTTTGACAGTGATAGGAGGTCTGTAGTATTTGAGAATGAGCGCTTGAGCATGTGTGTGTTTGTGACACCATGTAAACAAAAGGGCATGTTGGACAAAAAGGTCAAATAATTATGTAATCACATTGTTACATAGTCCCAATAGTGGTTCCTGGTTCTTGAGCATGTGACTTAGAGGGCTCCATATCAGCTCGATTAATTTGCCCGATTTATTAATCGCTCTATACATCACTTTTGCCTTCAGATACCCTTCTCAGATCTCTGTCCCATCTTAGTTTGCCCTCTATTTATACCTTTGAACGCAAATCAACATTTACATTTGATAAGAAAGTCTTCAATAGAGATTGAAGGTAATCTGCTGGTCAAATAATCCACAGGCTCATTCTGGACAGTAAATTTTGAACTCTTTTCTGAAGTAGTAGACATAAAATGTTGGTGAAAAATGTCCTAGTGTCGTTTCTGGATGTCACTTATATTAGAAAATTTGCCTTATTATATTTAATTTATTACATTTCAAGCAGGAAGTCCGAACATATCCGAGAAAGCATCTCTGTTGGTTTAAAGACCATGTGACATTTTTGTGTAATATGATTTAGGCAGAGGTACCATGAGGCCCAGTCTGGGAGCTCTGACAGTGTTGTATATGTGTTTTGTGTTGATGTAGCAGACTGGTCAGAACAACTCTCACATGGGTCTGATGCCCAGTCATTAGAGCAGAGGCGCCCTAATCTGTGATTCACAGGAATGGATGTGAACAAATCATCTTCGTCATTAGAGGTTCTTGTGTGGTCTGCCAAAACCTTGGCCATCTGTTTGGCAGGCTGAAACAATGTGTGTGTGTGTGTGTTTGTAAAGTGTCATAATCTGCGTCAGCACAAACAGGTGGAGATAGTACAGGACATGTTGTCACACAGACAGGACTTTCATCTCTCATATTTCTTGTGAGTCTTATTATCTGTGTCTTTCTTTCTTCTTCACCTCTCTGCTTTATCTCTCACATCCTTTGAATTTGTCTGAGTCATTTAGAAGATTCTGACGAGTTAATTTAGAGCTGCTCTCATCACAAAAAAACAGTCACAGAATCTTGAACACTGACACCAGTTTGGTGTTTTGATTCTTTCGCATTGCTCTGCAGATGAAAAAGGATGCCACTGAGGTTGTTTCGGTAGTCTAATACACTCTTTTTCTTTAAGACCACTTGCTTAATAGCATTTAATTCCGACTTATCTTTCCACAAGTATGTCTTGTAAACATTTGCTTTTGTCCCATCTCACCGCCCATTTTGTCTGCACATGTTATCAACAACCAGCCATCTCAGTACAGTAAATGAATTTCCCCTGTCTGTGTGCCTCTCTGAGGCCATGTTTGGCAAAATGACTGAGAGCATTAAAGGCTGAAAATCAGATGGACTGGCACAGCACCACATGATCTCTCTCATCCTTAATGGGGTGGATCAGCCTTACAGAGAGAATAAGAGGATCTTGCTTTTTTAAAATTATTTTTGCTTTGATAGACGATATTAAACAGAATATGTTTACATCTGTGCACTGACACTGACTTATTACTGCTGCAAACATACTCTGTGTCCAGCAACACCATAGGAATAAATAAAAGCTCCTAAAACAGCCACTGTTAATGGTTTTAGAAACCTGCTATTGCATGTGAGCAGTTATCAGTCAGTAGTGTAGTTTATGTGGCAGATTAACTGTATGACCTTGCTTTGACCCCCTTTTTTCAGAAAAGTAGTAAACAACTTTCTTTCTTCCTGTTTCTCTACTGTGTGCTTCCAGTTACAGACCATGAACTATGTGGGTCAGTTGGCGGGTCAGGTGTTCGTGCAGGTCAAGGAGCTCTACAGGGGACTCAACCCTGCAACCCTGTCTGGATGTATAGATGTCATTGTGGTGAGACAGCCAGATGGCTCCCTGCAGTGCTCCCCTTTCCACGTCCGCTTTGGGAAGATGGGCGTGCTGCGGTCTCGTGAGAAAGTGGTAAGATATTACGATGTTCTCTTACTCATGCATTTACTCTTTATATCACTGTAGAAGCCTGACCTTGTATGTTTGAATGACGGTAACATGAGAGCTTTAAAACTGCTGCTCATACTTGTTGTGACGTCAACAGAAAATATCGGGCGTTGAATAAAAACCTCCTTAGACACGATAAAGGTAGTTTCACACTGTCAAGAATATGTTCAGGTTTGAGTTATAGGCTAACAAAACACTGTAAAGGTGAGATTTTTTGCAGGTAAATTTTCAGTTAAAAATGGCACACAAATACACTTAATAGATTTAGAAAATATATATGATTTAACCTCTAATTTTACGCAGTTAATGAGCAGTAATGCCAAAAACCAAGACACCTTTTAAATAATCCATAACAAAGATTTAGCCATTGCTGAGGTTAAGATAAAAGATTAAAAGAAGAACCCAAAGGTTGAGCAAGTTCAGTGGATTGCAAACACAATGTGTCCATGGAACTGAAAGTAGCTGCTTTCAAGGTTTCAATCATCATAAATAAAAATACAATTCATGGAGCTACTTCTCAGAAAAGGGTTTTTGCAAAGAAAGATACATCAGTCCACAGTAAATTCTGTATCTGATTGCACATGCCTTAGTGAATTCCCAGACTTAAGGTTGTTTTCTTCATACTAAAAGTTTAAGAACTTGTTTAAAGACTGCTGTTTTGTCCTGCAGGTAGACATAGAGGTTAATGGAGAGCCGGTGAGTCTGCACATGAAGCTGGGGGAAAATGGCGAGGCCTTCTTCGTCAAAGAAACTGAGAACACTCTGGTGAGTTATGAATGACAGCGTCATCACTCTGACTTTGTAAAAGTATACGCAACTATAGGTCACAACTTAACCGACATGCATGACTAAAATATAGGTTGGACTGTATTAAATTTGGCTGAGGGTACATTTCATTTTGACACATGATAGTTCTGACATATTTCTTCTGTTACTGCAAATACTGTACATGTCTTCGAGATCAGAGAAGTTTTCCTGCTGAGACAAGCACAGAGAGGGCTAAAGTCTGAAAGGCAACAGCAGAGCTGCCAAGCGTCACGCTTTGAGTGTGACAGTCACGTAATTTGACCCATTCTCACACCACAGGCCATATTCGACATTTCTCACGCTTATATTTCCCCATTCAATACTCTGTATTTACTTTATTCATGATAATAAACTTGGCTAGTTCGAGTAACTCTGATTGAGTGACCAAGATAACCAATCCCAGATTAATCCATCAGTCCTTTGTGTCTAAATCTAACTAACCAATTGGAAGCAACGTAAGGCAGATCTTGGCGTCTCTAACTATCTTGTCCCCAGCTAAATTATGAAAAGTTGGTTAAAATGCAGTACTGACAAATTAATATATTTTGTCAAAATTCATGTTACAATTTGTAGATGAAAACAGAGGCGAAGTCATAAAAAATGGCTGTAGAGAGGGGCCATTTACTGGTTTATGTGATGGTTTGGAATATTTAAAGGCAATTTGGCACTTTTTTGTTCACATAGAGCATAAAACACAGCAATGTGCTGACCGGAGAGTCAGTTAGTGTAAAAGCGGGTGAAGTGAAGTGCACAAGCAGAAATACAAGCTGAGCAATCGGAAGGAACAGAAGAGTCTGTCCTTGTGTGGCATCCTGCGTATCAGCGTGACTTGAGTTCCCTGGAAATAAACCATCAGGAGAGACAGAAAAGCATCAACAGTTTCTGACTGGTCAGCAAACACAGACACCCTAACACGGGACAGCTTATTCAACAGATTTGTAGATTGAAAAATCTATTTATTTTTCAAGTATAGCCTTGAAAAAGCCTTTGTCATGCTTCTGATGTACTTTTCAGCACCAGAGTTCAGTGTTCTAGTCCCCTGCAGTTTGAGAACTTGTATGTTTTAACAGTCAAACTGGTATCTTTTGAATGGAGAAATAGATTGAGTGTTGCAGAATGACATCTTAGAGGTGAAACTAGCTTCACTTGCATGCAGAGATGTGTTTGAAGACACTGATGAAAGCTAAATCATCGCAGATTTCACCCCTTTTCATCTCTTACGGAGGGTTTTCCTGCATTTGGGAAAGACTGCCAAGGATCTGTCAATACCTGAGGATACTGCTACTACTGCAGGAAAAAACTAGGTCACCTCTGATACCAAAATCCAGCCCTGCACTTAAGAAGCAGTTTTTCTTTTTTTTTTTTTAGATCAGCAGGAATGCATAAACATAGTGTACATGTTCTTGCAGCACCGTAGGGCACTATGTTAAAATACAAGCTAAATGATATGAATTCAAGAAACAGCAGGACAGAAAGGAGAGAAGCTAGAAGTGTTAAGCGAGTATCAATCTTTCAAACAGCTTCTCTTGTGAAATGCCGCGTTCCCAAAAAGTGGTCTAAGTTCAGTCCTGTATGATTTGCAATCACTTTTGATTCCACTGACAAAAGTTGGGAATGCTCTTGAAAATCTGACCCATACCAATCGACTAATTTGGAATCCTTGTTGGGACACCAAACCCACCTATCTGAGCAAAAAGGGTGGAGCTGGACACACTGCAGTCTGGTCATTAGATGAATCATTGGCAGTCTACACTGTGTTGCTTATGGCTGCCATGGTGTCCCACTATTATGTAGTTGATTCAGCTATCACTAGTTTACACCCCTGCCTACAAAGTAAGGATATGGTTGTTTGTGGAAATGTAGGTAAAGACAAGAGTATAGCTAACCAAACTGCTCTAAACAAAACCAGGCAGCTTGGTAGAAAAGCACCAAATGTTTGTTGGTTATATTTGACTTACAGGGACACAAAAAAAAAATTGAAAACAATTTGATATGCACCAATAATCATCCAAATGTTCATTATAAAGTCTTGACTGAATATATCTTCTTACTCGGTCATGTTACAGGGTAGTTTATTCAGCAAATGTGACAGAAAGTAATCTGACTCAGGAACATTTTCTTTTTTTATGTTACCTCCAAAACTGTAAAGTGATAGGCAAGGACCCGTGGGTAGGTCTGGGGTGACAGGAAGGACAGAGTTAAGAAGAGGTTAAGTGTGGTCTAAGCATTCTCAAAGATGAAGAGGAATTAGGAGGAAAATATCCTCAATCTAATTCCTAATCTGCAGGATTACACAGGTTTATTTCTTCTTTAATTATTTATACTCTGTCAAAAACTGGGAACCTCTTTATAACTAAGAGTGTATCACAACGTTCTGGGGCCTCCTCTGAAAGAGTATTGTATCGTATTTGGAAAGAAATAATCCATGAAGGATTTATCAAATTTAAACATAGACTCTGAGATTTATACGCTTATTCTGTTTGACCAGTCCTGTCGCAGTGTTTGGGCTTTTTTTTTTCAAATCCTCTCCTTGACCCAGCTCCCCCTCTGCAGAGCGGAAAAGCACCACAGGGCTATTTATAGCTCTGCCAAATTCATCTTCGTCTACAGTCTGTCGCACACAGACTGCAAACAGAAACTGGCTGTCACTTATCTATGTGCAGTGTATACAGACGGGGGGACACTCAGAAGGGTCAGATAGAAATACTCTGTGGAGGAGAAGTAGGACAGACACAGTGAGCGGAGGCCGAGCGAGATAAAGTCACACAGAAAAACATAATGTACGGCGGTGAGAACAAAAACACATACAAAAGGAAGAAACACTGACAGTTATGGTGGTTAAAAGATTTTCAGAGACTGGTCTGTTTAGTTTTTAAATATTATTTTTCCATTAGTGTCAGTCAGTAATGGCCTAACAGCCCTGATTGTAAAAAATAAGATTTTGAACAAGTCTTTGGCACAGAGCCCAGTCTTTTATGCCTCTCTGAACCCACCCCTCTTTTTCTCTCGTTTTTCCTCAGGCTGTGTAGCCAAATATGAGGATTTGCAGGGGCTTGCTTGTCGGCAATTTGTGTATCTTGCACATAAAACATGAATGCAGTGTTCCGAAAGAAAATAATTTTCAGGCCAGAAGTTGTTGAATATCTGTGGTCCAAGAAAAATTAAACATAGTGTATTTATCTTGATGTGATTTAGCCTGACAGGCATAAACATACTTCTTTTGGGTGTAAACCAATGTTCGATTGAGTCTGACAATCCCAGGAATTTGAAATAGTATTTAATCCAATAAAAGGGTTAAGCCTTTGAAGTTTAACCGTGTGATGTGGTTTTTGCAGTGCATATAGAAATGCTGTATTACCTGTTTCCTTCATAGTGAGTTTTTTCAAAGGCTTCTTAGATTCATTCACCATCAAACTCTTTGATGCAGAGGAAAACCTCAATCAGTCAAATGATACCGACTTTCCAGGAAAAATCTGTAGATATCACTGAATCATGATAGATTCAACATGAAGGGTCATTGAAACGGGATATTGACGTTCACAGCAAGGCTGCAGCTCTGAGTAGATAACATGGCACAGTGAGCACTGTCCTCTTTTCTCTCCCATTAAAATGAATGAGGCTGTGTTGGACTGTGTTTGGACACGTGCTGCGAAACGCATGTATCTTCAGATCATCTCTTTATCTTTCTCTTCCTCTCTGTCTCGAACGTGTGCGGGTCTCTCTTTGGAGTATATTCCTCTTTCTGGCACAGTCATTGCAGTGAGAGTGTGGCGGGCAGATCTCTGTGATTTTGCTAATCTGAGCTCAAAATCAAATCCTCCCTAGATTAAGAATACACACACACGCACACTTATTCACTTACTACTGAAAACCAAAATTAAACAAAATTTAATTTAACAAATATGTATATTTATCTCATTTGATGCATTAGATGTTTGTGGAAACTGATAAACCACAAGAGGACATTTTTATTATTTGTCGGACTGTATTCAGGTGTTTTTTTAAGTAATTTGTTGATCATATTGATTTGACAGAAGTATCATAAAAGTATGTATCAAACATGATACAAAAGGCATTATTGGGTTGTATAAGTTAGTGTAAATTTTAGTTTGAGTATAAAAAGAACTGAAAATGACCTTGAATTATTATGTGTATCTCCTTCATTTGCAGGAAGTGGTTCCTTCCTACCTCGCCACTTCCCCCATCATGTCGATGGGAGAGCAGTTGATGGAGTCCAAGCTAGGCAGGGGCGCCGCACGTCACCACGGTAAGCTCTGTGAATGATTTGAAATGAGTAAAAGTCTTCCTTTCTTGTTTTTTAATGGACACTTGTCTTCCCTCATCGCAGACACAATCCCATGCAGCTCACTACCCATCCAGAACCTGGGACCACAACAAAGTGACAATGGGGTGAACAAGAAGAGAAGGAAGAGGAGGAGGAAGGCACGGCAAGATGCAAGTGGAGGAGGGAGGAGAGAGGAGAGCGGAGAAGAGTTCTCTGATGAAGAGGACATGTTTACTATTGACTTGAGCTCAGATGAGGAGAAAGATGGGGACTGCAGCAGCAGGTGAGTGTATGTGTGCATTATGAGTTTGAGACCTCTGGGAATGAGAGAAAAAATTCAGATACTCTTACCTTCCCGGTATTTTATTTTTATAAACTCAGTCCATGCTGTTAAATAAGAGGATAAGACAGTAAGAGAGGGAGAGGGGAGTTAAAGACTGCAGGTTGGAATCAAACCAGGGCCGCCCGCTTTAAAGACTACAGCCTCTGTGTGAGGGGCGCACAATCTAACCACCAGAGCAAACTGGCCTTCCAGCATTTCCAGTCTTTCTGAGCCAACAGCCTATTAGGTCTTTATCAGTTTTTGATAATGTGTGTGAGCTTGTCTGTGAATCAGAGAGAGAGGAGAGAAAGACGCAGAGAAAGAGAGAGGAGGGAAAGAGAGATAGGGGGAGATAAAGGGGGGGAGAGATAGAGAGAGAGAGGAAGAGGTTATTAGATGTCAGTCAGTCTGTTCTATTCCTGTGGTAAACAACCGTCGTCAGCAGTCACACTGCTGTTCGTGAACAGGGTGAACTAATGCCAAGGATTCTTTGTTGTATAAAGACAAGAGGCAGTTATCTGTTGTTTTTCACACTTGGATGAGTGCGTGGGTGTTTTTTTTTTCAGCTGTCTGACACTGAACTTGTTCATTTACATCGTGAGGACATGCTTTTATTCTTTAACTGTAAATCATCTGTCTTCAGCTGTGCTAGCTGTGTGGATGGCTGATGTGGATAGCTTTATCAACAGGTTTTGAGCAGACTTGAACTTTTTCATCAGCTCACTGTGATTTTCTGTCACGTTCACCTTAGACGGAGCTGTAATATCTTTGGTGATCACTGAGTTCCTTAATCTGGTTAAACATTTTCACACATCACTATCTGAAAAAGGCATGACTTTTCCACCAAGTTAACAAAATTACATGTAGATCAGCTGAACTCAAATGTAAACATACAAATGACTATGTTACTAAAACATCTGCATGTAAAGAAGGTGAAAAATTATTTCGGCGCACTTTTACAAGTATTCAGCTGAACGACCAGAGGACCAGGACATTGTCACAGACATGCACTCTTGACTTGCTTTGTGAGGTTCAGTGCTTTGATTTAGATTAAGATATGCAGCAACAGAACAAGTGTAAGAAAACAAACCTTAAGGGGTATTTTCCAGCTTTTTAACCCTCAAGCCAGTCTCCTAAAGTAGGTCTGTTGGTGTGAGTGAAATGTTTCCAAATGCGGGATGATGCAAGCTCAACTTTTTTCTTACTAGCTTGGCTCAGCTCAAAACAATACCATCACTAAAACTGTCCTCCTCACTTTGGAAGAAAACTACTCTTTATCTTAAAAATACTTCATGGCACAAAACTAATACAGGCAAGATGTGGTTTGAAAAAAAAAGTGCTGAACAATTGAGAGATAAAAATTAATGCCAGAGCTCACAGGTTAACAGTTACATGTGTTGGTGTGTGTTTATGTGTGTGTGTCGGTGTGCATGTAAAGCCTTTAGAAATAAGTCTGTTTTAAGATGCTCTCCAGGGATTCATCCTGTTTCCACTGTGTTCCCTCTGTCTCTTCAAAATAATGTCTCAGTGGATCTTTACTGCAGGGGTTTAGAGCCTCTTTTGGGAATTTGCCTACATGGCACAGTGGGAAAATTCCTAAAACCCTTAAGGACGTGTAAGAATGTGTTTCTGCTTAAAGCTCCAGTGAGGAGTTTTGGTCTTCTCAGAAAAACACTTAAAATTGATGTCTCTTCATGACCTACATTAGCAAAGGAGACCATCGGTGACAAGACTGGTTTTTTATACGATGTTGTTTGTAAAGTCTAGACCTGCCAGTGGGGTTCAGGTTTCAGTCAAGTTCATCTACAGCATGTTTTTTTCTACATTTTCCATAAAACGAACCATGTGTCTGATATGTTGTTACAATCAAACAGGTTGAGAAGTATCTTTTTTACTGGTTTAAAAGAGACAAATGTTTTTACATGTGTGTGCAGGATGTGAAATGATTTGATGTGTTTTATGGCTCATAACCTCCTTTGTGTGTGTTCATCAGACCTGTGTTTGGGGATCAGGGGTCTACAGCTGTTACACTCCCACGCACAGATTGGATCCGTTCACAGAGGTATTTTCACTCCAAACAAAGCACGCTATAATAAACAATTTTTCTACTTTATCAACTGTCTGTAAGCTCCTCTTAGTCCGTTCTTGAGTAGACTTAAATTCTTCTTAAATTATGCTTTGCATTAATACATTATCTGTGCTCACAATGACTTGATAATAATCAGACTCACCATTTCTCTCCATTTGCCTCTACAACGTTCTTGTCCTTGTCTGTCTTTTCCGTGTCTCTTTATCTGTAGTAAAGGGATTGAGGAGACTCTCTCCATCCCTCCACCATGTGGTCTGTCCATCTCTTGTCCTCAGCAGACCTCTCACTTCTCTTCCCCTGTTAGGTATCACCTTTAATTTGAGCCTCTCTGATCCACTGAAAAATGCACTTTTTAATGTGAATCAATTCCAATATATACAATAATTAGAATATACTTGATTGTGGTTTCTTTTCTATGCACTCATACTCTATGCTTGATAAGTCTTGTCTTACTGTTTTGGTTCTTTAGGTTTAACATGAATGTTAAAGGTATTTAATGTTAATTGGGTGTTATATATAATTTGTACTAGCTGATCTAAATCAAGTGTCTTTGGCCTCCCTAGTAGTCCTGATGATTCCCGTTCATCGACACCGAAGAGCGACTCAGAGCTAAACAATCAGAACAAAGATAACCCTGAGATCTTGTGGACCTGGGGGGAGCTGCCACAGGCTGCACAGGTGTGTCATCATGATCTTATTGACTCTTAAAGGGATATTCCCACATAAAATTAATTTAGGGTCAAACACTCCGTAACACTGAGTCAGACACCCCCTCAAGAGATAAATGTTACCAACTTTAGTAATGACGGCAAGATAGCAATACACAGCGGTCTGAGGAGCCATAAACAAACCTCAAGCAAAATGCCACTCTATAGACACAAATAATACTCAGAACAGCACCTAACTTCATCAACAGTACATATAGGGTCCCAGCCAGAGTACTAGCCACCAAACATCTTTTTAACTTTGCCTAATTTCTTTAGCAAAGAGACGAAACACAACTCACCCACTCTCTTCCAGCAGCCGACTGAGGCGGGATTGGTCAAGGTCTTGCTACAAACGGAATATCCCTTTAAATGTTGTTTGTGGAGAGGATGCTCCCATTTTTACAGGACACAGATAACAGAAAAGAGCTTTAGAAATAATAGTTTGAAAATGTTACAAGAATGATAAAAGTTGAAAAATCCTAATTATTGAAGGATGAGTTTGATCTTTGTCTTCTTTCCATTCACAGCCTGCCTTCCTTACTGCCCACCAGAAGCAGGATCAAGCCCCAGCAGTCTCCATCCCGGTGTCTACCAGCACTCACTTCAGAGCTATCGATGATGCTGGACCCCCCTCCCTTACTCTCTATGCACCCCAGCCAGGAGAGAACACTACACACAGAGGGGACAAAGACACTGAGACTGGGTACAGGGTTGGAGGAGAGCAAGGTAGACATACAGAGGACAAAACCTCTTCAAAATATCAAATACTCTCAGTGTATGTCTGGGAATTTGAAATAAAATGTTATTCATTTACTTTTATTATTATTATTTTATTAATTATTATTATTATTTATTAATAATGTTATTATTTGTACGACCTAGTGACCTTTGAGTTTGCTTGTTTTGCATTATTTATCATTTTTAAGGGAGAGCAGTGGAAAGTGTTGGGCCATCGTGTGCTGAGATGGAGAGTATAACAGCCGGCTTATCATCTACCCGAGTGCTGCTGGATCACCTAGACGAGGGTAAAAACAGAGGAAGCCCAGTTAGAAGAACAGATTCACCATCCAAGAAGAAAGGTAAAGGATTTCTACCGTTAATAAATCATCATGGAAAGGCTTCTGTTGAATTCAGCATGTCATGAGTTGCAATATCATAATTTATGTCTGCTACTGACTGATCTATGTTTGCATGATGTTGACGCTCACTAGAGAAGAGAAGCCAACACCTGGGAGAAGACGGTATATACCTGGATGACATCACAGAGCTGGAGCCTGAAGTTGCCGCTCTCTACTTCCCCAAAAGGTTTAGTAAAGAACATATATTCATGTTCCAAACATGTTAGTGCGTGCCTTTACTGATGAGTACAAAACATACTCCACCCAGGACACACGCACCTACCGTGTGTTTATATAGTATTTTATGGGTTGTAATGCTCTGTGTGGTTGAAATTGTTGAGTCCCCTCCCTAAGAGGTTTAAAAGAGTTCTTTAGACTTTCTTCTTACTATACTTGGCTTACCAGTCAAGCAGGTTTTTGTATGTATCACTAAATCAAAACAAAAGTTACCCCAGAATGCTTTACAAAAGGAGCAGGTATAGATGACACTTTCTGTTTTTATTATCAAAGAGACTCAACCCAGAAAATAAAGATGTGAACACTAGTATGTCATCAGCTTTTTTAGATAACATTCTAACTTTCACTTTGGGCGCTTTGGATGTTGGAGTTATTTGATGGTGAAATTACATTGCTAATTAACATTATCCAAATAGACATGCATTGACAGAGACTCCCTCCATCTCTCTCTTTAGTGATGGAGGCAGCAGCTCCATGAGGTTAGACTCAGAGATGATGATGGGGGTGCGGAGTGCTAACCAGTCCCCACAGTCAGTGGGTAGCAGTGGGATGGACAGTGGTGTTGACAGTTTGTCAGACCAGATGGGAGACCTGCCTCATGTTGCCATTTCTTTGTGTGGAGGACTCACAGACAACAGAGAAATCACAAGAGGTTAGAAAACAGCGATGAAGTGCTGATACTGTTCTGTTTTTATCGGAAGATTCATGTTATAAAGGTATCTTCTTTCTCTTTTGTTTGTTTCATATAACAGAAGAGTTCCAGGAAAGGGCAGTGTCCTACCAGCAGTTCTCTGAAAACCCCTCGATTATTGATGACCCGAACCTGGTGGTCAAGATAGGAAACAAGTATGTACTGCTCTTTAAATGAGTGAAGACACCATGTGAAACTGTCACAGCAGTCATAACTCTTCCTTTAGGGTGACACACGGTACACCAGCTTTGTTCTGCAGTTTCAAGGACAAGGTGTAAAGAAATACTAACAGCGCCCTCTGTCGTCTGTCATAGATACTACAACTGGAACACAGCTGCTCCTGTCATGTTGGCGATGCAGGTCTATCAGAAACCACTGCCGCAGGTAAGACCACTACAGTGATGCTTAAATAAGTGTCTCGGGTGATTCTGATGTAACAATGTTTTTTTCTCCCATTTGCAGTTTAAAAATGTTTTGATTTATTTCAACACTAATACCTTCAGCAAAGTGTCCCCAAAATCAACCGAGTGGGCCTTCTTAGTTTTAAGTACTTGATTATTACATCAGTACATAACTATTACTATAAAAGATCCGTTATTATGTAAAGGGTTTAATCTACTAAATACTTTTTCTTTCACTGATTTTCAATGTAAAATTCTACAGTTAGAGTTAATAGTATCAGTCTTGTGTAAACTGACCATTATTTCCTATCTAAACCATAATTAAAAAAGGTGTATACTATGTTACTGTTGTAATAGTGTTCTACGCTAATATTATTGCTATTTTAAGATAACATTTTTTGGTGCTCTGTACCATCTGATAAGTGTTGCAACTATCCTGAAAAAGTAGCAAATGACAAACAAGATATTGCTCCTAACTTTTGCAGGTTTGCTCTGCAGTAGAGAGACTGTCTTGCCCTCTGTTTTGCAAAGCCATTGCAACAGACATGACAATAATTTCATCATGTTTTGAAACAAGTTCATTTTAAGTGTGTTATTATATCTGTCAGGTGGTGTAAGCTGTCTGTTGGTGTTTTGCAACGTTCCACTTCACTTTATCCTGCGCACTCCCAGCATTTTGTAGATACTTGCTTTAATGTGATGCGTCACTGTGTGTCATTCTTGAGTCCTCTTCTCTAGAAACACCTCAAGATAATGTTGTTTTTTTCTGATAAACAGTCATGTTTCTTTAAACAACACGTTTAATGATACTTAGAAACTAAAACTGGCTGTTTATGAGCGCTCATGGGAAGCTTTCTGGTCCTATACCACATATTACTCCTCCTCAGTGAAATATGGCTTTAAATCTGTTCTAGTAACACTTTGATAATGTCTTTATTCCCCTCCTTATTTTTCCTGTTTTCATTTACATTCTCTCCTCCCATAATCCATTGGATGTTTGTGTTCACCAAGTGTTGGTGTTTGAGTTATGTGTTTTCTGCTTTTGGCCTCTTCTCATACTGCCTCCCTGGCCTTTTTGGCTCCAGCTCTTCCCAGCCTGTACGGTGTTTTATAGCTTTGTTCGGCCTTTGCTTGCCCGGCATGAGTTTGTCTCTGTTAGAAATTTTTGTATCCATTTTGGCTTTAATTTTTCCCATGTATTTTCCCATCATTTTCCTGTCTTAACGTTCAAAAGTTTCTTCCCTTCAGATTTTACTTTGCATTATTTGCTCTTTATTTGCTTGCTATTGAACCTTCACCTGTGACTGCCTTTATTGTGGTGATTGAGTTTCAATTCGGAGTCAAGTGATGTGCAATGTGGTGGTCAATGGTGGTCGTTCTGTTTAGAGTTGTACTTCCTGTTCATTTTTTCTCATTTTTCGTTGTGTGCCTCGGTTTTCTATGAGTTGATTTTCATCAGTTTTGTGCTACACTTTCAGTCAGTTTTGAGTTGTATGTGCATGGTTGTCTCCAGGCCTCAGTGGAGAACATCATGAAGGACAAGATGCCAAAAAAAGGAGGACGCTGGTGGTTCTCGTGGAGGAGCAGGAACAGTGACTCCAAATCAGTGAGTACAGACTTTTTTCAAAGTGTTAACCTTCAAAATACACCGACATCGAGCTTGCTTAATCACCTCTAACCTCGTACTCCACAGGAATCAGTGATGGAGGCAGGAGACCAAGGAGAGAGCTCACTCACTATGCCCTCAGGGAATAGGTAACACTGAAACTACATTTGTTCTCTCCTCCTTTGGTGCTTTTTCAAACTACATGTTTTTATCTCATACATATGATTTTCTTCCACCTATCCGACTCTCTTTGTTTATTCAGAGGAAAGGATGAGTCATCCTCCAGTGATGAAGATCACAGACTGTCCAATCAGGCGCCAGGGTCCTGCCTTTCTGATCCCCTCACCAATCCAGGCAGCGTTTGCTATAAGAAGACTCTTCGGCTCACCTCAGAGCAGCTGGTATGGATTTCTGCCGTGTTTTTCTGCCCTTATGAGTGAGAGGGGTGTATGTAGTGTTGCAGCTCTGCAGTGTCTGCCCACATACTGTGCATGTGATTCAATATGGTGAGGCAGGAATGCTGGCAAAGCAGCATTTCTGCTTAAATAACAAACATGTTTACATTGCGTTCCCTTTGGACAGACTCAGACTTTAAATCTCAACATGTGGTGTGCCAGGCAATTCTCTCCTACTGCAAAATAGCTGACAGATGGTCGGCAACATTTAGGATTCGTACCCATGTTTGGCAAAATACCAAGACACTGGACATGATGTACCTCTTAAAATGTCTAATAATACATCTAATCCTGGCATCCAGTTATATATTCAAGACTGAATTTACCACATTGGGATAAAGCCTGTCTATTTTTGCCTTTGGACAGTTTTAAATAGATTTTAATCATTACGTTAAAAAAAGACAATCGTTCTTTATCTTTAAGTTTGTGTTGCTGTGCTCCTTTTTCATGCGCTCTGTTTGTGTGCATTCATTACAGGCTAGTTTGCAGCTAAAGGATGGTCCTAATGAAGTGGTGTTTAGTGTGACCACACAATACCAGGGCACCTGCCGTTGCCATGGCACCATCTATCTTTGGAACTGGGATGACAAGATAGTTATCTCAGATATAGACGGGACAATCACCAGGTAGGGGAAAGCACGTCTTGCTTTTACTTTTTAAAGCTCGTAAGTCAAACTCCTTTACGTAAAATTAATCAGTCCACAACTGAGGGTAGGTCTGATTCTCACCAGTAGGGGTCAGATTTTACCTTTGGTGTTGTTTGACTTACTTTAATGAAATGCATCTGTATTGACTGTGTGGTGTTGCCTCCAGGTCAGATACACTGGGTCACATCCTCCCTACTCTGGGTAAAGACTGGACACACCAAGGTATCGCACGTCTCTACAACAAAGTCAGCCAGTGAGTGCTTTAGCCCTCTCAGCCAAATATCATTACTAATTAGTTTTTTTTCATTGCTGGTCTTTACATTGGTCAGAATTTTATTGCTTTACTATGTATGTAAACCACTTAAGCTCTCTCTGTTTTTGTCACAGGAACGGATATAAATTCATGTACTGCTCAGCGAGGGCTATCGGCATGGCTGATATGACCCGAGGCTACCTGCACTGGGTCAATGAGAGAGGAACCATGCTGCCAATGGGCCCTGTTCTTCTCAGTCCCAGCAGCCTGTTCTCTGCCTTGCACAGGTCAACATGTTCAAAAGTGCTTCTTTAAAATAATGTGAATATATGTGGTTCTCAAAGCAAAAAGTGAAACATTGAATAGTTGGGATGTCAGCGACCTTAATTTGGTATTCCTGATTATTAATCACTTGATCTAAGCAGCTGACAGACATTTAATCAATAATAGTGCATTTATTTTTGTTATATTTATTCCTACATTGAAAATAATGACATAATAAATCTTTGTTGTCATTTTGAAAATTTGGTTTCTTCAGTTTTAGGAAGCATGGGAGCAAATATGCATCAAAGATAAGCTACATAACAGAATATTAAACTTGTATTTTTGTATTTTGTAGGGAGGTGATTGAGAAGAAACCGGAGAAGTTTAAGATCGAGTGTCTCACAGACATAAAGCACCTTTTCTTCCCAAACACTGAACCTTTCTACGCTGCTTTCGGCAACAGAGCTACGGTGAGACCTCTGCTATAGAGGAGCGTGTTTGTCCTCTCTGACAAAGAGGCTTCAAATGAATTATGTGATGTTATGAAAGATGTTACGTGTAAACATTGTATGAAATCATCTTTTTTGTTGGCCTTGTCATAGTTGAACAACACAGGTGCTTTTTTCTCTCATTTTTAATGCTGCCTGTTTTTTGTGTGTGTGATTTTAGGATGTGTATTCCTACAAAGAGGTGGGAGTTCCTCTGAACAGGATTTTCACTGTCAATCCCAAAGGCGAGCTGGTCCAGGAGCAGGCCAAAACCAGCATCTCCTCGTGAGTTGACACTTGTGTAGTCTGACTCAGTCTAGGCTCTGCTTTTGTGCAGCTGAAGTCAGTAAACATTGTGTTGCCTCTCTTTTAGCTTCGGAGGTCTGTGTGACGTGGTCGATCATGTTTTCCCCGTCCTGGATCAAGAAGAGGGAGCAGGCCTCCCCCATGATGACACCTTTGGCCAGTGCAACTACTGGAGTGAGCAAATTTCTGATGGCACCAACCAGGAAGAGGACCCACAGCCCCTTGAAACAAGCTGAGGAAACCCCATGAAAATTCAGCACTGAGAATGCAGCTTTTCCTCCTCATGGTAGTCAGTGGTACTCTGTTTCGATGTAGCGCTGGCGGTGACTATTAGCACTACACATTTTACAATCAAAGACTAATCCGAGAATTTAGCCATGGAGCTTATACTGAGCTAACATCAAAGATGCAATTGATGACTTACTAAGACTACTGATTCAGAGCAGATGAATGTCTTTCACTGTCCAACATTGACATCTTTGCATCATTTAACAGTAAGACAGTAGGGTTCCTCTGCGACCAGGACTGGACTGTTGTGTGATTTTTGGTCAGAAAAATGTGAAAAGTTGAAAAAAAAAAAAAAAAAAAAGAAAAACTAGCAGCTGCTTTGGAGTTAAACCGAAGCTCAACACAGGGACTCACATTTGCAAGTGCACTGATTCCCATACACACGCACACAGACACACATATATGCAAATGAACCTGGATTAGTATTCAACTAACAGTACACCTCCTCAGTATAATGCCTCTTACTGTAGTTTTTTAGCCTGCATAGATTCAAAACTTATTCTTCATGCCAGTGGATCGAAAAGCTGATCACTATCATTGGTTCAATGTGCTGGCATCAGTAAGAGTGTTATATCAGAATTAAGTATGCAAATAAAACAAAACAACAACAACAAAAAAACACCCACAAGCACTCAACCCTCCAAGTTAACTTCACAATATTAGGATAGTTTCCTCTGTTTTTACTAGTCTGGCAATATATTCAAAGTATGTACTTTAGAATTAAGTTTTATTTACTTACTTTACTGACCTCAGGTGTGGTAAACAAAGCACAACACTCAAACACCACATTACATCACATTGCGGTTGAATCATTCAGACCATGCAAAAATAGCACAGAAAGCATAACCAGTCATCCTCCATGCTAAATCTGTGTGGTCTCCTGACCGTGTTACTGTGAAAAAATGCGACTCTGTTCATTTTCTTACCAGGGTACAGTGACAACACTCAAGATAAATGCAATACAATGCAAATAATGTCAGTTTATGTTCAGTCTGATTTGATATACAGATTCCAGTGATACGTTTGAATGTATTGTATACATCACTCAGCGTCTATCTTATTCTAATGACTAATGCGCACCAATGCAAATACTGTACAGTCCTGACAGGACATACAGTCAGTTACTATTATTTTTTTAATGTTATTACCGCTCAGATCGCTATACTTTTATAGCATGAATTTGTTTTGTAGTGGACATTCAGACACTAAAAAATTCTCCACATAAACACATCTACTTTTAGGTTGTACATATATTGTTTTTTTTATCATTGATCAAATGTTAATGTTTTTCACTCATCATTTACTGTACTGCATTTCTATGACATGGAGATCTGTTAATTTTAACCAGATGTATTCCTTTAAAGGGGGTAAACCACTGTAAATAATTATTGACGTGCTTTTTTGGAAAAAATTAAGAGAACTTTCTTAAAAAAAACCTGCTCATCCATATTCAAACGACTCTGTTACTGGTGGTGCTTATTCAAATGCGCTTGCAGCCGTATTGTGTTTTTCTATAATTGCCTCTTGTTAGACTCAAAGGAGAAAAATCCACAACGTGACCACTAAAGTGAGAGGTCAACTTGCAGTATTTTAGAAAAGCCAGTGGATGGATCAGTTATCAGCACTTGTTTGTTTTGTTTTGTTCATTTTAAAACAGTGTGTTTGATGAAACGTGTAACTTTTGTAACGGACAGAAGAGTGTTCTCCAAGCCTCTAATGATCATGCTATTGCAAAAAACATGTATTGTTGTAAACAACTTTGAATGCAGAAACATTTCAAGAAAAGGAACAAAGAAAAACAGAAAAATATAATATTAAAAATTCTCAAGGTAAATCACCTGACTTTAGAATATTTGTACTCTGCTGATCATGTAAACCATATAGAAAGAAAAGAGGCAAATAAGGTGTAAGACTTAAAAAGAGCCCTGTATTTGGTTGTAACTGTTCTAATGTTATCTCTCTTTGTGCATAGGATAGAGATGTTTGAATCTGTACTGTGATTGACTTTGCCTAAAGGAAAAAAAGCTAATCAAGACTGAACTCTGAATTAGATTTAAAGTTGTTGATGTGAACATGCTTTTGGGGAGTCCAGAAAAAAGAAAAAAGAATGCATGCTGTGGTAGTGTGAAGTTTCATATTTACATGTATGTTGCCATCACTGTCTCGTTACTGGATCTTGTACCTCATGTACCTCAGTTTAACAAAAGGTGATTTTAAATGATGATTAAGTATTTTAGTCTCTCTCACAATGATAGACTACACATTATCCCCTGAAATTAAGAGCATAATCTGAAATTATGTCTGCAAGGCTTGGCATCATTGACTAATACACTAATTTTTAGCGTATCAGACTTGTTTTGATTCAACCCTTAACTAAATATTGATCAGCTTTAAGATCAGCATCAGTTTGTTGTATAATTTTCCAAACATTGAACAAACTAAAGTAAAAAGATCTAGTTAAAATATGGAAGTAACAAGCATTGTGCTTTCTTGCTTTGATGTAAACATGCTTGCCCCAGTCTTGTAATGTGAATCATCTTTTAGATGTTTAGCATCTAGTTCTTTCTATGAAAGATTTATTTAAGCTCTGGACCAGTTATCCAGTCCATCTCTGAGTTGACATGGATATTGATCTAGTTTGCCATCCCATGTAAAGCAGCAGCCTACCAAGCAGTGTGAAGCTATCTGCAAGCTATTGTCAGGAGCGTCTGTATGATGGAAACATTTTTCAATAAACACAAAAGTGATTGCTTCTTGATATCTCTGGCTTTTGATGCTTCTTTCTTACTCTCTCCAGTTCACACATTTAAAGTCACCTGAACAAAATCAACATTTTGGACATTTTGGACAATCAAAGATCAAGTTTCTAAACTCACGACATAGTTATGTTGTGCTAGCTTCATTGTTACTGTCTGTGGTGTAGGTTGCTAGCCAACAGCTTTGTTGTTTCTTTCTGATTTTGAATTTTAGCTAATTCTGGAGATTATTATCATAGAAACGGCTGTAATCTGTTATCAATAGAATAAACAGCATGTTGGTGCCAAAAATGAATCTTTACGGCTTGCTGATCACACAGTTCAATGGTAGGTGGATGGGTATGGGTCGCTGGTCTCCGGCAAAGTTTGTCAGTCTCAACAGTAGTTGTCTTGCCACTGTATTAAATCGAGCAATGGGTTCAAATGATTGGTAACACACCATTTTCAGTTTTTATTGACATCCACACATTGTCTCATCATTTTGCTGTTGGGATTGTACTTGCATTTAAGTAGACGTAATAAGCTGTGTGCATAGTGGTTGCTACATGGCCCCTGTGTCTGAGTGGCGTGCCACATCCACAAAAATGAATGCAACACAAATATGCGGATTATGTATGCACACGAGGCAGGGTCAGTGTAGGGGCAGAGGGGTCAACATAGGAGCAGAGACAACAAAAGAGGCCAGTTTCAAAGACAAGCTCTGGGACTAAGTTTACAATGATCAACATCTGTACAATAACTGTGCCATCACCACTGCAAAGTGCCTGTTAAAATGGCAACACAAACGTTTCAAATTATGAACCAATGTGGAAACATTCAAAACTAACTGAACACGAGTGCAGGAATGCAACATTCAAGCACAGAAGGAAATGTTTGAAAAACTGAGAAGGGGCTGTGCTGATAATGTGTTCTGTCCACTAGTCATCAGTCCCTGGAGCTGGCTTAGGAATTTGTTGTTCACTGGGCCCCTGAGACTGAGAGTCAACACACAGTGACTCCTACAAGTTCTGCCATGTGCATTGTTAAAATCTTGTGAATTCAGTGATTTCATATGGCTGTCGCTTTTTGGTGAGTTCCCAGAGGTTTCCTCCAGCAAGAGGAATAGTGAATTTAAGAGTATGTGCATATCACAGCCGTGACACATCCTGTTGTGTATGTGAGGGCGCAAGTATACACAGTGAGTATATCCTCGGCCTTAGCAGGCTAGTGCAGATGATCCCCATTAAAGCAAAATTTTACAGCCAGTTCTGACAAACAATCCACAGGGAGGCGCCCAAGAGGCATCCTAATCAGATGAAGTATTGCTTTTTATCATGTAAAAAAAAGAGTTTCGTCTCCATGGTCCCTCTCAGTGCTCTTTCTCCAAGGCTAAACCCAGCCACCCTGCAGAGAAAACCATCATGGGTTTGAATCCCCAATCATATTCTTGTGGTCACTACACAAAATCAAAGGTAAGATTTGAAATGTAGATCAACTCTTTTCAACATGAATCCTTTTCCAGGTCAACTCTCTCTACACTTCAGTGGTTTTGTACAACAGTCATATTGCAGCTAATGATGCACCAGTCCTTGTCATTTCCTGATCCACTTAGTCTTTCTTGTGAACAGGACCCCTAAGAGCCAGACAGTGGGTCTTCTTCCTTTTCTTCTTGGCAGCACCCCTAAGCTCTGCCAGTTTGTCAAAATCACGACTACCCTGGCAGTGATTAATATGTGTTTGTGTGGAATGTGTTTAACCAACAAGACGCGCCTTCTCCAAGTCCATAATTCAGTATGTAACCTGGATGAGCAAACCCCCTTGACCCCCTCATGCGAGGGAGTCTGCCATCTAGAAATTTGGAGAAAGCAACTGGCAGCAACTACACGCTATCCCAGATCTCCAAAGACCATTCACAAAGGGTGTCAGCAAAGACAGTTTCAATGATGTCTGAAGTCCTCAGCTTCTCTGGGTAAATCTGTGGCTCACTGATAATGAGGGAGTCTGTGACTATCTCAATGACCTGCTAAGGATACAAATAAGGCTTTCCTTGGATGTTAGAACACTGCCATATCATCATGGTTGGGTAATCATTGTGGTGTTTCCTCTACACTACAGTATTCCTAATCCCCATTGGTCACAGGAAAAGAGCCTGAAAAAGGCCCTGTTTCCTCTCTTGAGCCTTCTTCTCGAGGCTAACTCAAATGTGCCCTTTGTAGCCTGTCCATAACTAAAGAGTTTTCTTGTTTATTAATCCCCCAAAAGACCTACTCTAGCCTGACAACTTCCTTTGTTGCTAGTGTACCCCATTGAGTTGCCACAACAGCCTCCTGGTCTAAATTCTTGGCAGCTGCTCTTACTCAAGCATCAAACAGGGTTGGCTTGGATCCTTTTGTCCCCAACCTCCCTGAAGCTTAATAAATTCCTCTCGAGGAAAGAATTACTCGCAGTTACTAGCAGTGGTCTCTCTCAGATATTCTTAGTTTGCTTCACTTGATGTTTGAATTTCCCATGCTTTTCCCCAGCGGCCACCCTGACTTTCTCACGGCCAGATGATGATTTTGATGGCTCTTCTTTTCCCCTTACTTGACTGTTTAAGACATACAATCTCAGATCTGATGATAAAAGATATACTCAATGTCAACCTTTGGTATACTGTGTCTGTTTCCAAGTACACTTAACCAGTGCTTGAACATACACTCGTGTATATTATCAAACAACTCTTGAGTCCAGATTGTGCACACTGTTCCAACTTTCAACCCCAATGAGATTGACTGGGCTTGGCTACATCTACCTGGAAATGGTCCACTTATTGCACCAGCTCTGGTTCAGTCCCGCTATGGAGAAGGTGTCCAAGCTTCAAAGCTAGCTTGTGATGCCAGTGAACAGCATACCAGAACCCCCCCTATATGTCCCATTCTGCAACCACCCTAAGAATAAGCTTGGCAAAAACTCACCACTGAAAGCCCAGCCCTACAACTAATGCCGGTTATCCCTTTTCAAACTCTATCCTCAAGAAGTAGCCGCAGTTTCCTTGTTTAAGCCAAGGTGACCTTACTGCCTGCTTATGGCTGGATCACTTGGGTAGTTTGAATTACTCTAAGCCTTGACTGACCCTACCAGGAGCTGGTACCCAAGACAGCATAGCTTCAAGGTTCATGGAACATAGCAAACCTGTGTAGGTTGTAATCTCATGCACATAACTGATGCCTCACCAGTTTGGCTGATAATCATATCTGGAGAAATGTTTTTGCTGGTACTGATATCATGCTTGTAATATCCTGCATCCTTATCTGACAGCATTAAAGCACAAAAACATATTATTACAGTTAGGAAAATGAACTCATCACCATTGGAAGTGTAAATCTATATATAAGTGTGTACGAATGAAGAACTGATCTTAATTGTACTGTGAATGAAAGCTGTTATCAAAACTCTGAATGCATGAATTTTACTTTTGATGGCGTACTCTATAGACTATTTATGTGGCCCCTTACCTTCTTAAGGAAATGCTTTGAATACTTCTGTCATTGGGAGGATCGTGGTCAGAATGCTTTGTTGCTGTTCCAAACTGAATGGTTTTGACTCAACATTTTTTTTGTTCACTTGGAAATGGTACATAAAGGAATGTAATAAAAGATGCATGTCTGTTAACACATATTTTAGATCTTTCCCTTGTTGAAAGGTTGTAGGCTGCAGCCAAGGAGGGGGGAATTTAAATTAGCTGATGTTGGGAGAGGCTCATGTTGAATGAGGAGAGTGAAGAATTTTGTGTTCTGACTCTGGACAGAATAAGAAGAGTAAAATTCAATTGCCTCTTTTCTGTTTTCTCTAAAATACAAGAGTTGTTTCATATTCAGCACATACCTCCCCCTTATCTGTGTGTTCCTATGCTCCTGCCTCCTCCCTTTCACCTTCTCCTCTTTCTCCCCACACTCTTCTCTCCCTCTGTCCACTCTTCTCATTTCATTGCTCAATGGAGAAACACAAAAGCACACAGCTGTGTAAGTTTTTCACAAAAACAGGAAATCTTGCCTCTCTTTCCTCTCCTTTCCTCTCTCAAACTATTTCATCACATTCCTTTTACTTCTCCATTTCAGCTCGTCCCCCATAAGCATGGAGCTAGCTTTCAACATATACACACACTCTCCTTCTCTATCATACACACACACACTACTCATCCTTTCTCCTCCCCTCCCCCTGTGTTTTTGCAAGGGTGAAGGAAAGTTTGACTCTCTTTTAAGATTCCACCATTTGTATTCATGTGTTTTCTCTCTTCACATCCAACTTGGTATCCTAATGTACCCATGACACTCTTCTGAGATCCTGACGAAATACAGTAAAATATAGTGCTTCATCTGATGCAGGATAATGTGATGCTGGTTCCTATTAACATTAAGCCTGGTATGTTTATTATGCTTTCAAAATTCATATATGCACAAAGGAGGAGGCATCTACAGTTGAGATTAACTCTTTAGGGCCACTGTGGTTCACCTAAACTGTTCTCTGACAAATGCCACAGTGACCCTATTGGTGACTTCTTGATGTGGATTTAAATTATTATGTATAAAAATAAATAACAATACATTTTATTTATATTGCACTTTACATCTGAGAAAACAGATCTCTAAGTGCATACAGTGAACGGCAATAGTAAAAACAACAGTAAAAGGCAATAGAGAACAACGACCAATAAAAAGAACAACAGTCAGAATATAAAATCAGCCTGGAAAAGCTTTTCTAAAAAGGAAGGTCTTGGTGTAAATCATGGAAAGTCAATGGGTTTACAGAGTACAACAAAACTGGCAGCAACTTTTGAACCAAATCAGACTGATGATTACTTTTGGATAGTTAACTGTTTAATAGGCTACAGGACCCTAATCCTGGGGACAATTCAAATCTATTAAAAAAGAAAAGTACAGAGGAAAGTTAGGAGAGAAAGCATATGGCAAAATTAGAGTGCTTTATAAAAATAGGAAAAATTACTGCAAGTTCTCAATCGTTGGCAACTATGAGCTCATTGGACAGGGTTTTGGTTGCACTCAAAATGAACGGATCGTCTACGAACCGCCCACCAGGCTGCTCCAGATGTTCTACGTGATGTCAATCACTCCCAGAAGAAACACTGAACCGCAGGGACTACACAAGGTCTGGCTCTCCTTTTGTTTTCGTACATCTCTCGCTTGAAACGCGTTTTCTAGGAAAATGCTGCACTTTTTAATGTGAATTAGAAAGGATGTAGTTGATTATCTTTGTACCAACTGAATATGGCGTTACTGAAGTGTTTTGATTCGGTGCAACTTCAACCGGGCGGAGTTAACACAGATGCTTTCTTCGTACTACCAAATGAGTGGCATCATTTTATTACTCTCCTGTGATGATGCTTTGTAGTAACAGCTTTGATATTCTGGCTTTGAAACTATCTTTTGTACGGACGGGTCGAAGTCTAACTCTTTTGAGCACGCCTGTAACTTAAGCCTGACGTTACGTGTGTAATTTAATAGTTTCAGGTTTTTGGAGGGTATTTTGTTTCTCTTGGCCTTTGCTGTAAACAAACAAAAAAGCATACCTGTCATTCCACCTAAGACAAAAACTGTTTTTAAAAAATTAATTTCTGTAAAATATCACAAATGCTTAACTAGCACCCAGTGACTATTGATTTCTTTCAGCCTTCTGCCTGAACTTCAGCATGAGTAAAGGTTTCAACATTGTGATGCACATCAAGGATCTGTGACCAGGCCCATGAATGTGCTTTTTATCATTGCAGACTACTGTGTTGGCTGTGTAATGGATCTTTTACATATTTTGCTAAGGGTTAGATTGTTTCATCCTTACTTTAAAATGCAAATCATGTCCAAAATAATCTACAGCAGAAGGTCACATACATAATAACTTTTTATGACTGCTAATTTCAGATGAAATATTAAGATACAGCATGTCTCATGTCATTCTATACAATTTTAAGAATTATATAGTTAATGCGTCTGTCAAAAATTGCAAATTTACAATAGTTCTTCCAGGTACACGTCCACATTTTGTGTAACAGACATTCACAATGTCACCCTCTAGTGTGAATATGACATTCTACAAAGTTTTTCACGATAAACAAGTCTGTTCACAAGTTTTGCATCATTTTCAAAGGAAGCCCCAGCTATCAAACCTTCTTCTTAATGGGTATAAATGGTTACTTAAGCTGTCTTTAAGCCCAGAAATATACAGTTATATTATTTCATGAAAGTGTTTTGATTATCAGAGCTATTGTGGATCACTAGCATACAGTGTCTCTTTCCACCACCCCTAATGTCATGTCATTCTGAAAGGTAGAATGAAGGGCCATGGCCTTGAGTTTTTCACTGGCAGAACACCCTGTATGGAAGGGTGCCACTGTAAAGGGAAGTTCATATTTTGAATGGTCAGAATTAAGGTTATGGTACTGTATCATTTTCTAAAATATTAATTCATGTACTACTGACTTTCCTTTGACTTAATGTCTGCAAATTCCAGTTTAAAGTGTGAACATTCCTCCTAATAATAAGATACCTAAAAAAAGAAAAATCGTTAATATTTTGGCTTTGTTGTTCATCAGTGGGTTTAAAATATAAACTGTATCAGAGGTGTGAAATTAGCTGTTACCTGTGTGTTTTATGATATCAACACTGCATTTAAGTTTGTTTGTATAGCCTCTTATGTGAGGTAACATTAGAAAATGTGTTTAGTCATATTACACACTGAAACTCAAATAAAAAGTCCTCATCTTTACTTCTTAGCTTTCAAACTGAGATAAAATCCAGAGCTGCTTTTACTGGTTTTGCTGGTTACTGGTACCATCCATTAGCAGCTTTTGGCTCGAAATTCTTGCACTGTCACTCATTTAAGTTATAGGTTACAAAGCCCAGTAGGTAGATGAAGATTGATTGATTGATATCTATACTAATATTGACTTTATTCATATCTTTTTCTGTCTGGTGTCTCTTTCCCTATAAGATGTCTGCTGTGCTCTACTCTGCCAGTGCAAATAATGCAAGTCTTCAGGGCACCACAGTCGGGGGAACCAAACCTTTACACCGCTTCATTAAGGGACAACCTAAGATTATTGGTGTAAGGCACACAAATGCACAAACAACCATGTTCCATTATGACATATTTTACATAATTAAAAAATCACATTTATACACACCTAATGCTCTCAGTATTTTGCCTTTCAGGTTGTAGTGCTGGTTGTGGGCGCCTCTTTCTTCATCCTTTCTGTGGCAATAGCCAATCCCATGATACATAACATATGGATGACTATCCCTCTTGGCATCCTGCTTGGATTACTGGTTGGTAGTACTGCAGATCAGAGTGGTTTATTGACTTTTAGTTTTGGTAATTATTTATTCATAAAATGAAAAAGTTAAAAACCTAAGAAACAAGCAACAATCCAATATATGGCTTTTGAGCTTTTTCCTCTCTTTCTCCTGCAGTTCATGATATGTGGGATTCTGTTTATTTTGACTGAACACAACACAACCAAGAAAACAGTAAGTAACAGTAAGCCACAATATTTTCCAGCAATAGAAATCAAATAAAAAAAAACAACTTCATTAACAAAGAACAATTTGTTACTTTATCTATTATTGACACAAATGTGGACCGTACATTGAAAATGTCTGACAACATTTTGAAGTTTCTGTTGCTGCCTTATGTTTGTCCATTTGTGTCCACATACAGGTAACCATATCATTGGCTCTGAGTATTGTGACAATACTGTGGACAGGTTGGACTATCCTGCACTTTGTGCCCGACATAGTACACAGCCAACACCACAGATATTATGAATACTTTGAAGAAAACAGCACAGACAATGAAGAGACTGCATGGCGCACCTATTACGAGGTTAGTATGATTATTGTTTTAAATGGTTAATAAAAGATTTAAGATTAAATCAAATAAATTAATTCTAAATGGATAGAGTTAAATTGGTAGGATAAATAAAAGTTAAAAAAAAAAACAACTTAAATAAGTAAAAGTTTTTGGATGTGTGGGACACAAAGAAAATTTAAAAGGGAAGTCTTGAAGGACCGAACTATCCAGACTGGAAAATAAGAAGAGAGTACATAATAATAAAAAAAGAGAGTACATAATAGATGTGTGTTACAATGTGTAATACAATTTTGCATCTCTCAGGCCTGTGTTACAATTGTGAGCCCCTTTGGGTATGAATTACAAAAGCGGGTCTCACCCAGCCTGATAACCAGAGGCCTGGGAGGTGAGCCTAGGACACACCAGAATGCCTTAAAATCAACAGAACATTCATACTTCTGGGAACACTTACCTTAGCTTTCCTGACCTAACCACCGAGGGCAACAGGGCAGTTGGGAAATGCTCAGGCTTACCTCACAGTTGTTTACAAGACCGGCCCTCCAAAATGCCTTATCAAATTGTAAATTGTTAGCATGTATGTTTATGCAAATATGGCTAAAGATCTTGAGAAGATAAGATAAGAAGATAAGTCCACATAAACACAGAAAAGTTTGATCTCATAGCGCCTGTACGGCCTGACTCATTCAAGAAGATGAATACAAAAACCTAAATATTCTTCTACTAAGATTCTAATAATATTATATACTATCATTGTACATTGTCTATTTTACTGTAAGGGACTAAAAAGATTTGTGTTTTGATTATCTATGAGCGTCTCGTCCTCTCTGTCCACAGCTGACAGAGTGTATGCAACATGTCAGTTGTTTTATTTTGTGTCTTCTGTACATTGTGGTAACATTTGTGGAATCATCTGTTTTTTCCAGAACATGGGAATATCAATTGAAATCCTCTTCGTGATCTACAGTTTTGCAGGTGCAATCATTTTTGTTGTTATGTCAATTATGGCAGGAGCGGCTCTACGTTCAACCAAAAGTCAGGTAAAGATATGAAAAAGAGCTTTGCATATACCACAGACTTCGAGACTTTCTCACGGTATCGGCTCAGCATGAACAAAGATGAGATATTACTGTTCTTTCTCTTCTCTCTAGGCAGTGGTAGTGATGACTGCTACGCCAGCTGAAACACAAGATGAACAACAAGCAGAAGAGGAAGAGTTGAACTGTGAGAAAATGGGTGAATAGTGGTATTATCAAGATTTCACAGAAGCAATGTGCTGACTCAGTAGAACAGAGCCGGGTGAATGATTGCCAAATGTCACCTCTTTTCACTATTCCTCATTTTTTAAGCATTTCCACTACCAGCATCACTTTGTGGGTGATTTCACTCTACTAACTGTGTGCTAATTGTGTGGACATTGTGTTTACACTGCTGTATCAAGGTACAAAGGTCTGGGTGAAACTAATACCTTCTGAGGTATTGAAAATAAAAACTACAGTTCTCATAAACAGTCCATGAAGATGGGCAGGCTTAAACTGCGATGAGCATTTCACTTGTTGATTAAGAACCTCGTAGAATCAAATATCAAAGATTGAATCCTAATAAATAGTCTTGGCGACTCCTACCACTGAGAGTTTGGATTAGAGAGGCGGTAATTTTTCTACCAGCATAATTCTATCTACTTCTTTTTTGTTTCTTGAAGACTCTGCAAATCTCCTTGGAAAAGATTATTTACAGGCCTCTGAGTCACTGTTTACGCAGAAGACTCAAAAAATCTGTGCAGCCATCTGATCAGGTTGTAACACTTTTCTTTTGGGAAAGTATCATAGAACTTTAGTATTTAGGATTCAATTAAGACCAACGCACTGACAAAAGTGCAGAGTTAATGTTTGTTTAAACCCATTAGTTATTAACCAATAATGACCTACTAACATGTATAACGCCAAAGGGGTTACAAATTCATGCTTGTTTAGGGTATTTATTAACTATTTCAATGTGGAGCTGCCAAAAGAAAGCACGGTAACTTTTGATATAAAACATTTTATGGGGGAAGTTGTTTCTGTTGAGAAAACATCTGTTACATGTTACATCTGTAATGTAGTGTCAATAATTCAGCCATAAACAAGTTCACTCTGCTCAAACGTTTCCTCTGTCTTTAATGAAGTGCTGAACACATAACAGTGTGAATTTTATCTTTGCCTCTCTGTACCCCACCGAAAAAGCTTGGCATAGAGATGAGAGAACATGCACAGAGTCTCATAGCTGCCCTTGATCACTTTTTTCCTACCACGGCAGCTCATGTTTCAGCAGCAGCAGTGTTAAAGTAAGAACTGGCACCCAAAGTGGTGTTCACATACAGAGGACAGCATGTGAAAGACATCAGCTGTAAAATTATGTCTCAGAGAACAGATCATGCAATGAAATTACAGTCCTGGCACAACAATAACCTTTGTAAAACTGACACTCAAAATTTACTTTTTTAGTTAAATGCTGATTTATTTAAACAGAGCGTGCCAGTTCTAAATATATAAATGGTTAAGGGTATAAACAGTTTGGGATCATGGCTTTTGTCTTCATTATTTTGTATTTGATCTAGACTGTGGTCATCAACAAAATGTAGCAAGCCTTTATGTCAATTCAAAACATAACATGAATAATATTAGAAAACTTGGAAAAGAGTCCTACTTAGAGTCTTCCAAGGGGACAGGAGTCACGTTAATGTAACACGTGACAAGAGTTTGTTTCACAAGAAACATGAACTATTTCTGCATTTAATAATGACCAAAGATCATCTATGCTGATATGGTGGATCAGCAGATGGTTGTTTATTTGCACATCTAGCAGGCACATATCCATGACTTTTCATGATGTTTTAGGTTGAAAGCAAATCCTGTGCTGAAAACCCCCAACCCCCCAAAAAATCAGCATCAAATCTAGCTGCAAAAATGTGACAAAAAAATCAAAACGTGGAGCTGAAAGCTGATTGAAGCTCTGAAAATATAAGGAAGGTGTGAGGGGATCATGGGTTTGATTTTACCACCATGAACATCTTGTACCTGTATAATCATTTATTTCATCATTAGTCTCAATAACTTGCAAATAGATGCTTTAAATACTCTGTTTTCCTTTCTCTCTTATTTCAGGGATCAGAGTTTTCATGCATTGCTAGCATCTGGAGGGCAAACACACCCATGAATACTGAGCCCTCTCACAGATTTGAACTCAAAATGCCCTTATTGTCTTTCTTTGCAACATATGGACGAGAATTCCTCCCACATTTCCCTCCGAGTAAGAAACTGCCTTGTCAGTGACAGGATGATCCATTTCAGCCTCATGGCCCCCTTCACAGTGTCTCATGTTGGAGAAGCAGAAGGCTTTTGAAAGTCAGTCCCAAGAGAACAGCGCTGGTGAACACGCATGTGCTCTGTGACACGGTACTGTCGTGAAAAGGACATGGGGCAATTGGGGCAAGGAAAGGGTCGAACGCCAAGGTGGCTCCTCACATGTCTGTTGAGAGAGCCTCGCTGACTGAAGGAACGGTCGCACAGATAGCACTGGAAAGAGTGGTGAGTAGGAGTCGACAGAGGAGGTGATTTATTTGTGGCCATGATGGCTGAGGGACTTAAAGGTATGGAGTCAGGCGAGGTAAACGACACAGGGCCTTGAACAAATTCTGAACCAGTGGGTTGTGAACAGACTGTCATGGTCCCTGTCTTATATAGTATCTTAGCAACTGGACTGCTTTGGTCTTTCCCAACGGATTGTCTTTCAGGAACATTTGCTTCTCCAGCCCAGTATTTAGTCTCAGCCCCATCAAAACTCTCAGCCTCAAGATTTGTCAGTCCTTTACAATTTCTTTCATCAACCACAGCTGCAGGTGTTTCTTCATCCCATCGATCTCGATCATTGTTCTCTCTGTCCTTATGGTCAAATGCGACCCAAGTCTCTCCTCCCTCAGACCTGTGTTTGTAGGTCACGAGCAACTCTGCAGGTTTGGCGCTGATATCCAGAAGTACAACCCTTTCTGTAGTTTGTCTGACAAAGTGTTGCCTCAGAGTTCCTTGATCTTGAAATGTACTAACATTCTCATCAACAGACGGGTCTGAATGATCAGGGGGTTTGTGGTCTGAGTCTCTATTTGAGAGTCTCTCCGGTGTCATGCAGTGATAATGAATATGTCCATGGTATGCCTGCGCCACATCACCTGATGTGTGGTCAGAGGTGTTGTCATCAGACATTTGATTTGAAATCCTTTCAAACTCTTGAGATGTGTGACGTTCAAAGACAGACAGACCACCACCAGTTTCACCCAAACTTGACTCAGGTGTGGTGGGGACAGATGGACAAACATCAATAATATTTTGGTCCATGATGGTTGTGCTTTTGCTGACCGAATCATCTTTTGTGCCTGCCTCAGCTCTCCGCACATTTGGGCACCAATCAGTCCGAGGTCTGTGGAGGCTACAGTTGCTGTCCTGTCTTTGAACTTTGGTTGTGTGTTTGTGTTCTTCTTTCACTTCTCTCTCAGGACTCGAGCCTTCACTGTGGTGGACACTGCCTGTGACTGGGCTCTGTTCAGGAAGTGGAATCTCGACTCTCTGATCATTTGAGTGAATGGACTTGGTCGGGATATTATGGTTATCAGAACAATCAAGCCGCTGATACTTTGAGGGGAAATCCTCAAACCCGAGATCAGTTTTATTCTTTAATCCTCTGATGAGATTTCTGCAGAGCCTGGTCCTTTGCTCGAGTTTGTCTCTTCGGTCTTTGGGTTGATTGTGAAATGAATCACAATGAGCACTGTGGTCATTTTGGTTAGCCGTTTGGGATGATACATTGCTGCTGTGTTGATGACCTGCAGAGCTATTAGATTTGTGATTTAACTCCTGGTTTTTGATCCCATGGCTGATGGTGATGCCTTCTGCAGTGCTGTCACCATCGATGCTTCTTGATGGACAGCAGGAGCTGGCCGAAACCTTGAGTACTGGAAGGCAGGGAATCTTTGAGGACTCCTCTGTCAGCTGGGACATAGATGCGTTACTGCTGTGACATATGACAGAAACTGCCTCAGAGCACGGCTGTGGTGATGAAGAAGAAAGCAAGGAGGTGCACTGTGAATGGGAAACACTATCCTTCACAGTAGAGGTTGAGAGAGAAGGAACAGGAGAGAGATGGATCTGAGTCTTGTTTACCTCCTCTCTGTTCATTTCCTCTGCTTCTACTTGACCTTTCACTGCTAGACATGGTTGCTTCCTATTTTCTTCACTCATTTCCTTCTCTTGTAGTACAGCTGTGCAAGTGTAGAACATGCCTCTCCTGTCTGGCACGCTCCTCGCCAGGTCCTCCTCCTGGCAAGTCTGTGATTCAGCAGAGTTAGATGGCTGATCCTTTGACAACTCTTTGTCCACTGTGGGCACTCCTGAAGTTTTAAAGGTGAATGGGAATTTTTCGGACGAATCCTGTGATGTGAGGTGGGTTACCTGTGTGCAGTTGTCAGTATCCAAACCATTGTTGGTAATTCTGGGTGCAGAACAGCTGGCTATCACGTTTCTTGAAGGGGTGTTTCCTTTTGAGGGACAGTCTTTATCACAGTTGTCGTTGCATGTGCCCAGATGAGTTGCATCTGAATGATCCTCTTCCTGCAGTGAGTTTAGGCAAGTGTGGGACAAGGGCATATGTGCACGAAAGCCACTACAACTCGCATTGTCTTCGTCTCTAATGTGTTTGTTGGGTTGATAATCTATCCCATCCGCATCATCTACAGCTTTCACCTCAGTCTGCTGCAAAGCCCTCAGAGTCTCCTGCAATCCATCCATCTGCAGGTAGGTGGCAGCAGTGAGGAGACTGCAAAACTGTTCCTGGCTGTGGGTGTGCATTATTGATCCTGTGTAGATGTAGTCCAAAAGCATTCCCAGTACAGACCCAGACAGACATGGATCATGTAGTTCCACCAGGACACCAGTCGAGGACAAGATAGATGCCAACACTGGACTAGCAGCTGATAGGACACACCTGGGAAAAGAAAGCAACTAGATGTTACGGCTAAAAACATGTAAAGACTGAAACTAACAATACTACCGGTCAATTTATATGTTACTTTGTGTGTTTTTCTGTTTGATGGTGCTCACCTGTGGGCAGAAAAGACCTGACCGGGGTTGAGTTTCTGTATGACCACACAGTCACAGAACTGAGCTCGTTGTCTTTGGTGGTTCAGATTTATCATCAACGTTTCTGCATGTCTGTTCATGCTTTGGGCACAGACTGCCATCTGAAAGATGAAGAACTCTTAGACAGCAGTTCAAACAGAGAGTTTTTAAAACAGATGTTGTCTTATACTGATGACAGAGAATTTAATTTTTTTTCCTGACTGATTCAGCACAGATTTTAAAAGTAGGCATTAAAAACATGAATACTTCTGACATAAGCTTTTTTTTTGCAAGTAAAAGCAGTCCTAGCTTGCCTGGTACAAACAGTTTCAGTCATTTGAACCATAAAGAAACTGATCTTCAGGCTCACCAGACATTTTAGGTTAACTTCTGTGGTTTAAGCACTAAAGTAAAACAGTTACTGTACTGGTACAAGAATGGCTGAAAAAGACAAACAAGGAACAAAACGCAACTGCAACTTGTAAGAGTATTAAACTGTTTACTTGATTTTCTAACATATCTGTGAAGCAAACTGGGAGTCCCAAGAAACTATATAACAGAATATATTAACATGCACAAGATAGATTTTCTTTTTCTATATCTTACCTCTCTTTTGTTGTAAATCCAAAAAACAAATCCTTTGTGGTTCACTGTGAAGTCTCCCAGCACGTATTGCTTGTAGTCGAATGAACAGAAAAACCTCAATGAAGGCTTTATAGTCACAGTCTCGTATCTACGCACACTGTCCCATGTGGAAAACAATCACACGCTTTTCGTATTGGGAGCTTGGAGTGACGCGAAAGGACAGGTGCTTATAAGGAGAGCTGGCATCCAACGTCAGACTTTCCATGGCCCGCTTTGGAGTGGGAACTGAGACCAGCCTACGGCGGATCAACCACGAGACTACAGAAACAAAACAAATAGAGATGATATTTCCATTAATTTTTCAAGAGAATGGCGATGTGAAGGCCTTTTTTTGAAAATGCAAAAGTGCAGCTTATACAAAAATGTACAAAATGAACAAAACTGGGCACAGCACAGGGTCAGTTGTTCATGTTTATAATAAACATACAGTAATTTCTCAATGCTGCAAAGACACTTCTCTTTTCTATTGTCTTTTCTGTAGAGAGGCCTAATGTCAAAGGGTCAAAGGTCAGTCACTCTGCAGTATGCTTGAGCTTTGGGTTTGAAAATGAATCATACAACAGCTGTTATTGAAGCATCATTTGGCCTAGTTTGTCATCTGTGAGTCTACACTAGAGTCCTTTATTGCGCTTAAATTAGATTAGATTAGATTTCCGTTATTTATCCCTCAGTGGGGAAATTAAAATTGTTAACAGCAGCAGTACACACAACATACATGTTCATACCAGATAGAAAAAACAAATAAGATAAAGAGCTACGGTAAAAAAAGAAAGAGCAGTGCAAGGTAAGAACAGTATTAGTCTTATTAAAGCAGATTTAGTAATATAATTACACTGACAACAAACAAGTGATGCATCCAAACATCTCTATCTGTTTTATATCTATAGTGGGAAGCTTCCCCCAGTGAACTGTGTGCCGCCTCCTCTCTGACGCTTTGTTGACAACTCCATACTAAGCCGTTTCTCCACCCTCACACACCATGTGCTTGTCACGCCTCTTGATCTGTACAGCACTCTAATGTTACAGCCGCAGCTCTCCCTGGTACACTTGCACTGGAAACTGTGCAATGGAAATACTTCTGCAACTCGCAACAACACACAGTCCACCATTTAAAGTTATTCTTGAGGTAAAAAGAACTTGGGTACGGGACAAAAATAAGCTGTAAACTAACGTCATGCTCAATAACATACCGTATATTAATACAGCACTATGATCTGTGTGTGTCATATGGGCACAAGCTGGCAGAATAAAAAAATGAATAAATGCAACATTCAGCATCAGGTTTACTTCCCACCTGGGCAGCTCTTAACATGTTACCCTCTCCCCCATATTTCCTCCCCCTCTGTCGCTTACTAATAAAGGTTTAATACCCCAAAAAATCCTTTAAAAAGAATGATTCTAAACCATGGAGAAATACTTCTATAGCTCAAGCAGAAATGACACTGATGCTGACAGACACAAAGGAGCATGTGCTGGAAAGACAGTGGCTTATAGTAGTTCCATTCACTGAGCGCTTGGTCACATAGCTCACGTACTGTACCAGCAACATGCAAAAGAGAGGGTCTCCCTTGGCACACAGCTGTGACTGCATGGTATACATCACGTAAAGTTTCTTTGTTGAAAAAAAGGGCAGATAAAGGACGTCAATTTAAGGTAGCTATATATGAATGAAAACAGGGGTTTAAATTGATCACATACTCAAATTGACACAGACTATATGGTTCTATTTATAACATTCTATTGAAGCTCAAAGTTTTCATGTAAAATTGAAATTGTATTATCAATTTAAATGAAATAAAAATTATTTTCTAATTCGCTTCAATTACAGCATTACAGCAACAAGTGTTATTTCACTGAATGGCTCTCGTTCTTATTTAGTAGTGAGTCTGAGGTCAGGTGACTGTGATGGAAATCACAGGTTTTAGGTAATGGATTATCTATTTTTTCCAGAGCTTACTAAACTAGTAGAAACTATTGTAATCTGATGACAAAAATGCCCTTTTTAGTTGAAATTTACTGTATATTTTTTTAAGTAGTAATGCCATGTTTCCTACAATCTCTTAGTAAGTGACGATCTGCTGGAATCTGATGCTACAGCAGTATTTATAACATGAACACTGGGGCTGTGAGTTGAGTTGTTTGAATGACCCACTTGAGGCTGTTCACGAGTATCAAATCCCCTTGGGTGTAATCTCGTTGGAGGGGTTACAACTGAAGGGAATCTGACTTTTTGCTTTGAGGAGTTCAATGGGTTGGTGACAAAGGTTTATTTAAACACACCCAAGTTAATGAGGCCCAGTCAGATAGTCAGAAAAGTAAAAGTGCTAATGATCCGACTTGTAATGAGGTGAAACAAATAAGCGTTCCTTTAGTGGCTGGACATTATCCTCAAGTGCCAACATTAGGCTGAGGCTTATGTCTGAATCACACTAATTCATCAGATAGTGTGAGATGTGAGACTGTAACTTTGAATATCAAAAGTGTGTGAGCTGACACTTGGCGTGATATAGATACTGGCACCCAAGGTTATATTTACTATTTTTATTTTTGAGGCAACTGAGGCCAGAAATTCTCTGGCAACAAATATCAAAACCACCACACTGAGCACTGCCATAACTTATGTGCTGTACTACCGTCCATTCCAGGACAAAGTACAGGGTCTCCCTTTTCACATGCATAACTACATAGAGGGAACTTGATGTGATGTTTATGCCAACTTTGTGTACATCGGACTTTGAAGTTTCACGAGCATACAAATACAATCCAACAGACTTGAAGCGGTGTTATTTTGGTAGCAGTGGGGGAACATCATTTTGAACTAACAGCTGTTACAGCTGTTGAGAGTGTAATTTTAATCCAATGAAAATTTAACTGAAAAACTTGGATGGTGCTGGATGGGCTGACATTTGGATCGATCAAGACCATCTGCATCAACTAGACAGCATGGGCATCAGAACAAGCATGTGTCACTGTGACCTATATGCCATCTTGTACAGTATAGAGGGAAGTCCATGGAGTCCCTCAGGGTCATCCCCATTTTAAACGGACAAAGGTCTTAAAGTTCCTGCTCCCTATATCTAGTGGTTTTATGAGCGTGTACCCCTTGTGATAAAAAGATCCCCTGAAAGTGTGCCGTTACATGCTGTGACACACACACACACACACACACGTCATACCATGCCCAGCTGGCAACATACTGTACCAACCCTGTTTCTGAAACATATACAGTACAAAGCTCCAGTTGTCAACTTCTTGTCCCAGTTCTATTTTTACACATGTAACATCATCTTCATCTTGCTCTCCTGAACTCACACTTCCAGAACATTGTAGTCATGATATCCAGTGGCTGCTATTCTCAGCTCACAGGCACAACACTGTGAACACACATCCCTACATTAACACTTCTGCAAAACTGCACAGTAGCAGGACAGACGTTTAAGGACTCTGATGCCAACTAAGGTGCCAGACAGAGCTCAAAACTAACAGTGTCTTGTTGACCTTGAGGTTATGAGGTACACTTCACCCTCTACTGACACTGTGCAAAACTATTAGTTTCCAATGTCCAAGTGGTTGACTGTCAGAGAATGTACAATCCTGAGGCAGAGGGTGGAAAAGTCTGTCATGTTGTGTGTGCTTGATTTTTAGGTCCTTCGGCACACGGTTGGACCACAAAAAACAAAACTCCTTGCAGTAAAAGCAGTATTTTTACTCTTTAAAATACAGATCGGGTTAACATTATTGATTTGCGTTATGAAAAATACATATACTGGATATATTTGTTAAGTCCATGTGCAATAGAATCTCTCAGATGGAGTCAGAGAACAGATCTCTGGACCAATCACATGCCTCGTTCTCACCGCTGAGATATGTCTCTTTCTCAGAAGTCTCACAGTGTCTTCTTTGTGCCACACCTCTCTGTGATGACATCCCACTTTGATCCAACACAGATGTTTCACAACCTGTTCCGTCTCCCTGCTGCTCTCCACAAGTCCAAACCAAATTACTGCTGCTGTCAAGAGTCTGATTTGTCCTTCCTGGTATCTTTACGCTACGTAGTGACTTTTCAGCAGGAGTGGGAGGAACGAAAAGTGGATACTGGTCCTCATGACCACACACAGTCCCATCATCACAACTTGAGTGAAAGGTGCGGTTGAGTCTTTCTGATGACCCTGAACTTAAATCCACCCTCTGAACCCTTGAGGGCGCCTGAGGCAACAGAGGTTTTTTACGCTTCCAAAATCTTCTCTTTGAGATAAATCTGTGTCTGCTGGTTGTTGAACTCCACAACAAGTTTTCTTTTGTTGACTTTCTGCCACAAGAGTGGGGAATTTGGGTTTTTTTTTTATCGTCCAATTCAGGCAGATCTTTGTAACGAGAGTTGGAATCTGGAGTGAGCGTTTGCAGCACACCAAATGTTGAGGTTTTCTTTAAGGCGGCTGATCCTGTCACAGCACCAACTTTTACAATGGGGGTCGACTGAGAGGGAGGAATGAAGTCATGTTCTTCAGAGCCTGGTGGAATTAAATCATCTTCAATAACGCATTTATTCGTTTTCAGCTGCTGTTTGTGTGGTGTTAAGTGTGGCATATTTAAACATCCTCTTCTCATGAGCTGTTTTTCTGGCACTGAAAGCAGTGAGGGAGCTTCAGTTGATGTCCCAACACTTTCTGTGTAAGTGGTGAGTGGGGTTTTGTTCATACTGGTCAATGGTGAGCTGCTGAAAAGTTCTGCAGAACAGTCATATACGTCACCATCAATCTGTTCCTCTTCTTTTTCAAAAAAAGGTGAGTGAGCTGTCTCATCTTCCTGAGAAAGTAATGTTCTAGCTTGTCTCTTGGGTACAACAGGTGTCTCGCAAATTTGGTCAGATATGTCATGCCTGTCAGCTCTATTTGATACTGGTGTATCCACGATATCCAGTACTATTTGTGAGCGGCTGTCTGTTGTCTGTTTATATTGACAAACAGGAGATTCAACGGATAAGTCCACGCTTTGCGATCCGACTTCCAGCTTGTTTCTTGTGGTTTCTTCCTGGTTTTGCACTTTTAGATTTGGCTCTGATTCAGTACCAATGAAAACATTTTTCTTTTCCTCGCCTAAAAACTCTGTAAGACTCTCTGAAAAAGGCAAATCCTCCCAAGCCAAAGAGTCTGACCAAATTGTGTCAGTTAAACGGCTGGTAGAAAACCTCTTCTTCTTAGAGCTGCTGTGATCATGCGAGGAGGGAGTGGATGAAGTATCCAAGAAAGAGGTGTTTTCAACAGCCTTATCAATAGGTGAGTATGAGTACACGGAAAATGAGGGACTGCTAAAAGTGCTTCTCTGTACAGGTGGAAGTGGTGACACTCTCCTCTCCTCTTTGTGGTACCCTTTGTTGTCCTTCTGTGTATGATTTGGTGTTTTGTTTTTGTTCTTTCTGCCATCCTCCACACGACTATCCTGGGTGCTGAGGCTTTCCTCTTGTTCTGCCGAGGACGTCACCAGCCCCAGTGATTGCTGCCATGGAGGTGTGGGACTGAGGGACTGTGATCTAGGATAAAGACAAAACACAGGAAATGTTACATGAAAATGTCACTTACACGGAACGAATGCTTTTATATTTTAGATGTATAATAGGAAAATGACTGGGAGGCTATTTTACTCTTTACAGAATACAGGGCTGACATGTGAGGCTTATTCATTCTAAGATTTATAAATTAAGAATAGGTAATATCTTTGCCTTCTTGGTCTCCTTACCTTTGCAGTGATTGGTTTTGAAGATCTAATGTACAGTGATAAGCATGGTTGAAGCTGCTGGCTGGAGAATAACAAGGTAGCAGCAGCAGGGGTGCTTCTGGGGGTCGGAGGCTTGGATCAGTAGACCCCAGCTCAAATTCTGCAGCTTTCTGAAGAAGACCCTGATAATAACTGACCACTGTGCAGCCTCCTAAGCTTAAAGCTTTGGGTAGAATCATCTGGTTGGCGATTAACTGGGCTGCATTGCTGCTGCTGGAACCATCGCCTCTTCTTAGCCAAGGCTCAGGTTCTGTTTCAGTTACCTGAAGGACAGAGACACACCAGGGTTGATGAAGTTAGGTGCTGTTCTGAGCATTATTTGTGGCTATAGAGTGGCTTTTTGGTTGAGGTTTGTTTATGGCTCTTCAGAGGGGGTGTCTAACTCTGTGTTTGTGGGTTTGACCCTAATTTTATGCTGGAATATCCCTTTATATCCCTTAAACTCTTTATCTGCCCATTAGCACATTTAAAAAGTAGAAATATCGAAATATACTTCAGGCCAAGCATTTGTGATTGAGATATCTGATGTCCATGTGCCGCTGTACCTTTATCCCAAAGATGACATGTCTGCCAATGAAACAATCCTGGACAGCCCTCGCCAACAAAGTGGATCTGGTTGTTGGTTCAACTGGTCCATCTGTGTTCTCAACCAACCTACAACATTACAGACACAACCTTAACTTCATTTCACACAGTGGTTTACTTTCCCTTGCCTATAACAACGTATTCTGCATGTATGTATCTAGGTGATTTCACCCTTGCAAAATGTTGCTAGTATAAAGTTCATGTTCACCTCTGCAGACCAGTTGCATGGATGCCAAAGAACGGGTTTAAGCATGTTCCAAAGACTGTAACTCCAAATATGCATTTGTTTCGGGTCACCTTCAAGGAGAGACGATATCTGTGGTCAACGTTTTCCCTCAGACAGATGTAACCACACTTGGGGCACCTCCACCTGTAGTGGATAAGCAAGGACAACAAGCAACAATCATGTCACAGGCTCAGCCCAACACAGGAAATAGATAAAAGTACTGACAAATGGACTTAAATTAAATACATATATCAAATATTCTACAAGTTCCTGAAGTAAGTAAGTAAGCCTTTTTACCGTGTCGGGTCCTGGTGCTCAGGTTGAATCCTGGAAAAACACTCTCTACAGCATGGATAAAAAACACAAGTATCCTGCAAAGACAAAACCACACAGCCCACCAGCGCTGGTCTCACAGACATTAGTCGGCCTTTCAGCCAGCAGCAGCAGCTTGTTAGTTAGACCCTCACTTTTACAAAACGCACAAGTCGTATTATTTCCTTAAGGACGTGACAAAAAGTAGTATAAACTTTTATAGAGTTGAATTTCGTCTCTCAACGTCCCTTTCGTTGCCGCCTGTGAATTACAAACTACTTCTTCTCCTTGTTGTGGTTCATTTGCAGTCGGTGAGCCAATAAACGGGTGTTTGACTGCCCCCTATCGGACTGGGTGTGAGAGCAAAGAGGGTACACGACGCGTGTTTACTGAGAGGTAAACTTCTTTCTTTGTAAGATGTGGAAATTATATGGTGATGAAATACCACAACAACGTTTATTTATTTATTTATTTACTTTTCATGGGTTTACAGTTCATGTGACAGAATGTCAATTCAAATGCATATTTTCTCAATCGATCCAAGAAAACATTTACAACGAGTAACGTTTATAATATATCAAAGACAATTTTTTGAGGTCATGTTGTTTTTTTCTCTCATTCGTAATTAGAAAAAAAATGCATTTTTAATACTATCATTTTTTAATTTATTTTTCTACTTGTCAAAAAATACAGTCGGACAGATATTACCCGGTGGAGTTAGTTGATTTTTGCATTGTGCTGATTGAAGCAGGTCCAGTCAACTCATGATTAAGGCCTACATGTGAGTACAGGACGCCATTTCTAACACAAAGAAGAACAGTAACAATTGGGAATGATGATGATGATGATGATGATGAATCACACCTTCTTAAGAAATGCTTATACGTGACTAAAGGCTAAAAAAAGCTGACATGCTTGGACTAAAAAGTTGACAAATTCATACTGCCCAAAATATTGTTGATTGGATTCATGAATAAACTCAGGTCTGTCTGCTAGGGTCTTGATTAAATCAAATGAGTTGAGGTTGGCTCGATGTATTTTAATGAATTAAAAACCACCTTTGCACCATAAACCCTTCGAAATGATTATACAAACAAAAATCATATTTAAAAAAACAAGTTATGTGTGTTAAATGGGATGAAGTCGACAGAAAGTAGCCCTGTAACACCACAAATTAAATAAAAAAAAATCTTTTTTTTGGAGCTGAAATGTATATTTCACTTACTACTGAAAACCCAAAAAATCTAAATGTCCTTAAAATTTAACAATTATATTTATTTATCTCGTTTGATACATTAGATATTTTTTGAAACTAATAAACTAAAAGGGGACATATTTATCATTTTAAAACTGTATTTAGGTGTCTTTTTTAGTAATTTGTTGATCATATTGATTTGATAGAAGTATATAAAAGTATGTATCAAATATGATACAAAAGGCACTAAAGGGTCAAGTGTGCTTAACTATCATATCCGTGGTCTCTACTTTAAACATATTCTGATTAAATGTAGTCTATTAATTTCTTCATAAAATCAGCTTGGTCGTAGCTTCTTATATGTTGGTTTATACCAAAAATTAGATCCCAATGTAAAATTACAAAATCTTCTCACATATACCTGAATCCATACTTTATTTATTTTTTAATTCTCTTTCTTATAAAGCCTCCAGTCGGTTCCAGTGTAATATCGCTTCCTGTCTGGGTGTAAGAAACGGGATTGAACCGCCCCTCCTCTGAGCTACCGTAACATTTCCAGTAAGAGCGAGTTTCCCAGATCAGGAAGAGTGCGACACAGCATTGAAATGTCTCTACGCAGTAAACAGACTTCACCTTCAGACTAACCAAGTTTTTTTTGTTTATTCTGAATGAAAACAGGAGGAATCAGTCAGCTCATCATGGGGTTATGGAGGTAATCTACATTCTTGGATTTTTAAAGGAGTGAAATCATCACATTTGTCGGATTACAGTAAATACCATTTACTTTTGTTTTTGCTCTCAGGGGATCCGGCATGAGGAAAACTTTTGCCTTTTTGGTTTTAGGAAATATTGCAGCTGTACTCGCTCTCTCTGGTAAGTACAGTAAACATGTAGACAGCTTTTATTAGAATAGCTTTGTAACTTGTTTATTAAATGTCCTCTGTAATTTCTTACTCGAGCAGGCCAGGGTCTTGACTGTACCAACGACTTAGAGGACTTCATGTTTTGCCACTTCGAAGGAAAAAACTGTTCAGAGTACAACATGACTCTGCTGAGCAACGACCGACGGGAGTAAGCTGTTGTTTTCATGTCTCAATACAAAGCATTTGGGTTCAAGTGATAAGAAAGCTGGTTTGGATGTCAAATAGAAGATTACTTTTGTGTAAACTTAGTAAATATAGTTCAGTTGTTAATAACAATTTATGCATGTATTTATTCACTAATTATTTATTTTGTGTCCTTCAGTGACCAAGATTGTGTTTTCAAACAATGCATCCATGGACAGTGTTGTTGCTCGATGCGGATGAAGTATCTGGTATCAGGGGACACTTATAAAGCAACAGTTTGGAAAGAGGGCCACAGCCTGGAGTCCAAAACCATCAGCATCACAGACACGAGTGAGATTACTTCTTTTCAAGTGTTATTTTTAAGTGTTTCTCTTCATATCCCTGACTCTGACTTATCTAGACCCAGTAACACAAGGACAGGGAGTAAGACTTTTTTGTCTCTGTGTCATGGCAGTAAAACCAAAACGCCCAACTATCACCTCAGTCAGTGAAAACAATGGCATCTTTAAAGTTGTGTGGCTGACGAATACGAGGAGCGCCATACGGTATAGTCTGACTGCTGAAGTGACCTACCATGAGAAGGGAAGCAAAAACAAGGTATCAAAGACACCATGTTACAGATATTTTTCTCCTGAACATAGAGACGGTTACTTTTATGATTGCTTTTTATGATCTATGATTGCTGTACCCTCCTTTTATTGTTAAATTCTTGTTCTTCCCCTCAGGTGTCTGAAACAGTCAATCAAACTAACGATAATGGAGAGAACAGCTATGAATTACAAGACTTAAAACCAAGCACAACATACCTGGTCAGTGTGAGGAGCTACACGCACTGGAGTAAAATGTACAGTGACAGTAGTATGCCGTGGGAATTCACAACCCGTAAGTGTTTTTTTTCTCCAAAGCTTTTATGCCACTTTATATGGTTTTCATCATATGTTAGATATTTATGTTATACACATTTAGCTTCGTCAAAATGTCCATGAATGTCAAATCTTGATTGAACATTCAGAAAATAGTGTAAGTCTTGTACTGTGTTATAAAAATCTCTTGCTCTGAAACTCACTTTGATGGGATAAAGAGGGAGTTAAAAAACCCTGGGTAGGGCCTTTGTGTTTGATGAAAGCATGTGTATTAATAATTGTTTCCTTAGAATTAAGACTCAGTTTACGACGATTAAGATCACAGATTCAGTTTTAAGTGCATAATAAGCGTTTGTCACTCTAACATTGAAAGCTTCACTTTAGAAAGCTGATGGAGTTCACAGACTGTGACGTCAATGCTGATGCTCTGAAATACGTCAGAGCTCTAAATTTTACCATGTGTAATCTATTTTAGAGTGGTGTAGCATTCCTTGTTCCCAGCATAGAAAGTTCAATCTCATAGAAATATTTCAAAGTGCACAAAGCTAATGTCTGCTTGAATCCAAGCTGGGATTGCCACTTATTTCCATGTGCAATTTCACGAGACTTGAAATGAGTTTGGTTTTGTCAAACTAGTCGTCAGCCCCTTTCACTTAATGCCTCATGCTGTGCCAAATCATTGAAATCAATGAGGAAACATTTCCCTATATGGTTTTGTCAGACGGTAAAAGCAGATAAGCTTTCATTGTAATCTGAACTGCTGCAGTGTTTTATGAAAGCATCCATAGATCTATTAGAGCTAAAGTGGACTCTCTTCTTCCTCTTTCTAGCTCCATCATTACAGACGCACCCATTTCTCTATCTAATGATCTCTACCTTACATTCTCTCTGTGTTCTGACTCTTTAAGAGCTTTTTAAAAATCATTTTGGCTTTGATTATAACTAAACCAGAGTTGTGGTCTGTATGTCCTGTGTTAAAAAAAAAGAAAAAAAAAAACAATCTAAAAGGTTTTTTATTTGCACCTTTTGTGTGTACAGTAGCTGATTGATATATACTGTCCAGTCAATCTTTCTGCTGTTCATTATTTCTTCAAAAATAAACTTATTCTCTTCATGTTTTCTTACAGCTATGTCCTCAGGTACCCTGTACTTGATAATAGTCATCAGCCTCAGTGTAGCTGCAGTCCTTATCACTGGTGCTATGTACGGCTGTTATGTAAAGTAAGTCATTTTGGTAATCGTCGTCCTGTGTATGTTGAATATGTAAATGAAGTGATATTTTTACTTGGATGTTTTGTTTATGCATTATTTGTGCAGCTGTATTTATCGACTCTTTGTTTTAGGTTTAAAACAAAGTGGTGGGACTCGGTTGCAAAATGTCCAAATCCAAAACTTCTTGTCATGCATGCAAGAGAACATGAGGTGAGACACAAGTAATCAAAACTGTACAGCTCTGGTCACAATCCCTATAAAGTTCACATGAAATCATACTAAATCATAATCATACTTAAGTCATTCACAGGAACTGTAGGCTTTTTTTTTACCAAGCAAACCAGGACTGATAGTTAAGTCATAGTAACTGAAATCTTTCAGTTTTAGAGAATTAGGAAGTTCTCTTTTCACAGTGTATTACTTTCATAATGTATGAAGCTCTTTGGCAAAACCCATTGCAAAAGAGCCTTTCACAATTTACCCCCTTAACCACAAGCTTTTAGATCAGAATATGATTGTTGTCTTCCTCCTCATTTCAGATCTTGAAGCCTGTGCGGCCCATCATCTCCTCTATCTGTGTGGAGCCTCTATTAGATGACAACAAACCATGGTTAGCAGCAACAACACAGCTATTTTTTCCTGGAGAATCACCTCAGTTTTCTACCATATGCTTAAAGTAACCTGTCTTTGTGTATTTAGGTTAAAGGATTTTCAGAAGGACTCGAGCGGCGGCAGCCTTCAGCAAAGTAGTGGAATCAGCACTGGCTCGTCTGGTTTCAGCTACGCCGAAACCGAACCAGTTAACATTATCGCCAAAGTTCAGGAGGCTCGTGATAAAGCTCTTGCCACCATTAGCTTGATATCACCATTCACCGCCAACCTGCCTTCAGATGTAAACAAAGACGGCAGTTTGCTCTGTGCTCCTTGCAGCACTAACGATGTCATGCCTGAAGACATCGGCTCAGGATCATCTGGTTTTATGAACAGAACCTACTCCATCCTCCTTCCTAACTGCACTGCTCAGATTGCTCAGATCATGTCCGAGGCCCAGACACAGAATCAAATGCCCTGTGACTCCGGGTACCAGTCAAGTGAAGGCGTCACTGTGGTCACCACTTACCAACAAACACCAGTCTGTCTGCTCCTCACTTCACCACCAGAGGTCTCGTCTTTGATACCCACAGATATGTCTTATCAGCCATGTAACGCAGACTCTGGAACATTCTCATACGCAGATGCTTCAAGGTCCTCCTCCATTTCAAGTGGCACCAACACAACTGCCTCACTTGATTCAGTGTCCAGAGTTGAGGCTGCGTGTGAGACCTGTGAAAATGAAAACAGCGAGCAGGTAGTTGTATGTGATGAAAACCCCTGTTATGGCAGTGTGCCCGCATGCTCTCTCAGCTTTCCTCCCGTGGATTTTGACTACCAGCCATTTCAGAGTGTAGTGGAGCAGCCGGGTATGTCACTGTTAAAGAGGACAAGTGATGGGGCGGAGAAACATTTTGGTGGACATCCAGAAGACTTGTCTGTGAAGACACCTCAATCACTCTTTAATAACCAAGCTGTTACATGTCCAATTAATGATGGCCAGTGTTTCTCTGAACCTCCAAGACCCTTTCTCTCTCTGAACTCCAGAGACAAGTCTGTGCCCATAGTCACAGACAGTGGTTATCAGTGTGTATAGGGCTACTGTACATGTTTTTGCACCGTTTATTGTTCTGTTTTTGTTCCACTGAATGTTGAGAAATAAGAAATATGAGAAGAAGGAAGGAAGAGGATGACAATGCTCACCTCGAGGTCCTCTTTATGGTTGTTCCTGATATTCAAGACAAACTACTTAAAAAAAAGTTTGCAGTGTTGACATGGAAATGTAAAAAGGCTGAATTTTGTGACTATTTGTTGTTTAGTTATGTTATTACCACAGGAAAACCAGTTAATGCACAGATTTTGAGTCAACAAACTTGTTTATTTTGACTGTTGTAGATATTTTTGTTCGCTGCAGTAAGTCAATGAATTGTATTTAAATTTTGCACTTTAAAGACATTTATTGTGTTTAGTTTATGAATAAAGGGAACCTTCTGCTGTCTACTATTTTTTACTTCATCATAGCTGGTGTATAAAAGCTCTAAAGTGTAAAAACCCAAGATGCTTTTGGGGCTTTTTTTCTATCGTGTTTTGAAGAGCCATGTCTGTCATATTTGGCTGTAAATACTTGCCTTGAAAAGAAACATTCATGAGAAGCAACCAGTCAATAAGCTGGTGTGTCCTGCTGTTACTATCCAGAATTACATAATCACTTCCTCATTTCTCTTCTCTGGAAACACCTCCGCTCTTCCACCGAAGTCTGTCAGCGTGACCCAACAGGCTATAATCATATTCATTATCAAAATAGCCGAATTATGGCCCAAGCAGACAATCACTATGTCATCAGACAAAATTCAAAGGAACACTTTACAATGAAAGTCTAAAGAAACTAGTGTGATATGTCCAAAGACGTGAAGATGATCAGGTTCAGTTTAATGTTCCTCATGCTGTGGATTATTATGAGCTTTATTTGTCACAAAGGAGCAAGCAGTTTGTTGCTTTGCACTGTTTCCCCACACCACAGAAGCTTTTGTTTGAATGAACTGGATTGTTATCACAAAAGATAATTCAAAAATTTTGTAACTAAACCAAAACTTTACCTCATGGCTGGATAGATTAAAAACATGCCTGTTTGTCTTAAATGTTCGCATCTTAGTTTTAAGTTGGACTTTATTTCAAAATCAAAGCACATACAAACAACAGCTTTATATGGAATATGTCAAAAGTTGATCAGATTAGACATGTCTGTCCTTGTTTACAGCGAAAATAGGCGCTCTTACAGGACGTAATGTGCGGCGTGTCACATGCAAAGCAGCTCATCTGTTTTGTATTGTACCACCTGTGCTTCCATCTAGTGGCCTTACATAAATTAACACCCTAATGGTGGAACTCATTAATCACAACAGGATCTCCAAATTATTTAAGCACTGACTAAAGTGACTCTAAATGCAATGCTTTTTTTTTTTTTTTAAAGCTGTTACAAGTTAATGTTTGATTTTGTAGAACTTAGAAGTTTCAGCTTTTCTCCAAAGTCTGTGTTTTGACAGCGGGGGGAAGATTTACAAACCTCAAGTCCACTTCATGTTGTAACTGGAGAAACCACTCAGGCAGTAAGGAGGAGGATAATCATGTGGGTGGAGAGTTCAATTGAAGGATGAAAGTGGAGGTGGATCCGTTGACTCAATCTGAACTCCTTGGAAATTTGCACCTTCTCCTATGAAGCATCTTGTACTCTCGGACATACCTGTGCACACCTGAGACTCGCACTACAGCATGCAACAGCAGAGCCGGCAGAGGCAGAGATTGAGGCCATGGCTGGAGGAGCAGATTCAGTCTGGGAGGTATCCTGGAGTCTGCTGGCTAGACCAGGTAGACCCTCTTCACATTTTCAATACCACAGAGGCATGACCATACACCTAAGCGACAATGTAACATGTTCTATTAATTTCATCCCGCAGTCTGCACAGATCTTTCAGATCCCGTGGAAACATGCGGCTCGCCATGGCTGGAGTATTGACCGAGATGCCACCCTTTTCAGGAGCTGGGCCATGCACACAGGTAGGAGCTTGGAGGGATGGATAAGTGATTGATTTTTAGCATGAACAGTCCTCAAACATATGAAGGTTTGCTTTATAGAGAGAGGGCAGATAAAGCAACTTCTAAATGAATAGACTGTGAGGATGAAGAGCTCTCTATAACAATATTGACATTTATTTAAACCTTATTGAATGTGTTATTTTTGAAGGAGGCTTAAATGTCGGAGGTTTTGTGTTGCCACACTACAGTTGTAGTGTTTGATGTTTTGTAACTGTATTTACTGTTTCCTGATAAGTAGATGTATTTCCAGTTTAAAGCAGCCATGTGTCTGTCTTTCAGTCCATGCTTTTCTTGATCTGCCACATTCCCACTGCAGAGCAGGGATCCGCATTGCCCAGCAACCTCTAATAACAACAGGAAACACCAAATATGCGCTGTATAAATGCGCTGTTGAGACACTTTAAGGATTTCAATCTTGTTCATGAACTCCACATAATGACAACTTAAGGCACAAATGAATTCACACAAATAAAGAATAAATAAAGATAGTTCTTTGGTTCATGTTCAAATGCAGATTAAAATGCAGTTTTTACCATTTTGTTTTTTCAAATCTGGTGTTTAGATGTTCTTACATTTTGTTCAGAGTTAAATGAGCTTGTAAACGAATACACACTCACATTTATAATGACATCACATCACTAGAGTCTTGGGAAAGTCATGCTCAGTGACTGTGGCTGCCTCACATCATGGGAAATCATCAGTTCTCTTGAGGTGATTGTTCAAGGGGATCATATTCCTCTCAAAGTACAGCAGGGCAGCTCTTAGCCGGATCATGAGAAATCTTATTCAGCTGTTAAACATGTAAAAACTAGACCGAGATTAACCTTTTTATCATAAAAATTAACCTTATTATACAAAAACAAAAAGATATGCTGACAAAAAGTACCCGACATATGCAAATTATCTGTTAATAACATTCTATGACACAATACTGTGAGAGCCTTTCAAGTCATTAATAACTGTCAGAAATTGCAGCATGTGTATAAAATAACTTGGGATGCGACCTGTGCTCCATTTCTGCTTGTTTGGCTTTGTCGGCTGTAAATGATCTTTTTCAGCTCCAGTGGTTTTAGGGCTGAGGCTGCAATCAGAATCAGAGGACTGGCTGAGATCCAAATTACACTGTGGTGCTGAATATGATGCACTCACTTACCGACTATTTAATTGAGATTCTCTCTCTTGTTATTATTTGATCATATCATTGGGCCTAATCGTCAATCAATGGTCATGTCAATGGTGTTTGTCATGTGACCTAATCATAAAATAGTTTGAGATGCAACTCTAGATGTAGCTACATAACCATTGGGCAAAATGAGAAAACTTCTTTACCCCAAATGTAAAAAAGATGCTGCATTAATATTTAGGGATATTTATCAGTTTATACCTCCACCTTCAAATTTGAAGTAACAATTTTGGATCATTAGGATTCATTTGGATCACCTTAATGGCCTGTTATCGTGGCAGAAGAGTACAATACTGGGGTGACCTTGATGCAGTTTTATTAACTGGGCAGCCCTACTCTGCGGTGAGAGAAAAATGGACTGTCAGCTTGTGATAGAGGGCAGCAACTCTGCCTCACGCTTCTGTGAGATTAAAAGCGGGATATAATGGGTAGATTTACACTTTAGAACAGCCTGCCAGAGTCAGTCTCTCATTTCGTTTCAATACTCAAGACACAACTCTTATGGTATTATTTTTTATCTGAATGTTTAATCTCTAATTTAATTAGTCTGTTATTTTGTTGTCTTTTTTTTGTTGTTATATTGCATTCTGCTTTTATAGTGTTCGGTTTTATTGCCTAATAAAGTGTATTATGGTCTCTGCTGATAAAGCACATTAAACACCAAAGACTGATAAAGGCTATTTAAACTTCAAAGATAAAGAGATGCCATTAAAATTCAAGCAGATGTAATGATTTCAGATGGAAAAAAAGGAACTTTGGATCTTTAGTTAGCTTCACTCAGGTAGTACAAAAAATTTGATCTACAGTTTTTTAATGTAAGTCTTTTTTCTCCCTCAATAGCGACATAAAGGTAGTGAAAGTTAAATCAGCATCACCCAAAACTCACAGTTTTCCGGGTGATGCTGATTTAACTCTCACCACCAGCCACAGCAACTCACACATGCGAACTAGGACAGAATTTTGTGCAAATGGGCTGCATATTTTCTTAGTTATTTTTGTACATCAAAGTACCACAAAGTGAACAAAGTATTGCTGCTCAGAAAACTGCAAATTAGGAAAAACAAACCAACAAACCTTAACACGAATACAAGCACAAACCCCCATATCTTTTCACACATTTGCTCACCACAGGACGGTATCGCCCTGGCAAAGATAAGCCGGATCCAAAGACATGGAAAGCCAATTTCCGCTGTGCTTTGAATTCCTTGCCTGACATCTGTGAGCTGCAGGAGCACAGCAGGAAGAGAGGCAGCAATGCCTTCAGAGTGTACAGGATGCTGCCCAGCACACACACACACAGACGCAGGAGAGGTAAACAGCAAGTGGTAAACACACTCTGGTAGACTATCAGACAGACTCTATCTTACACCTCTGTCTACACCCCTTTCATAGGTCTGCCGTTGTTCAGCAGACAACCAGACAGAAAAGCATGTATGGGTGATGATATACACGGCACACACACTTGGCAGCCCATAACAGCCAAATCTGTCCCAGAGACGCCACAGAAGGTGGAGCCCCCCGCTGAGGACACTTTTGCCAGCACCCAAACACAGGGTGAGACTCTTGTTGTTGATGCACTTTTTTGTTGTAATGGCTGTTATATTTGAGGCATCCTGTTGAGGCTGAGGATGACATTACTGTTTTTTGCAGGGGTGTGGGAAACCAAAACAGAAGACCAGGAACAAAACGAGGCAGTATTCAAGGTGCCAAACTTTCACTTTTACAAATGAATACCTGATTCAGTACAACGGATTCTGGGTTCCTACCCCTGCACTGCTGATTTGGTCCTTCCAAGGAAATTCTCTGATCTGAAGAGAATGACTGATCCCCTGAAAAGGCTTCCCAATTTGTCTGAACTATCTTTAAATCAGTTGTGTTTTTTTCAAGTTGCAGTTTGGGTTTTGAGTCTATCTGACTTTTGCTCCTGTAGTTGATGGACCATTTAAGCAGCGCTGACCTCTGGAACCAGACAGGAGAGCAGAAGGGATGGAGAGCACACACACTATGGGACCACTGGTCAGGTACAACAACATGAATACTCTGCAATAAACGTTGACTGTGTATAAAGATCGACAACATGTCTCTGCCTTCATCAGTTGTCCAAAAGTGAAGCCAAAATACCCCCTGTGACAGGCGCTATGAGGCCAGACTTTATGCCGTATGGATCCATGCCATGATGTTGATATCCCACCCATTTCCACTAACCACCTCCAAGCTAGTCCACAGTATGATTTCAATGCTCCTTATATGACCAGTTTCCAGTCCCCCTACATTCTCTCCTTGTTTGTGCACAGTAAACCACGGCAGCTGAACATGAGAGCATTATGTTTAAGTTGAAGCTGATGAATGTTGTGCAACAGTTGGTCATGCTGCAATCATTGCGAAGAAGAAAGACGGGAGATGTTTGAAGAGACAGACTGTTCTACTGCTGAGGAAGAGGGCAGGGGATGATAGTCGGTGATAATAACTGACTTTTAATACAGAGACCATGTTTGAGCGGAAAAAAGGGGTTTTTAGATTTAGATTTTAAGTTGAGGTTTTGGCTTCACTTTTGAACAGGTGTCATGTTGTCTATCTGTTTGCATCTAGTGTGTGTGTGTTCAAGAATAGTTATATGAAACACATTGCATTAAAGCACGTTTATCGTACTGCTTTATCAACCACCTTAAACATGTTCATGTTAGTGAATACTGCAGTGCAGCAGTTTTAAATCAACAGAATAATAATAATAATCTACTAAATCAAAGGAATAGTTTATATTTTCTTTTTGCACGTGTGTTGATTCTTTGTTTTGTGCTCCTCAGATGCCGGAGACGATTACACATATTCTCTGCATGCTGACAACTACAGTGATCTGTTTGGTCCAAACTACCTTAAAGAACTCTCGGATTGGTCCACACATCAACAAACACTGATGCTGTAGCTGCTCACGAAAAGCTGACATTTCACTCAAGCTGTTTTTTTTTCTTCTTGCTAACTTCCAGCTGTTTTCAACCCTGCTGTCTGTCGCTCAGCTGGCTGCCGCAGAGGGGGGAACAGAAGACGAGGGAGCGGACAGAGATTATTGCTCTGTCAGTCAATCAGTTGGGCGGTCGTCCCTCTGCTGAGCGTGCTGAGATGAAGATCCTGTTCCAAGCCAAGCTTTACCTCCATCATCATCACTTGGGTTCACTATGGTTCAGAGACCAAAACTCACTGAAGTGACACAAAGCTCACACCACAGTTCACCGAGTAAACAGATCTTATTTCACTGCAGTGCTTTTTGTCTGTATGTAGCTGTTTTACTGTCACACCGCTCTCTCAGAAGAAGAAACTTTCAACAGTTTTGTACATTTTTGAGGCAACTACTGGCTCAATATTTTAGCTTGTTATAGTAAAACTCTTGGTTATATAAACGTTTGTATTCAGTGTGTTATCAATTTTGGAAAAATAATAAAATATGTGCCTTTTTTGTTTGTTGAACATTAAAGTTTTGTGCTTTTATCATTTAAAGGTTTTTAAAATTATACTGTCAGCTGTGGTGTTAAATGCTGCAGATGAGGGGAGAAGTAATATCAGCAAAAACAATCCTGAGTGCTTTCACACAAATAATCCCATTAACAGACTCTTTCTGTCACCATAAAAAGACAGAGATGTGTAGAAAGTGATTGGACTGAGTACAACTACTGGTAAGACAACGTACACCTCCAGGATTATGGTTAATAGGTAGACATTTGTGGTATATTGTAATATAAAAGTTTAAGTATAAAGCCATTGCTGACAAAAGGCTGTTGATAATTTAGCACACGTATTGAGAGATTAATCCACTGTAAGAAAATAACTTCTATGGCAGTCATAAATCAAATCTTCAAACATAAATCAATACTTTCTTCCTTCAGTTTTCAGCCCTGCAGATATTTGAACTTCTCACAGCAGGACAAACTTGTGTTAATGTTTACTTACAGTGACTGCTCCTTTCAAGTGTCATAATTCCACTCGTCTGTCAGCAAGCTCAAGCGGCACACCTTTAAGGAATGCAAAATCTAAATAAACCCGTAGTGTTCCTGCTGTGTACAACCAGATGGGTAATAAAAAACAGATAAGATGTGCACTTTTCATGTTGAATCCATATCAGACACAAACATTTCATCTATTAAAACAAAGTTGAGGTTCTTCTACTCCAAAGTTGCTTTTTTATGACACCCCATTAAGAGGGAAAATATACTTTTTACTTCATTACATTAGATACATCTGTGATTAAACAGTGCAAAGATTGAACTAGTGTTTTTCCATGAAGCCATCTACAAAATCTCCCTCTGAGACCTACAAAAGGTCTCAGAACAGCTGCAGTTTGGCTCCACAGAAGTGTGCCGAGTGATTAGAACATGCTGATCCTAAGACCAGCTACAGACGAAAAATGGAATTTCACACATTAACAACCTGCTAAAAATAATTAGATGTTCTCAAGGCCATGTAATCCTTTTAAATCAACTCATGCTGCAGATGCAACTATAACATTTCATTTCAAGATTTACCCAGGTGTTTTTTTTCCTGATCAAACTATGAAGGATTTTTGACTTTTTTTTTTTTTAAACAAAAATAATTAAACATAATCTTCAACATAACATCAACCACCTCCTCTCTGTCCCCCTTATAGTGCCCACGGCTCAGTCAGAAGTGAAAGATGAAACACACATCTGGTCAATCATCAACATTGAACATTTATTTCTTATTTATTATTCTGAAAAATGCAGAAAAAAAAGACGCATTTCCCTTGAAGTGGGAACTACATAACAGGCAGTTCCTGAGAAAGAAAAACAAAGACAACAAAACACTGCTCCAACACCGTCCCAGTCTTCTAATACAGAAAAGTGACCAAAGCTTTGTGTGATCCCAAATACATATAAAGCATGGATCCATTACTTTTTTATGTTTCATATTTACATTTTCATCGTAAAATAAATCTTATGACAGGAGAGGGAAACATTTTTTTTTAAAGTCACATTCAACCAGTCCACTAGCACAGCCTGCTGGTCACATGATATACGGCAATCCTTTTAACATCTGCACATACTACAGCATTCAACCCAGAGCTGGTGAAAAAAACAACACATACAATATGTGGATCTCTTTTCACACAGAAAATACTACAGAAACATTGAAAGAGGAGCAGATGAGCTCTGTCAACATGAAGCCTGATGAATCACAGGATTAAATCTGCTTGTGAACAATGGGAGAGAAGTTACCCAAATGGATTGAAACTACAAATGTGGCCGTGGGGTATTTTACATTGCCTGATACAAACATCAAAGATTTCATTCATGTATCATAAATACAAAGACATTCACACTCATTTAACACCAATTCTTGTCTTTATTATACATCCAATTTCTGTTTTTGGAAAAGTAAATCAAACCATGTACAATGAGAACAAATAATGACACTTTTATAGATCCAGGCCTGCTGGTTGGCTCTACACCTTTGGGAAAAGGTTCAAGATAGATCCCTGAAAAGGGGTTAATGTCTTTTGTACTTATCTGAATACATTCTGTTTATGATTTTCTTTTTCAATTTAGCTGCGTTCAAAATTTTGGACTGCATGTGACGATACTAAGAAATAAAAGTGTACTAGACTGTCAATTACAAGTGAGAGCAAGGGGGCCACAAACACAACAGACCGTCTGTGTAATCAGGCATTAAGAGCTGCACTTTAAAGTTAAGTTAGATTTCCTCGAAGAAAGTGGATAATAGGCTGGCAAACTGGGAAAAACAGTTAAGTTCACAGGATTTATACACTCTACTTAAAAAGCTTTCGACAAAATTCGAGGTCACATAGAGACATGCTTTTACAAGAAAACTACAAACACTGCTACAAAAGGTGGGTCACATAAATTTGAATGTCATTTAAGTGGCATTTTTAAAAACTTTTTTAAGACACGTCAAATGACTACAAACACCACTTTGGCCAAAATTGTGCGTGTGTCAGCCAAGTAACTGAAAATTGATTTTACGTCCAAGACACCAATGCTACAAAGATGTGACACAGCGTGTAACCCAGTGGTTCTCAAGTCCAGTCCTCGAGCACCACTGTCCTGCATGTTCCCTGCTCCAACACACCTGATTCAAATGATCAGCTCGTTATCAAATGGCTTAATAACGAGCTAATCATTTGAATCAGGTGTGTTGGAGCAGGGAAACATCTAAAACATGCAGGGCGGGGGGGCTCGAGGACTGGACTTGAGAACCACTGGTGTAACCTAAACTGTGCTGGAGAAAACGGGTCAGCAGTAAACCAAAAACTGACGGGCAAACTGAGGGTAAACTACAGGTTTGAGAATACTGCATCATAGCTGACCCCCATGTGCAGCAGTGTTTGCAGTGCTGATTTGGTTACTTCCACGTTCAGTGTCGAATGTTGGTTTACAAGTCTTGGAAAAAAAAAAAGCAAAAAGAAAGAAACCATGTAAAAACAAAACAGGGAGGTGGGGAGGGGGCTGCATGAACTAAGCTCAGAATTTACAGCATCAAGCTGCTGAGTGACGCTAGTTAAAAAAAAAAAAAACGAACATGACATCAGAAGGCAGATTAGAAAGTTCATAGTTTATTAAAATCTATATGGTTTGATCTAAACGAGTATAAAAAAAAACAGTTGAAATAAATCAATGTAGCATTCCTAAACAAGTGTGAGTGTACAATGCATGGTCCAGTGTACTCTACTCATTCAAGTTTATAACAAGACAGCAATCTTCAACCCTGAAAGCGACTCAGAGAATCATGAGTATTTCTCAGAATTAAACAATGAACACATCGAGCTTTGCCGCAACACCTCTACCTGTCCTTTGATAAACCTCTGAGAATAAAGAAGGAAACAGAATATCCAAAATCTCCAGCGTGGCCCAGCCACCATGAGGTCCGTTTTACAAATCAGGAAATAAATACAGGCATCCAAATGGGCTACAACAGCAAATCATTTTGAAACTTATTTTCCTCATGCATACACACAAGCATACGTGGCTGAGATTACTAGCTTTCTACACCCTCTTATCTACTCCTAACGGCTACTCTTTACAGTGCAACAGTATGGCAGCAAATGGACAAGCAGTGCTTTCATTAAAAAAAAGGAATGGAAAATAAAAATATAAACAACATTATGGAAAAGCAGTAGATTTTTTTTTTTTGGTCCTGTGCCCGTTACAGACACCACTGCTTTTGTAAAATGGTTCCTCACATCAACAACAGTAGTTTCCACAAGACTGTGATGGTGCTGTGAGGGGAGAAAGTGGAGCAGAAGTTAGAACCTCGAACTCTACTGATGGCAGGGCCTGATATAAGTCTTAAAGAGACAGTTCAGTATGTTTGAATTTGGTTGTATGAGTTACATGCCACTAGGAAGTAGATTATCTACAATAGATGCTGGTCAGCCTGATCCTTTTAATCAGGATCTGTGCTGCAGTTTTCTACAGACAGAGTCAAGCCTGCCATGTGATTTAGCTAGTTTTGAGAGATTCCCATCCAAACACTCATCTCAGTCTGAGTCTAAGCTCTCCTAAAAAAAAAAAAAAATTAAGTGCCTTTCTCCGTTGTCAGTAAGCCCCTTTATTTTTGCACTATTTGCACACACAACATATGCATGTGCTCTTCCACCTGCAGCGCTCTGATCGGCTGTACAGGTGTGCAGGCTTCAGAGAGAGCAAAGTAAACAACGAGGGATCTGATGATCAAGTTACCTGATGGCGCATGAGTGAAAACTGCAAGCTAACGCCCACAAACTGAGAAAACTACATGCTGTCATGAGTGGTCTTGGTAACCACAGTACCTTGGGATCTTCAGAATATACTAAAGGTTGACATGCAGCTGCAGGTGGACTCACTTGCTAACCAGAGCCGGTGTGTTTGACCATGACTTCAACTTACACTGGAATATCTCTTTAGGCACTCAGGAGTTAAATCAAGAAACCACAGAAGCCAAATGTTAGTCAGAGTTCTTGGCTCTTGTTGTTTTCCTTGCATGGCACCACCCATGCCCAACATGATACGATTACCTCATCCAAATACACTGTCAGCAGTTAAGGGAGAAGGCTGAGGTGACATTACGAACTCTACTGCTGTGTCTATCAATAGTCACAGTCTATCAGAACAGCATAGACCCTATAAGCTGATCACACAGCAGCTAGAAGAACATGTATGTGTAACATCCACAAATACTGCAAAAAGGTACGGGCTTTCTGATGGTAAAGCACTAATAAATCCTCAGTAGGCGTACATAATAATCAAGACATCAGCTGGGGAGGGAGTTACTCAAAATTAGCTGGATTACATGACAGAAATTGACCCTGCCTATAGAAAACTGTGGCCAACTTATACAAACTCACTTAAGAAATCCATTAGACAACACCATTTTACTATCGAGGATCAGTCTTCAAAGCTGAAGCTCTGGAGCTCAGGCGAGCAGGCTCCAGAGTGCTGACCCCAGTCTGTTTCCTATTCTAGTCTGTACATTCAAAACTAGTTTGCTAATCTTGAGCTGAATCTGTCCAGCAATTAAAGATTGACTAAAAAACTAAGAGACAGAATAGAACACAGACCAAGACAGGTAATAATGTCAGGAGTAAATCTGCTCTTTGAGGGAAATAAAACACAGTATCACCCCCCAAACCAAAAGTCCAGTCCAGGGTGAAAAGACACACTTTTCCACTATTCAAGATGGACTGTAATTTGACTGACAGGTGTAACTTGATGAGGAAAATGATTGTGTTCATCATCACAGCAAAGCTGGTCAAAGGGGAAATAATATTCTATTCTGTTCTGCAGTAAAGGATGAATTCCTCTAATGAAACATGACTCTAAAGCACAGAACACATGCTGATCTGGGTGGCATTTCACCAGTTTCCTTTCAAAACCACACCAGACAGGCTGGTTGATATATGTGAACATAGTCTGTTACAATTTATTATGCTCATCCTCTTGCACGAGAGGAGTTGAGTCAGCAACAATCAGTAGAAATGTCAACTAAAAGATTTGTTTTTCCATTTGATATAAAAATCTGTATTACTCAAAACGTCTCCAACCAGTCACATGAAACTATTTAATTTAAATAAAATGATAAAATGCCAAGAAAGTAAAGTGAAACAGGTCTAAGATGTGCTTCAATGCTTGTGGAAAAGCAAAACCTCTTGTTTTTCAAGAAGAAATGGTTAAAAAAGTAAAAGTATCACCTTGTTATAACTGCGAACCTTCAGACTCTCCATGCCCGTAGCCCCCTTTAGATTTCATCTTGGCCTGGACAAGGTCCACCTAGAAAAGTTAAGGTAGAGTTGACACACTCATATACTTGTTTACACTGGTAGATGCATATTCACTTTGGAAGAACATGACCCACTGATGCCAATCCGCCCATGTCTCCCGAGCCTACATGTGTTGTGTGAACAAAGTTTGTTGGCTCGCCAATCATTGAGCGATCAATCCGTCGCCGCCGTTTCTGTGAACAAATAGCAGAAACACAGACTTTTGTTTAGAAACCTGGTCTTACTTCCCAAAAATCTGTCAGTTAATACTCCTAATCACATTGACTGACGGTGAGAAAAGCAGAAGCCAAAAAAAAATCCCACTCTTTGCACTTTTGTTGATCCTCTGGACCCTGTGCTGTGCAGCTAAAATTAAGACAGGGGTCAACTTTCACAATTCTTATTATCTTATCTGTAGGCAGTCAGCCTGGCTGACTTGAAGTGAGCACAACAGCTGGTTGTTTGCTGCCACAAAGAACCTGACTGGATCTAAGTTGGTGTTCTGTCAGACAGAGGGATGTGGTTAGCCTGAGACTCTCCTGCTTTTTTACCTCTGTAATAAAAAGGGGATGTAATATTTATTTTGTCAGTGTTGGAAACAATCATGTTTTTGAAGAAACCTGTGAATATCAACAGCTTGGATAAATTGGAGGAAGCGTAAGACAGCGCACTCCTTCACACTGGGAAAACTACTCTGTTTATTAACCTCTACTCTCTCTACAACAGCTTTAGTTCCTGTTTTGACTTTAAACAAAGCAGCTAAGAGAAAAAAAAATCCAATCAATTTGTTTTCCAAATGGATGTCATACTCACAGGCTGTGGCTGCTCTGCAATGCAGCAGCTGAAACAAACCCAGAACTCAGTCATTCTGAGGTTTAAGAAGAAGCCACAGCAGTTTCCTCTCTTAGCTCAGACGCCTCTCTGTGTCCTTCTTCCTGTTCAGAGTCACCAGAGCCACAGACACACACACAGGAAACTGACGACAGATGCAGACTGCTGGTTTATCCTGGGTTAACAGTTGGCACATAAACTGCTCTCCCAACAGACGACAGCACGTCCTGTTAACATGTGGAAGACACAGAAAAAAGCAGCTTGACACAGGCTTTAGCTTACAATGACAATTTACAATATAATCTAGGTGATCTAATTCTATTCAAATAACATCTTGCAAGACATTGCGTAACACTACCAAACATATACTATTTAATAATACCCATGACCAACTCTTTTAAAAATAAAGATGGACATCGTGTAGTCGATTTAGTTGCTGGTTTTGAGCCAAGTGTGCTGCTGCCTTTGTTAAGTAGGTTTCTCCCCTGGCAACACCCACAGATAATGAGGTCACACCCAGAGGACACTGGTGTGCAAACACTCCCAATTAAAAATGTTACATACCTCCACATGTGACCATGGGGTCTAAACTATATATACACTTTGACTTCACGTATGGGACCCTCAGCTGTCACCTTCGACTATATGATTGTTGGAAAGGTCAATATGTCTCACCAAGTCATACTTAGTTATTTACTTATAGATTAATTTTTTTCAACATATCAGATATGGTAAAGGAAAGAGGTTTTAAAAAAAAAAGGTGGTAAAAATCTAACACATAACTGAGGAAGGTTTCAGACGAATCTATTTTAAACGTCATCATGTGTTTCATGGTAACGTAAGGTTTCACAGTCTATGTTAGGTGTTCATCATGCTGTTATTAGTGCTGCTGCCCTTTAATGGGTCGTCATTTTAATTAACATTTTCCCTGAGACTAAACTTATCAAGAGGAGTGTTTCACAGTCAAGAGACAACGAAGAAAAGTGACTGTCGAAAAGGTTAAAATGCTACGAATTGTTACTAGTCACCTGATTTGTTGCATGACTATATGACATTCACATACCAAATTGTGGGCAGAAAAACAAAAGCTTTTGTGAGAACAGGGTGACAACACTTCATGACAACACTTGTTATATAAAATGTGTCTGAAAGACGCGTGTTAGGAGGTGAGCTGACATGAGGGAACTTATTTATTTGTCCAGGCATTTGTTGAATTGTTTTTGGGGCTGCTATGACTGTTTAATGTTGTTGTCTTGGCCTTTTAATTTGTCTGTACATTTTTATTTTTGTCTATGTGAAGCACTTTGTGACTCTTTTGTCTGGGAATAGTGCTATACAAGTAAAGTTTACTTACTTACTTAGGGACAAAAATGTGAGCGAATGAATCCTGTCATTCAAAATAAGTGGCAGCACCTGAACAGACATTTTCAAGCTGGGTCATGTTTGGATATTAAATACATTTGCATTACTGGAGGGCATCGAGAGAAAGGGATCGGCATACTTTCCCAGACACTTGTGCAGTGAGACGGGAGGTGACAGGAGGATCAAATGATCAGACCTAATGTAACCAATTCGCTGACAGAAGAGGTTTCTGACATTGAAGAGTGACTGAATTCAAGCTGAATCATACTGTCAGGTGTCAGGAAACTGTCGCAGGTGTGTTAAGTGTCGATCTAAATGACTGAGGATTAGTTACACTGGCACTGATCTCGGATTACACGCAGGTAATCGGTATTTACAAACAAATTAAGGTTATGTAACTTCGCTGCGCTGCGGCAAAGACTCCTGTCTTCACACGAAAACTAAGAGCTAAATTCACAGCGGTGTGCACACTCACTGTTACTACTGACAACATCCCAATTTATTCCCAGTTTATTCAGATTCAATCACTCCTCTACAGCGGGGTCACTGCCTCAAGCGTTAGCATTATCAATACTAGCCTCCATGCTAAGCTAGCCTGCAGCTCACTGACAGCCCGCTAACGAGGCTAGCTCAACCCGTTTTCGTCAAAGCGGCTTCAACGAGCGACAAAAATAGCATAAAAAACGCACAGTTGTTGATACAACTCATTAAAGGCGCGACTGTTGACATATTTCGAAGCCTAGAAATATTTTGAGGGAATAAACTTACCTATTGACAGCCGGTTTGCCGGAGAAAAGGTGTACGATCGTCTGAAAGCTAAAGACGGTAGAAAAGAAAAACACCCGGAACTGGGCTCAATGAATACGTCACATGACTTCCGTTACTGGTGGTGACGCACTTCCGTGTTGACCCACGTTGTTTCTACAAGAGAGGCGAGAACTTGAATAAGAGCTCAAAATGAGGCCACTGACCGAAGAAGAGACGAAAACGATGTTTGAGAAACTTTCAAAGTAGTGAGTAAACGTATCTGTATTTACATATATACTCATTTGTATAGTTTTTTTAATCGTTAAGCTTTTTAACCTACTAAAACGTTAGCGTCCTCGTTAGCCATGTGTATGACCCACTCAATTTCCCCTCCTGCAGCATCGGTGAAAACATTAAACTTCTCGTGGACCGGCCCGACGGTACCTATTGTTTCAGACTACAGAATGACCGTGTGTACTACATGAGGTAAAACATGATCAGCACATATCGATAATGTGGGGTGTTACAGTGTTGTTACATCAATTTGACATTGTTTTTTCTTTCCTGTCAACAGTGAGAAAATATTGAAGCTGGCCACAAATATTTCCCGGGACAAGCTCGTGTCGGTGGGGACATGTTTTGGGAAATTCACAAAGACGAATAAATTCCGACTACACATCACAGCGCTGGATTTCCTGGCTCCCTATGCAAAGGTGATGATAGGGCTGAGTCTCAGTTTAATTATGTGGGTTTTTGGTTTTACTCATTTGCATATGTACGGTGGCTGAGAACCGCCACTGCTGCAAATTTTAAAAAAAGCAAATAAAGAGAAGCCACAACAGAAGTTACCAATGCAAAAAAAAATAAAGGAAAAAGAAAAAGTGATCTGGAGGATGCCGTGTAGAGTTAGCTTCAGTTCAACTTTCTATCGACTCAGGCGCTACATATCCTAACCACATGACACATTGAAAAGCACACAAAGCGAAATTAAACAATAACCTTTCCACTTACTTCTTTGCTGATCTTCTCGCCGTTGTCTTCTGTGCCTAGATCACCAAACACTGGTGTATCATCATTATTTGTCCCCAGCAGCTCACTTCCATTGTGGCTTTTTTTATTTGCATCCTTTTATTTTTGCAGCAAGTAACTTCTTTTTTTCCATCGCCACTTTTTTTTGTATCATTAACTTCCGTTGGGGCTTTATTTATCTGCACCTTTACATTTTTTTTGCAGCAGGCTTTGGTTTTCTTTTTTTTGCATCAATAACTTCTGTTGTGGTTTCTTTTTTTTTTGCATTCTTTTTTTATTTGCAGCAGTGGCGGTTCTTGGCTACCGTACATATCAGTCCATCACCTGCCAGTGAAGGTTTGACAAAAAAAGATAAAATCTGGAAAAGCGTTAAGATTTACAAGTATCACAAATTGAGTGAGGTAGAGTCATGATCAGAATCCCAGTAAAGTGTTCAGAAATTTGCGTTTTCAAACACAGGCGTTTGATTAGAGAGACCAATTAATGGCATCTGTCATAACAAGGCCGATATTATCATTATACACTCACCGGCCACTTTATTAGGTACACCATGCTAGTAACGGGTTGGACCCCCTTTTGCCTTCAGAACTGCCTCAATTCTATGTGGCATAGATTCAACAAGGTGCTGGAAGCATTCCTCAGAGAGCTTGGTCCATATTGACATGATGGCATCACACAGTTGCCGCAGATTTGTCGGCTGCACATCCATGATGCGAATCTCCCGTTCCACCACATCCCAAAGATGCTCTATTGGAATGAGAATGGTGACTGTGGAGGCCATTTGAGTACAGTGAACTCATTGTCATGTTCAAGAAACCAGTCTGAGATGATTCCAGCTTTATGACATGGCGCATTATCCTGCTGAAAGTAGCCATCAGAAGTTGGGTACATTGTGGTCATAAAGGGATGGACATGGTCAGCAACAATACTCAGGTAGGTTGTGGCGTTGCAACGATGCTCAATTGGTACCAAGGGGCCCAAAGAGTGCCAAGAAAATATTCCCCACACCATGACACCACCACCACCAGCCTGAACCGTTGATACAAGGCAGGATGGATCCATGCTTTCATGTTGTTGACGCCAAATTCTGACCCTACCATCCAAATGTCGCAGCAGAAATCGAGACTCATCAGACCAGGCAACGTTTTTCCAATCTTCTATTGTCCAATTTCGATGAGCTTGTGCAAATTGTAGCCTCAGTTTCCTGTTCTTAGCTGAAAGGAGTGGCATCCGGCGTGGTCCTTCTGCTGCTGTAGCCCATCTGCCTCAAAGTTCGACGTACTGTGCATTCAGAGATGCTCTTCTGCCTACCTTGGTTGTAACGGGTGGTTATTTGAGTCACTGTTGCCTTTCTATCAGCTCGAACCAGTCTGGCCATTCTCCTCTGACCTCTGGCATCAACAAGGCATTTCCGCCCACAGAACTGCCGCTCACTGGATATTTTTTCTTTTTCGGACCATTCTCTGTAAACCCTAGAGATGGTTGTGCGTGAAAATCCCAGTAGATCAGCAGTTTCTGAAATACTCAGACCAGCCCTTCTGGCACCAACAACCATGCCACGTTCAAAGTCACTCAAATCACCTTTGTTCCCCATACTGATGCTCGGTTTGAACTGCAGGAGATTGTCTTGACCATGTCTACATGCCTAAATGCACTAAGTTGCCGCCATGTGATTGGCTGATTAGAAATTAAGTGTTAACCAGCAGTTGGACAGGTGTACCTAATAAAGTGGCCGGTGAGTGTATTTGACAGCATATCAAATCTAAAACTTACTAGTGTTTGCTGTCACCTCTGTTTTGATATATAAAGTAATGCAGTTTAATATTATTAACATTCATTGTATACTTTTTCTCTCTTTATATGAATTCAATCCACTTAAGTTCAGTAATATTACTTTTTTTTTGTTAGCAGCATTCTTTTGAAAAATAAACTACAATGTGAAACCATTTTTCATATATCGGCTGTCAGCTGACCTGCTTCAGAATAGAATAAAACTTTATTGATCCCCCAAAGGGGAAGTTCCTATTGTCACAGCAGCAACAGATACAGCAGGACAAACAAAAGGTATCATCAAAATAAAAAGCTTTGACAACAAATAAAAAGTTGTGACAGAAAATAAGATAAAAACCTAAATGTTAAAGTGCTCCACCGTGCTAGGACCTGTGTGTTTGTGCTACATCTCATTCAGGCCTGTTAAACAGTCTGATGACTGTGGGACGAAAGGAGCGCCCAAACCTCTCCATTCTGCTCCTGGGGAGAGTCAGTCTTCGGCTGAAAGTACTCCCTGTCAGCCACAGCTCCTTGTGGGGGGGTGGGAGGGGTTTTCCAAGATGTTGTTGATCTTGTCCTTTATCCTCCTCTCCCTCACTGCCTCCAAACTGTTCAGTTTGTGGCCCACCACCCTGCTGGCCCTCCTCACCAGCCTGTTGATCTTGTTCTGCTCTCCCTCCTTGATGCCTCCACCCCCAGCACACCACAGCAAAAAACAATGTGCTTGCCACCATAGATTGGTAGAAGGTGGCCAACAGTTTACTGCACACACTAAAGGACCTGAGCCTCTGAAAGAAATACATACGGCTCTGCCCCTTCTTGTACACAGCATCTGTGTAGTCCTTCTAGTCCAGCCTGTTAATGTGGACACCCCAAGAACTCATTTCTCATTATTGGTATCGGCACTGGCCATAAAAATACTGATATTGGTCAACCACCACATATTATTGTAAATACCATGTGCTAATGACAATACCAGCCCTTACTTGTTGAAAATATTTTTGTGATTTGAAAGTCAAGGAAACCATGTTGAAACAACAGAAATTAAAAAAATATACTTTTCTTATGAAAGATGTAGGTTGACTTTACACCTGATACTCGTAATGTTTCAATCAAGTTGTTGCAGGAGCAACTAAACTCCAAAAAATTTGTGACAGTCATCTAAGACCAAGATCCAGGACTTATGAGGAGCTAAATTCTGATACAAATAAGACATTTCACTTCCTATACTCCTGAGTCGGTCTGCTGAGTTCCCAAACATACAGAGGATGTTGTTGAAAGAGGAAGTGATGCAGCACATCAGTAAACATGCCCCTGCCCCAACGTTTTAAAAACACGCTACTGCTATCAGGTTAAAGTTGAGCAAATATTTTACATGAAGTAATACATTTTTAAATTTATGATAGTCATTGCCCTGTTGTCAATTTATGACATGAGATCCACGTCAATGTGCTTTACTTCAATGTGTGACATCTTACTTTTTTGTGTCGTATGTACAGTTTAAAGTGTGGGTGAAGCCTGGAGCAGAGCAGTCTTTCCTGTATGGAAACCATGTATTAAAATCTGGGCTTGGGAGGATCACAGAAAACACTCAACAGTACCAGGGTGTTGTAGTCTACTCCATGGCCGATGTCCCCTTGGTAAGTTTTGCAGCTCTATGTATTTCTCACAGAGTTGAAGCCATCAAGTTCTTCAGTATCCATATGGGCCAGTGAAACAGAATGATGAAATGCAAATGGAGTAGTCTGCTTTGAAACCTTTTATTGCAGTTTTCACTTATATTTCCTGTAAACCATAGAACATTCTTAAGTGACTGAGCATTTCCCGAGCTTATGTCCTTGTTTTTACATCATGAAAATAATTTTTTTTTCTGCCTCTTCTCATCAGAAAGATTTTCCCCAACAGTCATGTCTTATATTTTTCAGGGTTTTGGAGTGGCAGCCAAGAACACCCAGGAGTGTCGGCGTGTCGACCCCATGTCCATTGTGGTGTTTCACCAGGCTGATGTGGGAGAGTTCATCAGGAATGAAGACACTTTAACATAAAGTTGCATCAACAATTTGACTGTGGATTTTCACGTGTCCCTGCCTGGTTCCAGTATGGTTACATTTGCAGAAATTTAATTCCCAAGTAGCTGGTTATGGTGTGGCTGGGTAAATCAATTCCAGCACCTGGTACACTGACACAGCAACTACAGATGTCACCATTCACCAATATTTTCAAGGGCTCTTGGACTTCCATGTGAATTTCTCCACTGACTGATGTTGAGATACAGATTATCCAAAGGATTCACCTATTCTTGAGACTCCTGATGCTCCCTTAACTCAATTTAGAACAAAACTGTTCAAAGGTTTTCTCTGTGCATATTCTTGTCTGTTTTATTTTAAATAAATCCATTTGTCTCAAGATTTTGTCGAGCTTTGACTGTAAATAGTGCTGCAGTAAAAATGCATGACACCGTTGCAGTCTTTATAACAACCAAGAGTCAAACCTGCAACCTAAACTTAAAATTTCCTTCACTTTGTGAACAGAAGACTTAAAAAAAAAAGTAAAACAGAAATTAGAAGTTTACCAAGTAGACTATGTAACCTTTCATTCAAACCAGCTTCATTTTTTTCATCGTTCTCCATCTGTCCTTAAGTTGGACATTTGTTCTGTCTTTAAAGGAGAAATAATCCTTAATCCGAGTCCAATTGCCTTCCCCAAATTTCTTAACCCCCTCTATCAACTGCAGTGTCTCAGCGTCCGTCCACATCTGAAAAACAACAAAGGAACACAAGGTTACTCCGCTCTCTGCTGCTGCGACACACCAGCCCAAAACATGATTTAGATTTCATCAGGCAGATTCACCAGTTTGAGTTCATGCTTCAGCTAAATCTACTGCTGTCTCGACATGCAGTTACTGTTATTTTCTTTTATATTCCTTCTTAAAAAACCGACAGAAGACATCTCCAATCATACCACTAAAGTTTTGTTATACTTACCCTCTTCTTGGGACCTGAGGTGCTCTCGTTTTGCGATCCTTTAGAAAAAACAAAGGTATTTAATTATACAAATAAGCTTTTCATGGGCAAATTTATGCAGACTGAATATCAGAAGAATATATTAAAAGACATATTACTGTTGCTCTTTTTGAAAGTGAAATATGTCTCCTCATCGCTCCAGGTCTCCCGACTCTCCTTTGCATTATGTAACAGTTCTTTCCTATGAATGAGAATTTGTTGTTAATGCTTGAGAAAAATTGTGAAAATATTAGCACCAAAGGGCAGCATCTCGACTACGACAACAATGTAGTAAATTTTTTTTATGAACCACAACAAATTCTTACAACATGGTGCAGAATTAAACAAATACAAGATCATGACGACATTGTAACTTCAAGAAACTGTCAAAAATAATCAGAATTACAAAAACTGACAATCTTCAAGCATCACGTTTCACTTAAGCCTCTGTCGTGACTGATACTCACCACTTTGAATGGGAAGGACCGCCATCCTCCTTTGTGGGGGTGGAGCTTGTTCGACGAATGCGACAAAAAGACAAGTGATTTGGCGAGTCTCTCAATGACAGGTCAATGAGGCGCACTTCACATGCATCCCCTTTGTCCCTGTTTATTGTATGTAGTACATCAAATGTTTAAGTTATTGACATGAAACCAAGACCCATCTCCCACATTAACTGATTGAATTTGAGTGTACTTGCAGTTAAGATACCTGGTCAGCCTTTTAGAAGGGGTTTCATGAGGTGATGATTCCTGTATATCACTTTCCAAGTCTGATGAAATCCTTCTTGAGTTGGATTTTCTGATGATGAGAATTCAGACTTATAGTCAGAAATATGTTATACAGTGTAGAGCAACGTTCTTTGTCTGCTCTACTTACAGATACAGTGGACTGAAGTAAAATTAAACATTTAAAACTGGCCTAGTTAGATACGAGTTTAAGTTAGAACAAGAACTGTATTTATAAACAAAAGAAAAACAATTTAAATCTGAATGTCACTGTCCAGAAAACACATCCTCTCATACTCTAAAGCAGTGAAATAAGCAGGATAGTTTTTGATAGCAATGAAATTTAAAAAAATGATTCTTCCAGTGTGAAAGACAGACAAACAACAGCGTTTAGAAGTAGATCATGACTACCTGGTTGACTTCTTATGGAGTTGGCGGGGAGTGGTGCACTCCTCCTCAACCTGCTCCTCCTCCTCCTCGATGTGCTCCTGCTCCTCTCCTGATGACTCTGAACTACTCAAGACTCTACGTGACAAAACATTACTGCTAGTACTAAATATTTAGAGTAACACACAACCATGCACAAGTCCGACAAAACCTCATTTCATGTTTTCACATCCTGCAGTATGACACATAAAAAGGTGCATGAAGTATTTCTGCCTGAGTCATGTGATTTAATAGATCTACTTTGACCTCAAAGCGTTTTTATAAACACTCTTTTACGCTGTTTTTTTTGTACTTGTGTAAAAATCTGCCAGCTTGTATTGTTCTCAGACAGGTCTGAGGACACTGTCAGACAACATTTTGATGCACCGATAAATAAACATTATCTTCACTTATTTTTATGCTGGACAAATAAAAGGTTTGTTTGATAGAGAGAGCACTTTTACAGAATAACTGATACCTAATACTAATATCATGTTCTGAAATGTGAAACACAGGATAATCAATCAGACAATTAACTTTATTTGGCTGACTAAACTTTGGAATAACCTAGTATGTGCACTTTTGGAAAAAAAAAAAAGAAAAGAAAAAGGGGATATTTCTTCATCTCATTTACCTTTTTCTGTTCTTTTTGTTTGATCCAGTTCGTGACTGTCCAGGCTCCTCAGGTCCTAATTCGTCCAACTGCTCCTGAGAGGCTGTCATGTTCCTCAGGGGTACCTGGCTGTCTGGCTCAACGACCAGCCGTGCCAGGTTATAAGGTGATCGTCTGTTCCTCGTCACTTCAGGCGTCTTTGAGAGGGAACTTGCCTGAGCTTGAGGAACAGTGTCTGTCTGAGGCGGCTGGTCTGCTGGTGAAGCCTCCATGGGGCTCCCTGAGTCTCTCTGAAACTGCTGACTCTGCTCTAAATCTTTGTTTGTGCTCCTCTTTGGAGAAAGGGAGGGTTGGGGGGAAACAGACTCTCTTCTTTTCCGTTCCTCTTTCTCCACTTCTTTCTCCACCTGAGCAAAGGTTCTCTCACCTGGAACTGACAAAGCCTTGAAGGCTGCCTTCAGCCTGGACATTTGGATGACTGGGTTTTTACTGGATGAAAACAGAGACAAAGAATAACAAACTGAACAGCTGGTAGTCGTCTTCCTGAAGAGTAAGAGATATTGCAAGTCGTAAAATTAAAAGGTTGCTATATAATTCTTCTAACAGCATATCAGCACAGCAGACTAAACAAATGACTCTGACCTCACTTGTTCAAACTTTATGCTAATATATATTTTACAACCAAATCCTGCGCTCCGATATGTGAACAAAATAATGAACACTGTTAGTCAGGTGCTAAACGTGTTTAAGAAAAATATGTAAACATGGGAAACATATATAAATGCATTTTTTCTCTCTACTGTAACTTGCTTAATGCTGTGAAGTGTTACACTCATGTGGTCTTATGAGCCGGGGCTCAATCTGATCCCATTATTACATTGGGTCTTTGTAAATAGAGTATGGACCAAGAACACGGTCTAGACCAGCTGTTTTTGTACAGCGTCCTGCGATGACACCTGTTGTGAATTTGGGCTATTGAAATAAAGATTGTGTAATTGATTGTTATGATAGTAGTTATTATACAATGAGGGGCAGCTGCGTCAGTTGTCTCAAAATCTAAATGTCGGGGGTTCGATCTCAGGTGCCCTTCATTTGCAGTGTAAGCAACAGTGTGTTAAGGCTGGGTGGCTTGTTTGTCTTGTGACCAAAAGTTTAACGTTTAAAAATATGAAAGTGGGTTTCTGAACCTCCTCTTGGTAATGTTTGTGAGCTTTAATTACTCGAAGCTGTGTGGGAGACCTTGGCCAATCTGAGGGCATTGTCTGCATCCTGTCAAAATTTAGGTCCTGATGAAACAGCATCGAACTCTACAATTTGGGATCCTATTGCAGCACAGGTAATAACTTACTGTACTGTAAACCTACTCTTCCACTGAGAAGCTGAACTTCTAAAAGACAAACTGTACTCATTACTGACTGTAATTGCAATAAAAAAACACCCCAAACATCACAGCATAACAAAAGGAGATATGTGAATACAACTGCGCCATTAACCCTGTTGGATTTTGAGCTTTTCTTCTCAGAGAACATCCTCATGTTTGTATCCAATGAGCTCAGTGTGTAAGAGGCGAGACAAAACAAGAACCTACCACTGTGAAAACTGGTGATGGGGGGACAGACTCGGTTCATCTTCCTCAATGGCACAGACTGCCTTACCATCATTATTATTTGCTTTCTTTTCATCAATGAGCTGTTTGGCAGCCTGTTACAAGGACCAACAAAAAAAGACATTTATCAGCGAACAAGTGTTGAAAATGAAGATTAGCTGAAAAAATGTTACTATGATATGAGAAGACACATAAAACTTATTCTTAATCATTTCTCACTACTAATAAAGCTCAGGGTTGGTTATCAAAGAAATTTGCTTCTATGAATTTCCGTCGAAAATGTACAAATTTAAATCAATACTTCTTGTTAATCTCCTGCCATAAAAGCTAAACAATACAAAGAAATCATATGCAATACCTTTTGGAGAAAAGAAGCTCTACATGGGCAGAGTTTCTTACAAAAGACCAGAATTTCCTCCTTAAACTTTTGGAAGTCGAGTTTCTCGATGACTTCATGTGTTTTTTTCTTCTGTTGGATGAGGCCCATGTATACGGCTTTCTACAGATGACACAAAGGAAGTTCAGGAAATTACACCAAAACATCAAACACACACACACACACACACACACACACACACACACACACACACACACACACACACACACACACACACACACACACACACTCTAACTATCAATTGATGAATAAAAAATGCATCAAAACTTTTTTGCAACTTTTTAGCATGTATTACAATGCATTGGTTCTGCATAATCATTTTAAATGAGGATTTAAATGTAATGAGGAAAACTCCAACTTTGAAGTATATCTCTGCAACAAGACTACAAACAATGTAGAGAAACTTTTCACTAAGCTAAGCATAAATCAGCAAATCAGACTGATGTCAGCAGGTAGGAGACCTTTTTGGAGTCCAACTGAAGTGCTTGCTAAATGAGTGGCAACTGCCTTCAGGCCTGTCGACATTTAGAAAGACTTGTTGGTCATTTTGCTTCACTGTCACAAGGACCAATAATGTAGCTCATATTTGCTCTGTATGAAGTAGAGAAACAACCAAACTAAAACTCCTGAAAATGCAAATGCTGCGACACTAACTGGGGGTCACTGGACATCAGTTAGTGATCCCAGAATTACTGCAGACCATATCAGCAGTGATTGGACATTTTACATCTACTATCCTCTTTTGGTTTTTGGCTTTTTAAAACCCAAGTTCAGCTCTAAAAATGTGCCATTCTCTTGAATTCCTCTCTCAGACCAAGAGCACCACAACTCCTCAATGGAAATGAACTGACAGTGTAATCAATGACAGTGTGGAAGCAGTAACAGTGAAAGGGTTTGACTGCTCATAAGACTTATTATGGAGGTTGTGAAAGGTTATGCTGTTGCAGCTACAGCGCTCACCTTTCCTATCATGGTCTTGGGAAAGTGTTTGTTCAGCACCTTTTTTGCTTTGTCAAACTCATCATTTTTGATGAGAATCCCCACCATCTAAGGACAACAAATAAAAAGAGACAGTCAATTCTGTTGTCAGGATTGTTACAATGAACAGAATCTAATAATAATAATAATAATAACACTTACCATCTCTTTGAGTGATGTGCTGACTTTTTGGAAATCCTGCTGTGAAACAACATTTTCCCTGCCCATAACTTCCAGAATGGATAACGCTGATTCCAGAGGAGTAACTGACTCATCAGATTCAAACGACATGTCTGCAGCCAAAGACAAACCAAAACTCGACAAAGTGTTTTGTCTAGAGTGGGAATCACTGCATTGGCCTAAAACACCAAAATCAAAATGAATCAAAATTTGGCATCCTGTTTGGAAATCCTGCGTAACTTAAGTTCCACTCATAAAAGAAGAGTGGGGGAGAAGAGAGGCTTCTTCAACAGTGTACACTTTGAAAGCCAGCACCCTTGGGTGGATGCATCAGTGGCCATTGCATGGGTAACTTACACAACTAAGAAGACGAACGCTGAATAATTTATTTACAAGTTTTGGAGCAGCACATGCTGCCAACCATACCATTCCTTTTTCATGACACCTTGTACAATACAGCACTAAGATGCCAAACTACATTTTTTTTTTGTGTGACCACAGTGTGGCTCCATCGAGGAGTCTTCTGGTTTTACTCAACATGTATTTGGAGAACAAGACGCTCTAATATAGTTGATCTACTACAGGGGTCATGGTGAATTATAGAGCTGCACTTTGAAACAGGGGTCAATAATGTGGAAAAATCAGATGCAATAAAGATGCAACTTCATAAGATTTCCAGTAATGTGCTACAATGTTGTTGCATTGTAACTGTATTAATATTAAACTCACCAAGTTTTTCCCCCTCATGTATCCGTGAGAGAAACTGCATAACTCTGATCTTTGTTGGCATGATATTGGTGATCTGCAGAGGACGGGCCAACACACCTGTAAAGAGACAACACAACATCCAGGCTTTACCTTCATATGGCAACTAACTAGAAACAGTCTAGTCACTGCAAACAGTCACTGCTTTTAAATCACGTCTTAAAACTCATTTTTATAGTAATTTTGTCTTCTCTAAAACTTTTTACTCTTCTTATTCATGTTTTATAAAAGTCCCCTTGCTCTCAGGTTTTTGTGGTTGTGTTCCTGTGTTGGCTGGGTATCACAGGCTCTTATAATGTCTTCGTTTTAATGACCGCTCAGCTCATGTGACATTCATCAAAGCTTTTATGTCTTACACCAATTTTTATTTTATTTCTTTATTGCCACTAATGCGACATTTCCCCCAAGTGTTCTCTTAATGTTGTCCTGTTGTTTTTATCTTCTTTGTTTCCTCAATGTTAAAGCACTTTGTAAGCTTTTGTTTTTAAAAGTGCTACATAAGTACGGTTATTATTATTATTATTATTATTATTATTATTATTATTATTATTATTATTATTATAAGCTGACTCCACCACCTGGCCTTTACTCACAAACAGTCAATAAGGACACATCTTATCAAAGTGAAAGAAGAACTACAGCATGTTGTTAACAGATGTTTCTGCTATTTGTTTTCCTGGCATGTCATAATCTTGTTTAAATATATGGTTAATAAGATCATAAGTTTGCGACATGTTTGGATGCGTCTTCACATGTCTTACACGCAGTGGCAAATGATGCTAAGGCTAACATCAGCTAAACTACTTGTTAGAAATGACTTAGTATTGTAAAGAGAAGCATGTCACACTCCTCAAAACTGACCGGTATGACTTTGTAGACAGTGGGCATGTATTTAGAGTAATATTCTGCTTTTCCTTAAGTTTGTCAGAAACAACAAACAAGTCTGAGGAAGCTCTGAGTTTGTTTGTTTGGTAACAGGAGAGAGATGATAGCTTCATTTCTTTCTTACTTTCGACCACACTTCTTACGCTGCAAAACTCTTCGTATTGGTCCTTTACGAAACGCTCCAGTACGCAGCAATAATAATAATCCAATAACCACCGATTGACGATAGATTCAACTTCATTTTGCTCGCCGTTTATAGTTTCGCTTGCCGCCATATTCACACAAGTAGACGGAAGCAGAAGGAGAGATTAAAAACGCGAAGGCGGGGGAAGGCTCGTAATCACGGGTTAAGATGTGCCCTGTTTAAAGACTTCAGGCAGCATTTAAGGTGTGTGTTGTCAGAAATTTAATCGGTTAATCGCAATCTATATGTACGTAGACACATGTACATTGATTTAAGAGAGAAATCAAAACTAAGCACGTTGGAGACCTTCGAATCCAAGGGACCAACGTCAAGCCGGTGGTTTAAAACTGGAGCTGCCTGACAAGACAAGATTTAAGAATACATACTAACATTGACGCCTTTGGAAGTGCACCAACAGAAAAAAACTATACTGCCGCCCAGTGGACATATTGCTGCCGTGGCAAGTTATGATCAGCATATCTAATTTCTACGCCTTCAAGCTTGTTTTTTAAACATGTATTTATTTTTTCCACTTTTATCTTTTAATGTTTCATCAATATTGATGCTTCCACCTGTCTATACGGCTTTTATCTCACTCTGTTGTTTCTTATAAATCTCTTTTTATTGTGCCTTTCCTTTTATTATCATTATCTTGGTTCCTAGGTTCTTTTAGTGATTCTAATGGTTTCCTATGATGATGATCTTTTTTTTTCTTTCGGTTTTTCATGTGTTGGGTTCTTTTGATTATTGGATTTAAATGACTGGGTTCTTTCTGAGTTTGCATTCTCAATGTTTGAGGTTGAATTGTTTTTAGTATATTTCTGTTGTCAGGTTTTCATGCTTTGTTCCTGTATATGCTTTTGCCCATCAGTCAATTCATTTTGTAAACCCTTGATTTTACAAGTGCTGTTTAGATTAGTGATTGTTATTACTTTTAATATTATCATTTTTACTACATATATTTGACATTTCTCTTAGCTCTGGACTAATTGATGTCTTTGTATAAACTGTTATTTCTATGACATGTCCCATTTAGCACTGGGTGACTACACTTTTATTTCTATGTGTTTTTTTTGAGAGGCATTCAGCACTTGTCAGCTGACATTTGAACACATTAAGAGGCTATTCTGCGGATGCTGCACTTTATTTATTTATTTATTTTGTGAATCTGCCAAAGGGGGAGCTCACCAAAAACTTAACTGCCATTGAGTTTTAACTTTAATCACCTTAAATTAATTTAACATAGTCCATGATTAGTTACTTCATTATCCTGAAGTCATTGAAGTCATTTTCTCCCATCAAATTGCTAACCAGATCTCTCCGTATGTCTCTGAGCCCCAGTCTTCTAGGTTGCTCTGGGCTGATGGCTGCTGCAGATCTGCCTGACTCCAGCCGCATTGTTTATGATTGTCCACCTCAGGCCCTAAGCTCCTTCTTCTCCTGGATTCCTCTGGACTGTTACTGCAGACATGAACATCAGCCTCAATGACATTAATAACATAAAACTAGAGATGTCTACTATTAGGCCTGCTGACTGTAATCACATTAAATTAATTTAACATTGTCCATAATTACTCATATCCTAACCCTGTAAACTGAACTCATTTTGTTTCACCATTACATGAGCTGTTGTTGTTGTTGCTGTTGTTACTGCTGTCCCCTGTCTCTCCCTCCCCCTTCCTCACCTTACTCATTCTCTCTCCCCCATGCAGTGGTATGAGTCGGGTCCTGCTCAAGGTTTCTGCCTGTTAAAAGGAAGTTTTTTCTTGCCACTGCTACTCACGTTAGATGAGATGTGCCAAAACCCATCTTAGGTTTGTTCTTGATCATCAAACAATGAACGTGGTCTAGACCTGCTCTTGTTCTTTGAAAAGTGTCTTGGGACGACGGCTGTTGTGAATTGGCACTATATAAATAAAATTTGATTGATTGATTGATTGATTGATGACCTCACATCCAGGACAGGTTATTTTATTTTTCTCCATAATCTGTTCTAGTGATTAAAGCACCGATCGACAAACAGAAAACGAATAATGACAGAACATCGAGCATGAGATCGTTTTGATTTGATCAAGTTTATTATGTAAAAGAATGACATTAAAGATATCAGACATTATAAGATTATGACACAATAAAAAAACATTCCATTTATATACTGTTAATAGTAACTTTTATACTTTGTTATAAATCTGATGGCCTTTCTCCTTGAAGAAACATTCTCTGTGGAGAACAGAAAACAAAAGCTGTGTTTATTCAGGAGATGTTGAGGGTAAGTCTGTGATCATACCACCACAGTGCTCAGGATCATGATACACGCCACAAAATGGTCTCTTCCCTACTAGCACATTATCTACCTCTATCTCCATTAATATATGTCAAGAAGGAGAAAAGCTTTAGAGAGCAAACTCTCTCACTGTATTACAATCTTGCACATTCTCAAGTAATCCTCTCACTGTGATTGTATTAACTTGAGTCACGCAGCAGTAAGTGATGGAAATACAAGAATGGGAATAACTTTTTGATATTTGATTCTATTGCTGAGCCTAAAAGTCAACCGACACCCTGCAAAAAAAAAAAAAAAAAATCCCAATGTAAGACTTTATAAGTCCAGCATCTGAGTTGGGTCATAAATCATGAATATCCTGTTCTGCAATACTCGTATACATCAAGAAAGCCCAAATTATTGCACAAACTACACCAGTGAGCTTTGAATATTGATATTCATTCAACACAGCAACAGAGCGACACCTGTCGATCCAACACTAGCCAAAACCAGCACGGTCACCTACTTCCTACATATACATCTAAAGGTTTAGTGTTTCAGTGTTGTTACTGTTATCTCAAGTCCTGCTTTACATTTATGTCTGTTTTTAATCACATTCTGTGTGATTTACTTCCTAAAAACCTCTCTCTTGTTCCAGATATATGTGTGTGTGGGACTGCCAAACGGAAAAGCGTCTATTTTCCTGCACATCTACAAATAAAAAGACAGCTTGTACATAGATTTTACAGATATGCAGTGTACACACGTTGTCAGTATTTACTCCTTTTGAAGCCGCACCATAAGTTAAAATACATGTCAACATGAAATTAAAAAAACACCAAATTCAGGGGGAGAAATGACACTTGAATAAAAAAGTGCCAAACACCAAACAATAAGACAGCACTCAGAAAGCTGTTAGTTCTGCAAAGTGAAATGAGACATGTGAGGCCAGCGTTAAAAAAAATGAATCCCCTGATATTATTTGGCTTTCAGTACTGTGTCACAAAGATGTGTTACATTTCCATGACAGCATAACATTGAAGCTTTAGACATGATCTCTGAGTGTAAACAGTGGAGTTTGAGTTCCTTCTCCTGATCACCACAGGTAAGAACAAACAGCAGTATAGCATCTAAAATGTAATAAACGAGACATGATTTGACAACACGTTGCCCTCAGCCAGACTTGAATTTCAATTCTGTACTTCAGATTCAAAAAGCCATCCAAACCACTGCAAACAGGCGTGCTGATTACATCGAAACAGGAGAAAAGATGTCGCATAATAAGAGGACACTTTCATAAATATGGCAATAACGACAAAGGCTGATTAATTCACTTGACTGACTGAATTTGAAGGCATGGAGAAGTGTTCTAGCAACACTGGAAAAGATGTTACAGGCCTGACGTTTCTGGAGTGAAGTAGGAAAGGCTTCTCAACTGTCTGCTGAGCCTCTCCACACTGTGTTCACTTTTAAAGCTTGAAAAATGAGACTGGTACTTAGGCCCCTTTCAGAAAATCAGCTCTTTTGTAAGTCTGCAGCAAGGCTGCATAATGGGGCCTGGCCCCTGAGATCAGAGTAAGCTCACAATGAGCCTAAGGAGGTTGAGCTAATGTTTTTAGTTCTGCTTTTCAAACCGGTGCACCGTGTTTTGGCTGAGTAGTACCATACTATGAGGTTTTATCAGCCTGTTCTAAAATATGGATTCTTGCTACACACAGAGGTGACCGACAGTTTCCCACTCAAGGAAAATGGTGTGAGTAACATTTAACTGAGTGACATTCAGTCTTTTCAGCAGGCAAAGTTTTCCAACCTGAATTGATTTAAAACTACAGGGAGGCATAACTGTGGTCAGAAAATCATAGATCCTTTGCAGAAAATAATACCCTGGAAAGCACAAAGGAGTGGAGCAACGGTACATTTACAGACATCGGCTTAACAGGTAATACAAAACTGTCATTGCTTTCCCAAACAGTGATACTCATCTCCAGTGAGTCATTATGGTCAGCTGTTGAGGAGTGGTCAGGAGTGGGGATGAAAGATAAAGAGGCTCCAGCAATTATAAAAAGAAGAAGAATGTATTAATTTCCACTGGCCCGAATAGTCTAAAGAATCAACAATTTTAGCTTGAGGGGGACAAACGAGACAAAAAAGATGAGCAGATATGAAAAAGCACTCAGTCCGTTAGAATGAAGAGGAGGCTTGTGTTCACAGTCGGCTGTTCATTCAAACACAGTGAAAGTCTAATTTTTCGGGCTGAGATACTGACCGATTGAGCTGTTATACATGCAAATCAAGGCAGCATAGTTCCACTTCTGATGTCCTCTCTGCTCCATGTCCAGTTTTCCTTCAATGCCACATAAGACATCGCATGTCCTTGGTTGTATATCCTCTGTCAGTTTCCAGAATTTGCCTGTATGCCTCTACTGTCTGGGTCTGGTGATGATCAAAGATATGTTGCTGATCCTGCATCGAGAATTCACAGACTCATCTTGAAATCCATGTGCGCAGCAAAGAAAACACACCGCTGCAGCTGTTTACTGGAGGTGCGTGATTTGGGCTCAAACAGCACCTTGGACAATGTCACAAGGAATAAAAGGCTCACTGGAGTTACAAACTGCATGCTTTATCTAAAAACACACACATAAAACAAAAAGTTGCTCAAGTTAAAAACTATGTTCCAGTTGTACTCGTGCAGACCAAAGGTGTTGGATCTTCGTCAGCAAGTGCGAGTGATGAAACACTTTCCGCTGTGGTCGTGATGCACTGTGGTTCCACAGGAGCACCCTGTCTTTGTGTCACCCACATATTGTAATATTAGCCTCAGGGAGCAGAGGCTTATCTCGGCTCCCTGAAAGAAACAAGGAATCTCGCTTTAGAGGTGATCTAGTGTTTCTCAGCTTCTTTGGTCTGACCTTCTCTCAGACAGAAAACTCAGACCCGCTGCGGCGACCTTGGGTCAACAGTAACAAACGCCGCAGACGCAGGCCTGTGAATGGATTACACCACAGGAGGGAGGGCGGACCCCCGAACACAGACTTCATCCCGTCCCATCTCATGCGACGCTCCCACGTGGGCTTTTCATTTTTAAGACGCTCAATCTCCTGCAAGACATTCAAAGCGGTCCGTAAATCAAAACAGTTACACAATGATACGCAATTACATGAACAAAGGATGAAGCAGAGGGACAAATCCAGAGATGAATTCGATTACACATTAAACCTGAGGAGCCAGAAGCATTTATCAGTGCCTCCCTTGGTATCTTTTTCAATGATGGCTTCTTCATAGTGACTCTCCCTGCCACACTCAAGCTAAAAACATACAGGATCCGTATTGAGCACGTTCTGTATTTGCGCCGTAGAGCAGCATTGGGTATCGCATACAGGGTGCGTATTTTGAGCCCCGGTCAGCAGGGCTCAGTATAAAGGAAACAACATGTTCACAGCAGGTTGTTTTGCCTTTCTGTGGTCTCTTTCCTGCTTATCTGGATATAATTTAGTGACTGTTGAGCCTCTACTATATGTGAAAAAGCAACGTGATTTTACAGTTTCAGTTTTTGCAGGTTTACTCGTGTTTAATAAATTAAACTATGTTCCTTTATGCTGTGCTGTTACCTTTAGACAGAGTTAGCAGTTAAAAGTCTTGTTGGGGTCCACATGGATCAGGGACTTACCATCGGATTGTTCTGTGTTACTGATAAATCCACAACCACGAAGTATTTCTCATCCACGCAAACTGATACACAGTTCACATACTGTATTATTTTGAAAATGCATACAATAAATATATGCATTGGAAGCGTAAAGCAGCAAAAATAGACTCACTGCGTATCTATAGCAGTGCTGCTCTCGATACGATGCTGGGACAGAGCTAATAAACGTCCTGTATGCTCTGCTGCATTGATTCGAATGGCAACCTATTTGCTGCGTGATGCTTCAAATACACATCCTGTATGTTTTAGCCGTCACACAGCTTGCTGAGGGAAACAAACCTTGCAGGGTTCAGTGGATACTCACCGTCTCATCGTTACAGATGGAGTGGATCTGTGTGCCAAACATTACAGCTGTAAAAGTGAGGAAGAGGATGGCTTCAAGACAGAGGAAGATCAACAGTAGCACGGACACCCCTGGAGAAAAGTCGCTGCACTCTGCACAGGAGGAGAGAGAGTTTTTATTTAAAAAAATCAAATTTAATAAAAGACCAGCTGAACTAACAATGTCTTGAAAGTGAGCAGACCCCAAAGTCCTTCAAGTTTGAGTCTTAAACTATTCACATAAACACCTGTCAAAACCTGGCTGAGAAAGACTGCACATGACTAATGCAGCTGCAGTTGCCCTCATTTGTCCAAATGACACTGTTATTTTAACCATACTCGAACCTAATGTAAGACCGGGTAAACTCATTCTCCATCTAACTGTTCTTATAAACTGTCATTCATAAACAAAAAGGTTTTATATCTTAAGATCAGCTGTTATTTAAACAGAGACACAAGTTTCCCCCCATCACAGGAGCCTGGAATACTTGTAGCACAAACAAACAGATTCCCTGATGAGTCAGACATGGTTTTAAGACTTCAAGAAACAAACTCTGAGACTAATGAATTATTGTTATTTTCTGGTTCGCCTTAACAAAAAGACACTCAGGCGAGCAGGAGGAGATCAATGATAGAGTTGTGATGACTGAACTGGAGTTCTTATGAAAGGAAAACGGTCTCTTTTCTTTCTTCTACTCTGATCACCCGTCTCTTCTCATCTCACCAAGCATTTTCCCTCTCTCTGAGCATAGCTGTGCCTCTGATTCAGAAACTACATCTCTCTGACACGCTGTGCTTGTCTTTTTGAGTCAAACATCGTCAGTGTTGCAATACAAAGAAGCCTTACCGTTCCACTGGACTTTAATACAGCTGAAGAAGTGCATACCGCTGAGGGCCAGGGCATGGGCTGAAATCAAGGCTATGTACATCTGCAGGAAGAAGATAACCATAATACAAAAATTTTAAAATTTTGTCACACCTTTTACAGGACCAAGGTTGTTTAGAAAGATCAGAGGATGAGGGAAGAAAGACGATGTATACAGACAAAAAAAGCCAATACACTCTCTCCTTACAAGGTCAGTTTTCAATTCCTTATTAATGCAATAAAAAGACTCTTTTCTACATGTTTAAAATGCCATTATTTCTTATTTCAAACAGTGTCTAAATCAGTATTGATCATTTATAGAGGTTCCTATGAGGGTATTTCTTCAGGAGTCGAATGAATGCAATGAAACCCACTCCATCATCTTGACTTTTAGATTTATTGTTCAAATAAATGCTGTACCGCCAAACCAGGGACCGTGACTTAGAGGTAGAAGACAGCTTGTAAATGCTTACTCTGTGGAACACAGTATCTGTTTATTCTTTAAGGTTATCACTGTTACAGAAACCTGCAAGAGTGCAGGTACTAAATGTCCAATCAGCGTTAATATGATGCGCCTTTAATTGGAGATCATTTTGACTTCTCACTGACGATCAGTAACATGACAGCATTTGCCCTTTTCAAGAGTTCCAGTTTGGTTGTATTTTTGTTTTTCATACTGGTCCTGTATGTGGTCCCTGCTATGATAAGGCATACCACGACATGCCGACTTGTGGACATCCCTCAGCCCTGAGTCTTCCACAACGCTGACTGGTCTGGAGTCAGTTGGTTCCCTTTAACAGATTGTGCTTAACTTTTTAAAATTTAGTTTCATCTACAGGTTGTCAGCTGACATCAGTAGCTGCTTATAGGTGGTAGCTAAGACTCAAAGACTTTCATACAAAATACATATTTCTTTGGCTTTTCAACTATCTGGGGCTTTTCTTTTTTAGGTGCCATTTAAAGAGTCGTGGTGTCCTTATTTTCCATCACAGTACAGTTGAAGTGTAAGCTGACTATGATATGACGAAAGAGACACAAACACCATTAAAAGAAAAATGTTGATCCTGACTGTACCGTGACAAACACATTAAAGCTGATAGTCTTAACTGTACAGTACTAAAAATTAACTGTGTTTAACTCTTCACCTTTCTATCAATGTGTAGGCAACCTTATACCTCATGGTCCTGTGACAGCCTTATGTTTCTACCCTAAATACAAGTTCAAGTCAGCAAAGACGCCATAAAAAAGTGCTGAGGTGGTCCTGTTAGTGATAAACAGCTACATGAGAGCAGAGGGTAGGTTTATGGCTGAGATGTGTGACATGATTTCTGAGCCGTAAACAACACTGGTTTAATACTAGCTGAACAAATTTTCAAACACAGCCGTAAAATTTTCAGGCTTTCCCCTCTTTAAACATCTTGTTTAATTATTCATCAGCGTTTGCATGAAGTGTAAGTAAATATTGACTCTTATCCACCCCACCTGCGGTAAAATGAAACAAACTACACTCTGAGTGCCTGTGTGTACTTACAGTGAATAGTACAAAGAACCTCTGATTCTTCTCTCCCACACAGTTATTGACCCAGGGACAGTGGTGATCCATCTTTCGAATACATCTTTTACAAATACTGCAGACAGGAGAGGGAAGATGTTAAAACACAGTACACAAAACTACACCAGCAACAAATAAGTAAGCTAAGAAGACAGCTTAGATGTTACATATGGAGTAATGAAGTGCATCACAACTTGATTTTGCATTAAATTAGCCCGGTCACTGACTGACCTGCAGTGGTGTGCCCTCTCTGGCTTGATGCTGCAGCACTTCGGACACTTGTAGATGACCTCACCAGGCTTCAGCTGTAAGCTCTCCATGTACTCCTTTGTGGCGTTGCCCTTGGGAACTGCACCCTGCAGAGGATGGTGGAATAAAGATGTCACTTTCAAATGTTGTGATAAATTAAGTCATTATAGCTCAGGAAATTAAAGCTGTCTCACATTAAATCTGATTTTTATTTCTCTTTACACTGTGTAAAGGGATCAAAACATATTAAAGTTATACAAGCTGTTAGGAAATTCATTCTCAGTTTGTTTGTTCATGTTTGATTTCATATGAATCTGCAGTAAACAAGCATCTGTCTTACCCCCGATCCAAAAATAACATGTTTAGCATGCCTCATTTTCACTTGTGGAAACTCTAAGGTCTGTTAGTTCACAAAACAGCCATTATCTGATTTACAGTCAGTTGTAAATACCACTTATAAGAAATCCTCCAAAAATGTAAGAGCTCAACAGTTCAGAAGGAAGCCTATTTTGGACACAGTACAGCAGCCCAGCCATCACTGCACTATTTTAGGCCTTGAAATGGAGCAGATGTGAAGGCTGGGATGTTGTGGGCTAGATAACACAAGTGGAGCTGTCATCAGTCATCAGGTTTCTTAGAGTAAGAATGAGTCAACATTGCAGCACCACTGATAGTATTTGACCTACATCTTCTGAAGCATGAATTGACTTAGATCACTGAGAGGAATCCTAGTATCCGTAACAAGCCCCAGACTTGATGACAGGAATAAAAACAACAACAATAATAACAGCACATGTGGTATGTAGATACCTCAAATTTTAAACCCTTCAAAAGACAAAGTGTCACAAACATTTTACATCAGTGGTTCTCAAGTCCAGTCCTTGAGGCCCACTGTCCTGCATGTTTTAGATGTTTCCCTGCTCCAACACACCTGATTCAAATAATCAGCTCGTTATTAAGCCATTATAGAGCTTGATAACGAGCTGATCATTTGAATCAGGTGTGTTGGAGCAGGGAAACATCCAAAACATGCAGGACAGTGGGCCTCGTTTTAAACTTTGTCTCCAACTCTTTACACTTCTCTTCATCTATAACCTCAACCTCTCTTGAATCTCCTTCACATCCTTACCGGGTCAGTCAGCATGGTGCGCAGATGTGAGGCCAAAGCCAGCACAGCTAGGGAGTTGAAGGCGGCCCCGTTCAGCAGAGAGTACCAGAAGTTCTTGCTGGGCAGCAGCATGACAAAGTTCACCACAAACTCAGCGTAGAGTACCAGGAACCAGGTGATGGTGGCACACACCATGCCACAACTGTCCTGAATGAACCATAATGTGCGGTTTCCCACTGCGTGGCCGGTGTGGGGACCCCCCACCATCACCCCAGCTGCCAGGCTGCCTGACTCCACATCTGAACCTGCCGACAGCAGCGGGTGGTGCTGCTCCATGTCTCGCAGTCGGTGGTTTGAAGACTGCATTCTACCCTGAAGAGAGAGGGGGAATATTCAAAGCAAGGTCAACTCAGGGGGATTAATCTTCCACCATTAAATAATAATATAAACAACATTTCTCTTCAGTATCCTTGGTGTTACAAGTTTGTTATTATGTTGGTTAGGTTTGAAAATATGGAAGAAAAGAGGCATTGAAAGATCATTTAAATATATGAAACATGACAAAGAGAAGGAATTGAGAGTGAGATGAAACTACAATGACAGATTGGCCAACACAGGATGTAGAAAACTGGACATGAAAATGGTTACTAACAGAACTTTTGTTTAATTGCAGTGTTCTGGGATTTTTAAGATGACTAAACTCTTTACATTAAGAATGAAAGCAGAATCATGAAAAATCTGACCATTTCCAGTGAACTTACTGACAGTCATAGGATTATTGAGAATAAGTGTAACTAAGAAGAACAGGTCATCAACCACCAAATGACCAGGAAGAACCACAAGACACCCTCTTCATTTTATTATGCAGCCTGTATTATTATTAGCCTGTGACTGTTCAAACATTAGACAGAAATCAATGTGCTATTCAGATACCACCAACCATGTGAGACAATGAAAAAGTCTGAACAAAGGTGAGTCAACCTCAACCTCAACTCTTCTGGGCTCTTTGCACCATGCAGCTTTTATGACAAGGGACATGAGTCATTGGAGTTTCTTTCTCTCTGTTTTATGTCAGGGTCAAAGAGAACAGCCAGGAGCGGCCCCAGAGACGATGTCTGCAGCTTTAAGATAAATCAATGAATGCTCTGAACCCTTTAGGTAACTGATCCTGCTGCTGAGAGCATGTGAGGCTCACAGGCTAATAATAATCGGTACACCCGGTAACCCTCAGCTGGCACACCTCATCGGGACACAATTGGACAAACTCAATAAGATAATTCATAACGATCAATAAGTTTGTTCCAGTGTAAAATGTGAAGATGGATGAAACAGCCTAGGATTTTTGGCTGCTCCAGACGTAGCAGATACTGGTTTATAAGATGTTCTGTGAAGGTTGTCGACTCAGTAGATTGTTTATTTCTATCAGACAACGGAAGTCTGTCATCGTCTCTAACAGGAAAGGAATTATACACTTACAATGCAGATGTTTTGAGTTCACAATTGTGACTGTCTCTCACATCACAGTCATTAACAACAGACCACCACACATATATACACAGGCTCTCCATTTCTAAAGAAAAAAGTCAGTGATTCAGCTCAAAGTAAGACCTCAGAACGGATTCAGCTTAACATGGTTTTACAGTTTGCCAGTCAGTGGTTGCTCGATATTTAAAATGAACTGTGTTGTTGCATTTGTTGATAGGTTGCTCTGGTACACTGTCATTTAATGTTTTGAAGGAAACCACCACTTCCTTTCGCTCGGCACTTGAATAAGACATTTGCAGAGAGACAGCGGGTGGAGAGCTCAGCATTCAGTCTTCAGCTGACTGGCCAACCAGGCGAATTTCCAAACACCACGCTGTTGTTTGTTTCTGCTTGCATCCAAAGACTTTCCATGTCAGTGGGTGTCATTTAAAATGCTTGCAAAATGGAAATGCGAAAAGGGGAGGAAAGGTTTTTGTCTTGCAGTATTTTAAACTCAAAATCAGCAAAGATGTTTTCTGGATGGGAGCAAATACACTCCAGTCAGGGGGGGTCCAGTACAGACCACACAGTGAATTTATATGAACTGCCTGTGAGAACAGACAGGCTTTAACAAAACAAATGCTAATATAGTCGATCTTATGTGTCTCCTAGTCCTGCCTTTAAAGTGTTTTATGCATTGAAGTAGTTTGAAGCAAACAAGCAGCTGAGACACAGTCACTGAGACACCATTTTCAGCCGTAACTTTTTTCAGACTTTGACCGATTGTCATGAGTGAAGAGGATTTATGTCACTGTGCTCATTTAATGTCAAATACTTGAAGTTATATTTGATGTGTGATTAGTTCTAGATTAAAGCAGTCTGACTTACTGATGGATTTTTTTGAAGCAATGCAAGCAATGACATGATATTCACGAGCTTTTTCAACTTCATGAGTGATACAAATGCACAAATTTGACCTGTTTCTGCTTGTTGGACATAAATTAAATCGACACACACAGGTATACAAAGTTTGAAAAGCTCCAGAGCAGGTTTGTTTGGCGACACAAGTTCCCATCATTACTGAGCAGGGATTCATGTAAGCCTCGGTGATAGAAAAAAATTCCCACTTTAAACCAGTGGTTCTGAAGTCCAGTCCTCGAGGCACACTGTCCTACATGTTTTGGATGTTTCCCTGCTCCAACACACCTGATTCAAATGATCAGCTCGTTATTAAACCATTACAGAGCTTGATAACGAGCTGATCATTTGAATCAGGTGTGTTGGAGCAGGGAAAGATCCAAAACATGTAGGACAGTGGGCCTCGAGGACTGGACTTGAGAACCACTGCTTTAAACAGACAGATTTCTCAAAATAAGCCAGCCTTATTCTTAAACTGGCTTTATGGAATAACTCCAACAGATGACAATCTCCTCCAAGGGCTGATGGAAAGCTGTCTAGATTATTTGAAATTATGGGAATACTAGGAATGGTATAAAATGGAAACAGAATCTTCGGCTCTTCTGACACAGCACATTAACAAGAACAAAAAGTTGGATAAAGTTTCACATTTATCAAACTAATAACCTTTCAGAGATTGACCGCTTGTTCTACTTTCCTGTCTCACTTATTCTAATTCAGTTATTACTGTGCAAAGCTCCACCCACTTCCACCTGATTAGCGGCCTAATTAGATCATTACAAACACTTGTGTGAGTGAACAGAGGCCTATGCGCTGCTCGCTGGTCAGCAGTACTGTAGAATATGTCAGTTCTATCCTAAAACATCTGTCATTCACATGAAACATACGTTTGGACTTCACATTTTCACATCATTCTCTGTTATGTATATTTGAAATAAGCTGAAGGAGGTCACAAGCTGATTGGTAACAAGGACATGTCCAATAAGTTTTGATGAGTCCACAATGCCTGACGTCTTATCCTCACTTTTTACTCCACAATTTCCCCAGAAAACACCTAAATAATCTTGCAACACAAAAATATGTGATCAGGGAAGACAAGTGTGAGCATGTCAGGGAACAAAAACCAGGGGCACTGTTTGATTTAATGAAAAAAAGGAGAACTGAGGAGCAGAGGGTTGTACCAAAGCGAGTTAAACAAAGCTGGACTTTCCTGAGTAAGCTGGCTAAACAAAGCCTTAGCCGCAGTTAGAGATAAGAGGTAATGCAAACATGGTCATGAACTTTGTGTAAACCATGACTTTTTGCTCAAGGCTCTCATTTACTCTGGAATAATGAGAACTGCTGGTGAACATGTGCAAGCTATTGAGGTCAAAAGAAAACACTGCTGCTGTCACCAAAACAAAAGGGGAATAATGCCGAGGAGAGTGGACCTATTCCTGTTAATTTGTTTATTTTTCCACCTGATACATTTTTTGTGTCTCCTGTGAACTTCTAATGCGACACAGTACAGTACAACTCTTAGACCTTAATGGTGATCAGAGCATCATGGTCAGGGACTGCAATTAGACTTAAAAGGTTTAGTATTTACAAAGAAAAAACAAAAGTCAAGACGGACACAGTGAAAGCTGTAATAAATAGGATTTTAGGATCCAGTTCAAATAATTCTCCTTTAGATGTCTGAGGGGCACACTGTTGACAATGTTATTTGCAAAAGCTTGACAAAATCCCGCCATGAGTTCTTTCTTTCAGTTTTACCTGTCCTCTGAAAACTGTTTGTTTCTTAACAGGGTTGTCGGCCACATAGCTAGCCTTGGATAGCTTGCTGTTTCCTGTTTTAACAAAGGAAAACAGCATCCTTCAGAGACCAGAAAATGCTCCTGGACAGTTTGAGCTGTATTGATTTTCCTGAGGTCAATGAAGGGGAGGAGGTCCATTAAAACTACACCAGGTGCTTGTCCAGCTGTCTGCCTTTCTAGTCAGAAGGCACAACACAAAGCTGTCCTTGTCTTTATCTTCTCTCTACTTCTTTCCCTCAGTCGTGCATAACCAGCGGTCACTTCCGTGTATTTCAGCTCATATCACTTTGTAAGGGCATCACATAGTAAGCTACAGCAAGGGCCAGGGTCATGGGTGTCAAAGAGCATCGGCTGATACAAGGACCAAAGCCCAAAATATTCTGGATAGAAACGAGTTTTCATTCAGAGACTGAAAATACATTTTATTTTTAGACACACACTTATGAAACACAAGGATTTAAACATCCAATATGATTTTAAAGGAGACATTTTGTTCTTTAAATCACTGTCAGGTTGTTCAATCTTCTGTAACAAGTGCCACAGAGCTGGCCCGTAAAGCCAAAAAATTTAACTGACTGTTTGTTGCAAAAGCGGCAAATCTAACATTAAGAAACAGCTCTTAATGCTAGGTTGCAAAATGATTTCTCATTTAACAGCTCTTTTATTGAAAGCTTAGTCATAGCGAACAACTGAGTTCATCCATTAAAAACCTCCCCTCAACAGCTGAAAATGAGGAATGCCACTCTTCCAGCTTTCGCGGAAGAGATAAACAGACGACATTAACTTGGTCGTTTTGCTCTGTTTGCCCTTGTTACACATTGTTTTCAGTCAAACAAAAACATGCAAAGTGAGGAAACAGTGGAGAAACCTACCTAATATGTTCTCTCTTCACAGTAATAACATGCTGTGCTGTGTATTTCCTAGACCAGCGCTCAGAATGAAGTACATATGTAGACTCACAGGTAGGCTGACACCTGAAAGAGACAAACATATCTTGAGGTTAAGACTCATTATGGCGAAAAAAGACTGTGTATTAAGAGGTTATTCACAAAGTGTACCTAATGTGACATAGTCAGTAGCTAGATATACAGTTATGTTATGTTGTTGCTTAAACTGAGACTATTTCTGAGTATTGTTGAAACATTATTAACACTTACAGTGAATTCAGATACTGTTCACCACATGCAACAGGCACCAGTCTGTATTTAACTCATTTCTAGATAGCTTACAAATATATATTTCCATCACAACCTTCACAGGGGCAGGAGTTATGTTCATTATAAAGCATTAGAGAGCAGATTTGACCGTGTAGGTGAAACAATGACAACCAGGTGTATGTTTATGAATCTCAATAACACACCATAGCAGTTGAGAAATCTATGTGTCATTCGGAAATGAATAAGTTTGTATGATGTTCACGAGTTTTCGACTGCTTCCTTTTTCCTTCCAGAAAACACACACCCATCATGATGGCTAATGGTGACACTGCAAGTACCTTCCGCCAGAGGTCTATTGAGTCATCCAAAATCTGTCTCTCTCAACTCTGAGGGTGGAAATCAATCATGTTTTAGGTGCCTGTGATTGTCTTAATGTAACAAAGGAGCTGTCAAAATAAAAAGAAGAAGAAGAAGAAGAGCAGCGTGTTCCTGTCACTGTGAAGCATGCAACAGATGCGGACACACACTGTAAGACCCCATCAAAACGGAGCTCACATCCTAAAGTGACCTATTATCATACATTTAAACACAACAACTAAGTCTGACAGGATCTACTTTTCAATCTAAAATCATTTGAGTGGATACTGTGACTACAAAGCAGACGAATCTTAAAGCCAGACAGATTATATTCCCATCTAAACTGAGAGACCTCAGCAGATTAGTTATGGAGGTGTGACTGAGATTAGAGCCTGTTTTCACATTGCTGCTGCAGCGATAACTGAAGAGGTCGTGACTGTACCTGAGCACTATCAAAACACACACAAACAAACACGCTCCCACCCACAGAGCCGCGCACACGGGGCACAGCGGCGCTCCTATCCCGACTCTTCGCGTGTACCCGGTATGAAAGGTAAATCACGCTCGCTAACTGGTTAGCCACAAACAGAAGCTAACACAGCTAGCATGCTAACACTGTGTGAGTGTGAATGATACGCGCTAAAACGCAGCTCCTCGAAGACATTTTGAATTACATACCTCAATAATCCCGCTTTATTGTCACGGGAAAGTCTTGTTAATACATTGTAAGATCCAGCTTGAGCCAAACGACAGCACCGGCGTAGCCGTTGCAGCTGCAACGGCAACACATCGCTCTAACAACGGAATGGTAGTGACTAGTGACGATGGCGCTTCCGGGGTCCACCTCGGGATTTCTCGTTGCTGTTCGGGAATTTCCGGGAAAGACATATTTGCTTAAACAGTGCCATCTCGTGTCCTTTAGAAGAAGTGCAACCTTAAAACTGCTTTAAATGCTATTCCCCACTCGTCGGCGCTATTGGCTAAATACAATGGATAACATTGACGATATGAACATGGAGCGACTGTACAGCATTACATCTTAACGTGTGTTTTACATTTTATGGTCCAATTTTTGCTAAACGTGAAGTTTTTTCTTTTCTTTTTGAATTTCCCAGCATGAGTATTACAACTGATTTTTTTATGCCTCATTTGGGCATAATGATTTTTTCCCTATTTATTTTATTATAATCCGAAATTTGAATGTCTGGTTTTAACTTAACATCATGTTTCATATTGAAGGCTTAGAAAATTCACAATGTTTTCTTTGTAACTCTATGGGGCAGGTTGAAATTCTCCACCAGTGTTGCGTTATAAACTCACAATTTTTTTTTTTACCACAGCAACAAGCCCTATATATAATCGATCACACTAAGGAAAAAACTCTTTGCAAAGAGAAAGCTGTATGTGTGAATGTGTTTCCTGTATGGATGCATGCACAGTATACCATTTTAACTGTATGCATGCATTTATTTTCAGTTCTTCTCTGTTGAGCAGAGTCAAGGGTCTACAATCACAAAAATATCTTCATAATTAGTGTTGTTCCCCTTGAATGAAGCTGACCAAATATGCTCTAAACATTTTCATCACATCTTACAAGAATATCAAACTTTGGTGTCTGGTGTATTTTATCAACACATGAGTAGAAATTCATCAGACTTTAAAAACCTCGAGTAGGCCTTTTTTGTTTGCTTTCAAATAAATCTGCCTATGATTGACAGCCCCAGCCTCAGTCTGGGTAAGTGGGTTAAGAAAAACGTAAATTATTTACAGTGCAGACAGAACCCTGATCTGAACCCAGTGTCAGCAAACCGCTGGCACATAAAACTGGGACATTTCTACCACAGCCATGCAACTTAAAGGCATGTGACAAGTAAGGGGTGTCACCAAGGGCCTTTTTGCAACACACCTGCTCCTGACCAGGTGAAATATTTAGCTTGACCCAGGCAGAGTGCATTATGGTCAGATAGGGACAGATGCCCACTTGTAACAGTGTGTCCCCAGTAGGGAGCAGCAGGATCTTCCTGGCAGCCGTCTCTGTATGTCACGTGTCTCTCAAGAGTGAATTATAAAGGCAAGACAAAGCAGCTTGGCCCTTCCCTGCCCCGTGGCTGCAGCTGCGCAGTGAAAGCTAGGGGCTTCTACCCAGCTCTCTCCTATAGTGGTTCAGAGCTGATATCAGCTGTCTGCTTTAGAGGGAGGGGAGAGAAAAAAATACCCAGCAATCCTCTAAAGCAGCTTAAAGGCTGGGGACTGAAGCCATTTCCATTTCCAGAGCTGCCTCTCTCGGCCTCCCTCTCTCTCCATTACGGCTGGATAAGCAGCTGACTGACTGCTAAAAGAGCAGCCACAGTAGCTACATGAAACCTGTCTGCTGTCTCCTCCTGAGGGCTCCCCCAAACTGATAAACATCCCCCAAAACATCACTCACCTGGGTGTATCAGAACAGGCGTACGGGATTGTGAATAGTAACTAAGACAAGCCGTGGTATTTGATCCTAACTCTTGATGTAATCAGGAGTCTTGTACATGACTAAATAATAAATGCTAAGTGCTCATGCAACAAATAAAATCTACCGCAGGGGGCCTCAAGTTCCCATGTGCATTACGATTTTGACTCCCCCCCTCACCCTATCCACCACCATTTGTAGACATGTAGGCTTTTTGGAGTTAAATAAGTGCCTCAAAGTAGAGTGTAGAGCAGAGCGGTGTGAAGGACAGAGTGTGTAATGTAACTGTAGCTGGTCCTCCGCTTCCCTCTCTCTGGAAAGAAAGAGGTAAAGAAGATGCGAGTCTCTGCTTGCACCATAGTGGAGGAGAGACGAGGAGTGGTGGAGCTATATTTGGAGAATGTGTGTGTGAGAGAGAGAGGATGCTCGAGCAAAAGAAGAGTTCATGTCAGGATATCACAATTCAAGATCAATGTTTCTATCATTAGCACATCTGCTTGTCAGAAGACTGTCTTATTTCCAGTTTAAGCAAAAAAAAACAAAAAAAAAACAGCTGTCTACCTTGTTGAGTGTTCTCCAGATAGACAAGATGCTGTGGGCGTTCAAAGTGTGTGTTAGTAGAACTTAAAATATTGCTTTTCTGATAATCTTGGAAAATCAAAATGCAGCTGATCTGATTCATGTATTTCTGAAGAAAAGTTAATATCAGTCTCAGATCTCTGTAGGCAGTCAGCTGGCAATCATAGACACATTTACAGGCACTTCATTTAACATTTTTCCACTGTTTGTTTGTTTTTTTATTTGTGATGGAGTCTTAGGTGTAACCTGTGCCTTAGCTGGACCAGTCCCACTTCATATCCACATCAAAAATGTTGTAAGCTAAATATCCTAAATGACCAAACAAGCATCCTGTGTGACCTCGATGCCAGATAAAGATCAGGCAGGCACACTCATATCTATTCACCACACAAGTAAGAAAAAAGTAGCATTAAAAAAAAGCAAATCATTGAAAACACATACTGATGTGCATACCAATATTTAAAATCTGAGGGAGTCTTCAGCGAGATATCTTTTCAAAAAAACCTGTGGCAAATTTAAATTCAAGTTGCATTGTGGGAAAGTTACCATCCAAGCAGTTACAATCATGGGCATGTACATCCGAATCTTACCATTAAACAGCTATCGTATTGATTTATGGTGGTCCACATTGGCGAGTAGGCCATCTTTGACGTCTGCTTGGCATTTGCTCTACATTTAGTTTAGCCTGCAGAGTTAAGACTGGAAAAACGGGGTAAACAGCTCTACTGCCAGTGTTCACCTGTTCATATCCCACATTTTTTCAGTCTTTCTCCTTTTTTTTTTTTTTAGAAAAATACTTATTTAGTACATGCATGCACAGTTGGACCAAGTAGGAAGAAGTATCTGAGTGGAGGCTTGTGAACCCAACATCATTAGAGAAATATCTTGTTAGAGAAAAGAGAAAAAATGGAAAAGTGAGAGAATTCTTTAAGGAAAAAATCAGAAGCCCTCAATGAACATGAATTTAGACATTTTGTTTAGTTTTTGCCAAGTCAGCTTATGCAGTTTTCTCAAGATTTTGATTTAACATCAGGTGATCTTTGTGGAAAAACACAAAAGCCAAGATCTCAAGAAAATAACAGACACTGACGCTCCTGGCATGACCTTTCAATTTGTGTAAATGTTTTGCACCCCCTATGGACAAAGCCATGTTTGCTTATCATGCCCTGAAAACACTAAAGCCATATCTCCTTACTTAAGAATATCCTCTTGCTAACTTATGTGACTGTGATACTGAAATTAGGCAAGGAAGAATAACAAATGGGATGAAACCAAATGAAAATGTGACTGTTTTAAATTGTCTGTTGACCATATTTGGAAATGATGAGGAAGATCAAAGAAAGACTGAAAAAATGAGGATAAAAGACTGAAACCCCTCAGTCGGATGCACTGGTTGTGTTCCATTCTTGCAAGAATTCAGTTTACTCTTATTATATATCCTGAACTCTTGTGTCTGCCTCTTGTCACTTAACCCAGATTTTTCTATCAGTTGTACAGTCAAATGTGCAGTGTTTGTGGATATTTTATGTGGAAATTGTACATTCAGGGCTGTTTGATCAGCTATAAGATCAACACTTTCCCCTCACACTGGTTTGAGGTGTTAGAAATGATAAAATTAGTATCATCATTCTTGTCATTGATGGTCTTGTTTGCAACTGGATATCATGCAAAGGCATCACAATGAATTTCAGTCTGTTTCATAAATGCCTAAGGTCTCTACCCAAGCTTTAAGTTGTATCAACGCAAAACTGAGTAAAATGAGTGGATGGGTGTTTGCTCAAAGAGCTTTTGTAAAGAGTCAGTTAAACAGAAATGATTTAATGACCTTTAGGTGAATCTGTTAATATGATCAATCTAATCCTTATCCACTTTGATAGAAAAATCCTCAGATTAGAATTGAAGTTGAGTCTTTCTCTTCTCTCTATTTATAAAGCCATGACGGTCTAGGCAAATCTTTATGTGGGCAATCCCAATGTCAATGAGTTCAAACCCAATGACCCACAGGGTTAGCCTTTGAAGAACTAACCCTGCTAATTTATATTGACCTGGATATGTTGACTGCTCTCGACCCATCTTCAGATACACCGCAGAAGAAGAATCAGAATCCTAAGATGTGGGAGTGTCGCTCACTCCACGGAGGCATAGAGGATGACAGTGACTGGGGCCATGATGGGATGACCTCTGACCTTCTGCAGGCTTATCTCTGCTCCATCCACCTTTTGCCTCACTGGCACAAATCCAACCTAGAAGCCTTTTAGAAGGGATTTTCTGAGACAGGCAATCTGTTGGCTTTTCTGAAGCTGCAAGAGTGAAACAGACAAGTGCCAAGACCATCAGCTGGCCCTATATATTTGGTTATAGTTTCCGCACAGATTGAAGCTCAAAGTTCTGGATATTGTCACTAATTTGCCTGCCTTGTTAGCTTAAGAAAGCTCCTTAAGAGTGCTGTTGTGTTTCAGCTGAGTATCCTCTGAGAGCCAGCTGAGGGATATCTTTTAATCCATTAATTGTTTCCTAATTTCCCTGTGCTGTTCTATTTTCTGCTGTCAGAGACAAGTATAATGATTGACACAGGGGTTTCTTCAAGAGGGGCCAATGAAAAAAACAAAAAATACCTGAAAGTGTTTGGGACCAGACTTTTTAAAATCTCTCTCCTGAAACTAAAACTTGAAAAGCAAAAACAAGAGGCTGAGACTGCTACTTCCATAACAAACCGCATACCTCTGAGCCTTTTGTAGCGACATTATTCCCTAAACTTTTGACCTTTAATGTCAGCCAACCCCCTTTAGCACTGCAGACTTTGCC